TGCACATAAGGACAGAAGAGATGTAACTGTCCTTCACATGGTTCCACCAAGCTCAGACAGCCTCAGGGCCTCAGAGCTTTTACACAGCTTGCCTACGAACCTTCCACTCTACAACCCTTCTCCCACTTCATATTAGAGTCTAAACTGAAGAAAATTCAGAAAAGTTCCTCCACATGCTCAAGTCAAACTTTTCACATTATCATTCGATGTCTTTATCAACACAGTGCGAGAAGCGCCTGTGTTTTTGTTAACTTTGGTTAACTTTCCTGTGCCGCTGGCGCCCCTCCCCGAAGACTTATTAGCCACTTACACCTGCAGACAAAGAGTATTAATATGAGGTGAAGACAATACCTGCCTATCGCATCAAACACTTCCTCTCTCAGACAGGAAATGTGATGAGGAGTGAAGGTGCACTCCAGTCAAAGAGGAATTATTCATTAGCCCAAACTACCCCCCCCCTTCCTTCTCTCTATCATATACATACGCACACACACGCCCCTGTTTCTGCAGCTCTGGGCTGAATGAGGAATTGCTAATGAGCAATGGGTAAAACAGAAATAATTGGACGTCCTTGCACACGCGTCTCGGGTTGATGGTGATGTGCGATCAGAATAAATTGCAGAAAGATAACAAGATGGTTAGTGAAAGCGGAACACAGGCCTTTCAGTATTCAGTCAGACGTGTTTGTGTGCAGTCCATAGTCATCCACGCTCAAAACACACAAACCTGTTTTACATTAGGCTTGTGCTTTCTGATACTTCCAGTAAAATCTAAAAGGTGAGAAATAATGGCTACATAAAATTATACAATACACACCTGAGCCCGCAGTCATTAAAAACAATGGCACCAATAGTGATAAAGTGGAATTCCACAGATTAAACGATAATCTGATACAACCTGATAAATGTTCTGTCTAATTAAATGGTCAAGATATAAGTGAAGTCATTCAGAGAGCTCTGACGTGAAAATAGAAAGTCAGAATTATTCACAGTGGTGGTGATACAAGCACTTAACGTCTCAAATCTACCTCACAAAGTTATTTCATGAATTGGTTATGAATACATTTTTTGTTCGAGACCTTCTTTTTGCAAAGGTTTTGGCCTAAAACAGTGTGTGTATTTTTTAAATCCATTCATGGAGGCACATACAGGGCATTTCAAGGCAAAACAGTCTCTAAGGAAAACATATTTTTTAGATTTACCACTATTTTATCAGATTTATCACTATTTTACCAGGATCAGGATTACACATAAAAACTCAGAAGCCATGTGTAGGTTCACTGATCATGTTGGATAGTACATAAAATAGCTATATGTGTGTTGTAGACATCTGGTTACTATCACCACCACTGTCCAGAAGAATAAGTGTGGTTCTCTACAATGAATTATTTCACACCAAATCACTATGAATGACTTCGAATTAAATTGAAATTTGCAGAAATCCCAGATATGCCATCGCATACAGACATATCTTCAAATTGAACTGCAGCGATAGAGGTGGTATTTTTCAAGCACTTCACTATGTTCATCACTGCACTTTAACTCAGAAAGACAAGACCAGAGAATGACCAAAGGTGCTAAAGCACAAAATAGAGCAAAAAAAAATAAATGCACTAATTTCCCAATTTACTGAACAACTGAGCCCTCACAACAAAAAACAGTATATGTGACATTTTGTTGTAAAAATCATCTAAGCATGGTATGGTACTGTTTGATGCCCTGTATTTAAAACAAAGGTGTCACTACAACATACATGTAGTTTTTTATGTGAAAGGTGGTACAAAATAAAACAGAAAAAAAAATGATAATCCAAAAAAGGGTGGAATGGATAAAACATGTTTTTTCATTGGAGGGGCTCAATTGTTTACAACTTGAACTCTGAGATTAAATGATTAAGGCAGTTAATGAAAGATCAGAATTCATATTTTAACTCATCAGATTTCAGAATTTAACTCAAATACATCTGGTATGGCAATTTAGAATGAGAAGTATTGGTCTATAATATTTATACACCAATAAAAATATTTAAAAATATTTGGCATTATGACAACATTAAGACAGAGCTGCACTCTTTCAGAGACTTGAGACATAAGAGCCTACGACTTAGCAACATTAAATGATTTGTGCTTTGTCTCCCCCTTGTGTACAGAAGAAAGAAAAGACAAAGAATCATAGATAAAGATATGTAATGCTCCTTACAGCTGATTATTTTAAGGAACATTTCAAGTTATTAACTCAAACATCCTTTCAATTACATTTTAGTCCAGGACTGCATTTCTAGGTAGGATTTTTCTATTGATACAGTTTACTGTTGTATGTTTACATAGAATGTTTGTGAATCGTAAGGTACAGAAATTAGGTTACTACTAATATATGAGGTTCCACTAGCTACTAAATAAAAGGGTTACATTTTCCCCTCCATTACTGACCTTTATTTAAATCATTTTTTCATTTAAACATAGAGCACTGTAATATGTACTGTGTGTTAAGCTCTAGATGTTTTTTTTATTATATATATTATAAGTATTATAAATTGTAATTATAAGTAAATTAGATTTTTCACTGAACTATCGCCTTCAAGAATCAAGCTTAGATTTTTGCATAAATGAATAAGTAAATAAATAAAATAAAAAATCACTGAGAATTTTCCATTTAGGAGTTTTACTCCAGGACCTGGTTTAATTTGAAAGCCTGAGGGTTTAATATCTCCCAATTTATTTTACAATGTAAAATGTAATTTGAAACAATCTGTTTGATTATTGAAAGGACACAACCTAATCTAATTACTTTTGGATGACGTCCAGTTTCATGGCCAGCCTTATTGTACCATTTTGTTTATTCACAATTTATTCTCAGTCACGAATCAAGCCACGTTACAAAAAGGTGTAACCTTTACTACATAATTTTCAATTTATTGCAGATTTGTCTTTTTATTAGAGAAGGAAAAGGATTACTAGGAAAAAACACAACTGTGTACTGACCACTATGGCAGCCTTTTAGTTCTGGTCATAGTAAATTAATGTTTAGGTGGCTTTACAGAAGTACTGCTTATGTGAACGCATGGTCTGGTTTTCTGACTCAAGTTTCCCAACTGTCTTAGTCAATTAACAGACATTCTTATCCAACAGATTCACTGATGTTCTTATTGCCACACACAGTGCTTCAACTGACATCACTGTCACCCCTGAAGACGTCCACGGAACAGAAAAAAAACTTGAATTTATGTATGTTTACATAAGATATTATTCCAAGTCATTTTGGACCATTTCATAATACATCATAAAACGCTCACACAATGTAAAGGGAAGCAGGTGTTAGGGCTAAAAGATGAAACGCTTTTATATCAAAATCGCAATTTAAATGAGTGCAATTTTTATTACAGTATACACTCACTGAGCACTTTTTAGGAACACTATACTAATGCTGGGTAGTGCTTTCCTTTGCTCTTCAAACAACCTCAGTTCTTCGTGGCATGGATTTCAAAAAACTTTGGAAACATTCCTTTGAGATTCTGGTCCATGTTGACATGACTGGCAGATTTTTCAAGTCCACTTTCATGCTATGAATCTCCCATTCTACAACATCCTAAAGGTGTTCTACAGGATTCAGATCTGATTACTGGGAAGGCCACTAAAGAACACTGAACCCATTGTCATGTTCACAAAACCAGATGCCTTTTGCTTTGTGACATGGTGCATTATCATGCTGGAAATAGCCATTAGAAGCACATGGTCAGCAACAATACTCAAATAGACAGTGGCCTTTGTATTAACTGTGGACTTAGTATTAACTTACACAAAGCGTGCCAAGAACACTTTCCCCACCCCATTACACCACCTCCACCAGCCTGAACTGTTGACAAAAGGCAGGTTAGGTCCATGCATTCATGTTGTTGGTGCCAAATTCCAAACCTACCATCTGTATGCCTCAGGAGATATCAAGATTCTTGGCAAGTTTGGTTCAGTTAAAATAAACGCTGGTGCAATGGATCTTGTTATTATAAACAATACTAAGGGTGCATTTATACATGTAGATTGGTTTTCTTGGTCTGAACCAAAGCAGAAAATGATACACTGTTGCATTTTAGTTTTACTGCGCTTAGATTTCACACTAACAAATTTTACATTGAACCAAAAGATGTAACCAAAAGTTATACGGGTAAACATCACAACTGATTAAGATTTTATGAGGTACAATAACTGTGATAGTGTCAAGCAAACTTTCCAAATCTGTTCTCTGTTCAATTTGGGCTCCTTGGTTTTATTGGTCTTGTTTTAGCTGTCTTGTAATATTAGAGCAATAAGCAATAAGACTCCCTGCATTTCCATGTTTTTGCATGACACAAAGCAGGGTGAAATCCCTACAGCTCATCCTCAAGTGGCTTACTGCTTTTACAAAACAGAGAAACCTCTGCGCCTTAACACATAATATAATTTACATGTGCAGTCAAATGTGCATATCAAGTACTTTAGAATAACTTCAAACGTCCCTCAGCCCCGTTTTAAAACCAAAACTATCCGTTCCATACCTAGAGCTTATGAAGAGATGACAAAACAGCATCAGAAACTCATCTTTTCCACATACCAAAGAAGTTCTGCAGAGAGGAGATGACAGTTCATTTTGTCTTTGGTCTGTTTAGATGTCTTTGTTCTGTTCATACTTCAAAAAGACAGTACCAAAGTTTGTTTTGAAGGAAACCAAGACAGACCTGCTCAAGGGGTCTCGGTCCACTTATTTGTTGTGCACCAGAGTTCAGATGGCAGCAACCAAACACTCACAACCACATCACAATTACAACTAACATAACTGAATATAAATAAATAAAGAAAGAAAGAAAGAAAAATAAAATACAATAATAAAGAAAAAGTGGATACACTGGGGTACTTGGCCTGGATCTTAATTTAGGAACTGATTGCAATTTAAATCGGAGTCACAAAACTGGACAGAAAATTTTAAAGTAGATAACTTCCCTCAAGTTGTTCAGTCCTCATTAGGGTTTTCAAATGGCATGAAGAATGAAAATGGAATAAATTATGAGTTATAGGTTTTGAAAGGGCAGCGACAATATGTGAATGCTGTGATTATTTGTGATGTTCTGCAGTAGTTAGGTAAGTTGCAGAAAAACAGTTCATGTACAACAGTGGTCACTAAACCTGCTTCTAGAGATCTACGTTCCTGCAGACTTAAGCGATAATTCTATCAACCACACCTAATCCATATAATGATTGTCTTCAGAAGTCCTTGATTAGCTGAATGAGAGGTGTTAGACTTAGGCTGGAGGTGAACCCTCCAAGAAGGTAGATGGTCATGAACAGGGCTGGTGACCACTGATGTTGGAATTCTGTGACTGAACTTCTCGACACAAGCTGTGAAGGTGAGCACTGCCATCTACTGGGCCCAAACGAGGTACTATTCAACACAATCAGATTATTTCCCTAAAAAAGATATGTTGATGGACATGTTCAAAAATGTTTTTAGATATTTTTAATTTATTTACAAAAATCTATACAAATACAGAAGCGCACTTATATAAAAAGACACAATCTTTAAGCATACTGTCAGGAGGATTAAATAACACACACACACACACACACACACGCAAACATACATACATACATTGAGTACCTGATGTAGAGGAGTGAGAATAATGCTGGTTCTAATGCATACAGATTGTGTTAAAGGTCACAGCACTGATCTGTACTTGCAGGCGAACATGATCCAGACGGCGCAAGCCATCTCAGGATAGGCAAACACACGCACCCGCACCGCCAGCCGGACATGGTCTCCACGACAACACACAATCTCCTCACAGAAAGGTGACCTGTTCAGACATGTAGAACTGACATATCAGACACATGTACATCCCTCATTATGTCTGTATGTTTCTCCACCAAGATTGGACTAAAAACCAGGGGAAAGAAAATATTTTTCTCGCATGACAACGGAGTCTGTGTATACAGTACTTTTAGAGACTGAAGTGCGAACCAAGTCAGTCTGCTCTGTAGTGTAGTACGGGTAAAAGGCCTATAATGAGTGTGGGTGTACCTGAGGCAGGTAGCGAAGGCTCTGCGAGCATTGCGGTGCAGGAAATGAATAGGAAAACCTTTAAAGGTGTGTCCATCAGGTACGGCCCTCCTAACAGCATCTTGAAACTCCTCATTCCCACATGACACCCCTGTACAGCGCTCCAGCTCATAGGCTGCTAGGGCAGAGGACAGCAGGTAAGACAGGTGATCATCCCAGACCGTCGCCAGACCCAAATCCTGAGAGAGAGAAGAGACTCTTTACAGCATGGTTTTGTTTAATTTGTTCTATATAGTATATACCCATGTCTAAAATTAGACTTCATGCTAACTAGGCATGCACTGATCCAACTTTCTTAATTCCAATACCAATTATACCAGAACTAGAGGCAGGTAACATGCCCATATTTATTGTTAGAAATTACATCACAATATACTTACCTGAGCATATCATGGATTTTTTGTCTATTCCAATAAATTTAGAAAAAATGATAATGCTTTCTTTTACAGCCCCCTAAGTTCTAGATACTAACCAGGTAAGTGTCAGGTACAAACTCTAATGTACTAGGTAACTATTTTAGGTAACGCGATAGTAAGTTAAATCACACTGAAATGGACCCCCGGTTTCCGGGTATTAACTGGATAAGTGCGTGATACAAACTCCACAGCACTGCACAATTATTTTGGATGAAAAGTACTGGGTAGTTATATAACGTAAAATGGTTGTATATGAATAAAGTATGAAGAGTCTTATCTAGAGAGGAAAATGAATCTGTACTGTAAAAGAAAGTAATGATGATTACTATGGTTTTACTGGGTCCTTACAGTTTACTTCAGTACTATATTCATATTTTGTGCTGTCATTTGTTACCACCACATATATTAGTCAGTATTTGTAGGATTTTCTAATTTATTGTCCCACTTAAACATGGGCTATTACGTTGAACTTTAATGTATGTCTATACTCTGAATAAGTGAGATAATTTACCCTGTCCTTTATCAGTTTAATACCTGTTAGCCATTTCAGTACAATTCATTGAGATTTAGAACTTGATACTATCATTATTTCACCCAAAATTATTACAAATAGCACACTTACTCAGTTAATATCTGGACATTGTCTGGCATTTCAAATGTAATTGATTAATTTATTACCATGTTACCCAAAATAATTATCTAGTACTTTGGAATATAACACATCTACCTGAATAAGGACAGTTAGTATTACCACAAAAACATAATATTATGTACACACTTATTGTGTATCATCAAAATGTCTTCAAACATTAGCTGCTACCTAGTACCAATCTTTTACTAGTTTTCTACTAAGGCACTCGTCACTTTGCTATGACACAGGCACTGTATCAGTCTTGCAGAAATCAATTTTATATCAACCATGAACTGGAAACTGGAATAGTGATAAACGTGGATGGATCTGGCTGATATCTGTTTGATAACGTCAGTATGACAACATGTATTAGATCAGTACGTTGCTAGTGCTACGTATTAAGTTTTACTAATAAACTTCCAGTCAGAACTCTCCAATAAAATCAAACGTTGGAATGTTTTTTCTAGAACAACAAAAGTACAAACATCCACCTGTGTCTCTAGGGGTTGTTTTACATGTGCCTAGCCTTACCTTCCTGTGCTCAGCCAGTAAATAGCGCATCTCCAGCTCCAGCTGGTTGCTGGCCTCGCTGGGATGAACAGAAGGAGCGCAGAGAGGAGGCGTTGGCGGGAGAGAAGAAGTAGAGCCGGGGGCACAAACTGACCGGACCGCCTCCTCACTCATAGCCTTCCAGCGGGAACCATCTGTAAAATCAAACACACACAGCTCCACAGAGTCTGAGGGCTGGCAGTTAGCCAGAAAAGTCTTGTGGTTGAAAACACAGCCAAGGGTGCGATATGGGTAGGTGGGTTTGGGCTGAGGAACCAGCGGAGGAGCTTCAGGGTCTATCGGCTGGTGTAGGTACCTGAGTAGAAAAGCAGGTAAGTGGTCATAAAAACAAGAAAACAGACTTTTAATGCAATTTAAAATTACAATTCAATTAAAGTCATTTTCATTTTCACTAGATCACTACATAATCAGTAAATATCAATATAACCTGAGCCCAGCTTTAGGACAGCATACAGATTTTCAGATGTGCAACTTATGTGAGCCTTCATGACTTAATCAGAAGAGTGATCTTCATGTTGAAACAGTTAGTTTGTGTATAAAAGTTCCTACCTGTGTGCAGTCAGGCTCTCCCAGAAGGTGATAGTGCCATCAGTACCACAGGTCATCACCCAGGTGTGAGGGGTGTTTTTGGCTTTGGTGCCCACACACACATAAGCATCCAGCCCAAAGCCAAGTAGCAGACTACACAGCAGCGTAGCATGATCCTCACAATCACCCTGGCACCAAGAAAAAAACCAAAAATGTGATCTCTAGAGAGAAGTGGATGGACTCAAGGCAAACCACCATCAATAATAATCCCACTAAATCCCATTGGAGATTATTAAATTACTGAATTATTGAGAAGTTAAATCTGGCATTGCAGATCGGTGCCAAAGACAACTTGCAGCCTATAAGCATAGTTTTAACTCACCTTAGGCCACACAATAGAATGCAGCTTCTCCAACTAGAATGATATCTCTCTAACAAGATGAATACAATACATATTTTGCAGCCAGGTTAAATCAACAGGTTCATTCACACTTTAACATTTCACCACATTTGTTTTATTATTGTGGGTTAGAATCAGTAATGCAACGAAATGATAATTCTTGACCAAAACTAAATTTCAGGACACACAGAAAGAAAGCGTTCATTTATATATAATTTGCCATTTTTTAATGTTTCTGAATTAACTTAATAATATCAACGATGCTTCAAAGGTGATATTCAGCGCGTTGGGAAAGAGAACTGACAGAGAAGCACAGGACTAAATTTTAAATATTTTGCTAAACAATATTACATACTAAAAGTAGTAAAATTATGAAAATATAATACTTCATGGTTTCCCAAAGACATCTACACCAATCAAGCATAACATTATGACCACCTCCTTGTTTCTACGCTCATTGTCCATTTTATCAGCTCCACTTACTATATAAGTGCACTTTGTAGTTCTACAATTACAGACTGTAGTCCATCTGTTTCTCTGCATACTTTGTTAACCCCCTTTTACCCTGTTCTTCAGTGGTCAGGACCCCCATAGACCCTCACAGAGCAGGTACAATCTGGGTGGTGGATCATTCTCAGCGCTGCAGTAACACTGACGTGGTGGTGGTGGTGTGTTAGTGTGTGTGTGGATCAGACACAGCAGTGCTGCTGGAGTTTTTAAACACCTCAGTGTCACAGCTGGACTGAGAATAGTCCACCAACCAAAAATATCCAGCCAACAGCGTCCTGTGACCACTGATGAAGGACTAAAGGATAACCAACACAAACTGTACAGCAGCAGATGAGCTATCATCTCTGACTTTACATCTACAAGGTGGACTGACAAAGTAGGAGTGTCTAATAGAGTGGACAGTGAGTGGACACAGTGTTTAAAAACTCCAGCAGCACTGCTGTGTCTGATCCACTCGTACAGAACACACGTTTGCAGGAACAACTTTTAAAACCAGAGGTCGGCCAAAATTTCAATGCATCCCTAGTTAGAACAGGCAGAACAAACAAAAAGGCAGTGTGGTATGATGAACCAAATCAGTTCTAGCATATATACAGCTAAATGCAGGTTTAATGTTAACCTTAGTCTTAATTTCTTAAAATTTTGTCTTGTGGGCACATAAGAAACAGACACAAAGTAGGCCCTAGGAATAACTTTCTAATGTGTGCCAGAACTTTCATCCCCCCTTGAGTAAAGCTTGTGTAACTTTCCCTCACCAGTCACAAGGTTGATGTCACTTAAAACTATATGCACCGGCTTGAGCGGCCTTGTGCACAACATTAATTCTTCTAGAATGGTGTAGCTGGCTGGGACAAAGGAATGCCAATAAAGCGTGCTCATTAGAATAATAAGGGCATGTCTGGACAGTTGTTAGATCAGCCTTACATTTTTGAGAAGTGTTCATCATATTTTCATTCAACCTTTAAAAGGGACCTATTATGCTTTTGTTTTTTTTTTATTTGCTTTCGTCTGTTACATAGCTTTTTGTGCACGTAAACAGTCTGCAAAGTTACAAAGCCCGAAGTACACACCAGAAGGCAGTAACTCTTTCCCACAGAAACCACTTTTCTCAGCTGCCTGAAACACCTCATTGGAAATCCAGGCCTTTTCCTTTGTTACAAGCTGACGCAATCTTGTAAACACAATTCTTACTGCCTGCCTACTGGCAAGTTTGCCATGCATCATACAACACACAGCAACTACTGGAGGCTGGGAAGCAAATGCACTGCTTCTTTAGAAACATTGGGGTTTATAACTGCTCAGGAGAGAAGGGTCTGTCTGCAGACAGCAAGACAGGGTCGGAACATGTAGGGGCAGAACGTGTAGCAAGATGGCACTACGACCAGTCAGAACAGAGTGGGCAAGCTGACCAATCAGAGCATACACTGGGCTCATTGGGAGGCAGAGCTTAAAGACACAAAAGCTCTAACAGAGTATTTCAAAAAGAGGGTGAATAGAGATGTTCAGTATGAGAAAAATAATGTTTTTCTGGAAACACTGAAGCATGTAAATCTATTCTAGTAGACCCCAAAAATAAAATTATGAACACTAAAAATGAGTATAATAGGTCAAGTTTGGCAACTTTTCCCAGTTTAAAAATGTTTAATATTTTATACTATATTCCTTGGGACTTCACGGTTGTCATGTTACCTTGTTCCTACAAAGGAAGGCCATCGTGGTGCACCACTGCTCCTGCCGCGCTCCTCCCCCCACCACAGGCGCTCTCTCCTGGGCCAGCAGGCTGACAAAGCGAGCTGCCTGCCGTGGACTTTCCAACAACCGGCCAGCACGCAACACACGCACATATGAACACACCGGCCGGTTTACACCGTTCTCATCCTACAACACACACAAGGATGACACACAGCTTATCAACGCAAAAGCCTCCACAGGAAAATGTGGATAAATAGGACAAATTTTAAAAAAATAAAACAAAAGAAACACAAGTTGAAGCATTCTTTTAAGAACTGAGTTGGTTGCGTAATTTTCATTAAATCAATTTTTAAAAAGGCATAAACGTAAGATCTTACAGAACACGGCTGCAGAGGACACAGTGGGTATGCACATTTCTACATGACTCAAGTTACTTTCATTATCAGCAGGCTGCAACTTACCTGGGCAAAGATCTTGACTAGTTTGGACTGGTGAGAAGGTCGTATCTCTAAAAACTCTCTCCACCACTGCTTAGCATACACCAGAAATAAACGCTCCTTTTCTGCATTCTTCTGCCGCTCCAGTGATTGCTATAAAAAGCGAGGTCACAAGCATACAGTTATCATGTCACAACATGAATTTTAAAGACGTTTTATGAAAACAGAGCAAAAGATGGTGCTGAGAACACAGCGCTTATTTATTATAACTTTTAAATTACACAAACTTGTGGACAGAGAAACAATGCAGAGGAATAATATACAATAATATTTTACCTGTGTGCTGATCACTTCAGGGCTCAGAATTTCACTGAGAGGAGGATACATCTCCAACTTAAGGTTAAGAACACCAGTTGGCACTTTACATTCACTACCTAAAGAATCCACACATGTATACACACAAAAAGGGTGTGTTAGTGAAAGATAACTGTTCCACTGATGACACAGCAAAAGGAAAAGGAAGTCAGAAGACTTGAAGAAGCTCTTTAAACAAATTTCAGCAGGCTGCTATTACTGGTAGGGAATGATTGTCAAAATACGAGGACATTCTCACCTACGCCAAGCAGTTCCACAGACACTGCTGTCTTCCCATTAGGGGCGCTGAGGACAGACCGCCAGTCCAGGAAATAAGAGGAGATGAGTGTGGTGTCCCCAGAGGTGTCTGTTTTAATCAACACCATGTGAACTGGGTCACAGATGGACAACATGGTGGTGGCATCAGCCATTTTACTGGCATCACCTAATCCACAAAAAAAAAACAGAAAGTGACTGAAAACTGTCACTATTTTATTTATACATATTCCTAGGAATGTGCATGTTTATTGAATATTAATATTATCTATTATATTTATCCATTGTATTAACGCAATAGCTCCACTGCAAAACTTGACAAACAAACTTCAGAGACCAAACACAACCGAATGACCACATCTGGGGTAAGGAGACAACTGTGTAAACCTGATATTCCTGTGAACTAACCTTTTAAGTGCACATGTATGGGGACAAATGATCTTATAACAAAGATCATTACTGGTTGTGAATCCCTTGCACAAAATCATCTGCATCTTATTCTTGAGTATACAACAAAAAAAAGGTCCAGCTTCATGATCCCAATATTTTTGGAGGGCACAGTTGCTACCAGAAGTGTGCAACCATGCCCTTCTACATATACTCAGAAACACTATGAGGAAGAAAACAACGATAGAAGTATGCGAGTTTCAGTTCTATGTAAGATACCTGGGCCATCTCTGTGTACTTCAAGAAGGAAGCCCTCTTGTAAGTCTGGCTCACAGGCACATGGCACAGGCTTAGAGCGAAAGCGCTGGTTGCGGAAGTGTAGGTGGAGTGTAAAGGTAGAGCACACCTGACCAGGTAAAGGCTGTGGCTCCTGCAGGTGCTCGAGGAAGGCTTTGCCCCCCAGAACCTGCAGGTACAGGTATCTCCTCAGTGGACTGATACTGGCTAGAGAAAGAAAACAACAGAAAAATGTAAGACCGCAAATTGAACAATTACTGTACTACATGACGGAGGATAGCATTATTTTTATTATATAACACATAACGACTGCAATTTTCAGAGAGATTACTCAGGACATACTTGTTTTAAGCTGCGTAATGCCCTTCTCAGAGAAACGACTTGGAGACTTGTTCAGAGCATCTGTCTCTGCTTGTGGCTCTGCCTAAAGAAAAACTGATCATTGAAAAGTATTCTGCAATAACAATAATAAATGCATATAACAATGTAATACATAACAATTAAGAGATGAGAAACTCTTTAATTACTGTGAACATGGACAACTTATAGTGGGAAGCACATCTGCATCTTTAAGCTCTTCAAGAAAGCTTTTATTAATTGAACAAATGAGAAAAAAAGTACAAACGTGGACAAAAAAGGCAACCTAAATGAGTATAAACCAGGGGTGGAAAATACTGAACTTTGTTACTTTACGACAGCATTAATTACTTTGTCTATCTATCTATCTATCTATAGATCTACGATATATATACATATACATATATATGTATATATATCGTCACTGTCCAATGAAAAACATGTTTCTCCAAATTAATTCAACACTTTATCCTTGTCTGGAAAACTGGCCTTAAGTGACCTAGTAGCCCTCATTAGTGAAATCTTACCACATTGGCGAAACTCAGCTCCTTCATGGCCTCCTCTACGATGCCCCTGCGCTGGAGAGCAGTGAGGAAATCTCCTTCAGAGAGCGGCTGATCTCCACGGTCCCCTTCGGCCCTCAGCGTCTCCGCAAGGACAGCACGAATTTTCCCATGAATATCCATCTGATCACATAAACATTAACAACAACTACAGAGTCAACACAGACGTCCATCTGACTACATGGACAGTGACAGTGACACTTTCTCGAGGACCAGCATGGATGTCCATCTGACTGCATGAAAGTTCCTTAATCTATTAAGGCATTTTCATTAAAGATGTTACGCTTCAGTTTGTCAAAATGGACATTTAACTGTATTTTCAGAAGCACACTTCTGCTATACTCTCTATGGACAAAGAAAAACCTTGATGGGACTCTGGCCATAAAATAGTGACATTATGATATTATTATGATATGTTTAGGTTCGCTGGTGGTTGAATTTCTTATCGGTCAGCGGCTAACGAAGAACAGTCACCAACAGCGGGTGCTATGGGAATAACTTAACGTAGCTAACGTACCCAAAAAGTTGTGTTTGTGCACAACTCGGTGCCAAATCTAAGCAAAATACAAACTTACTTGCATTGAGCGCCAATGTACCAAGTTAGACAGCGAGCTGCACACCAGCTTACGAACACCATATAACCTATGGAGCCTACAGGAGTTGTGTAACTGGGCAAACGCCGTATAGCTGGAGGTAAACAAACAGGTAAACGGTTACCTTGATTAAATGATCCTGAATGATCTGTTTTAGTTCAGACGCTTTCTCCGGTGGCAAAGACATGTTTCAACCGCCTGACTGCATAAATCCCAAACTATAACAAAACAGATAAAGTAGAACGTAGTTTTTAAAGTTCGCGACCAAATCTGACACATAAACCACCGCTATTGTTTTTCACTAGCTGATTGTTTCAGTTGTCAAAATCAGCCTCTGCCCCTCCTCTTCTTCGCCAGTTTAAATCCTGGCGGAAAAGGCAGCGGGAGGGTAGCTTCACAAACACCGGCACTGTTTTACCACGTTTATGTACAGCTTTGGAATATTTGGACAAACTGTTCAATAACAAATATACCAACTTATTTTGAGTGAAATTGTTATTTTAAATTCTGTTATCAGTTTTGTTTCCGTGTGAATTTTATTTGCTATATTTAAGTCAGGCGCTCCTTAGACTGCCATAAACGTTGTCACGGCAGGAAGGACCTCTTTGTAGTTTTTGTTTTTCAACGTTGATGTTTAACGTTACAGTGTGTTTGATGAGTCTGCTGTATTGTTTCCACATGATTGCTAAAAATGATGAGACTAGACAAACTACAGTGTAACATTATTTTTTCTTTGGTTTTTGAGCAGGTGTTTAGTTGTAAACTGCGTCAGCCTCAAAATGACAGTGTTTTGTTAATCGCCAGTGAAGCAGCCGAGAACTACATCGTGTGTCTGTGTTTGACCTGTTAAAGATCACAGCGCACAACCCCTGTTGTACGTTTTAGGAATAGCGAGAACAAAACTCAAGACGACAAAATATAAAAATAAGGCAAAGTCAAAACTCCAGGAATGACGGAAATGAACGGATGTTTTTATTAATTTGCTGCCAGGTGTCATTTAAAGTAACAGTTTAATGTAGACACAAAATTAGTCAATTTTCTTGCTTCCTCATGTTTTGATTGGTAGCAGCAGATGTTTCGTGGCATGAGAGGCGTGTGATTAAAAAAAGTAAAGAAAATCTAACAAAGATAATCTTGTAATTAAACGTAACAGAGGAAGATAATAAATATGGCCTAATTAAGATAATTTAAAAATGCGGACATTGTTTCTTGTACCACCCCAACGCGACCCAGAGGGATAAGTGGTTTAGATGATGATGATGTGTGTGCGTGTGTGTGTATTTCTTGTACCTGCTAAGAATAATGGTCCATATGCTGTTAATGCAACGCACATACATCTAACTCATGCTGTGTTTTATTGATCAGTTTGTTGGGTATCGGGGTGAATTTTAAATAGATTTAATCTGAAACCAGTATAGACTTTTGTTAGATTCAAAAGTGTTTTTATTGCTAGAACAAAGAAGCTGAAAATAAACTGATCATGAAAACTTTCTGAAAAATCTAGGTGACACAGTTCAAAGTGGGAAGGTCAGACAGAACAGTTTGTGAATAATGCCTAGATTACAAAAGGGCTGTATAGAGGATAGATGCAATATACATCAACGTATTTTTCAGTAAGGACATCACTCCTTTTTCATCTTCGCTGTCTTTTAAAACTTCAGAATTGTACCTAGTAGGCCTGTAACAATGTGCCCATAGTTAGCTTCCTAATCCAATATTGTAGCTTTGTAGTATATTTCATCGCTACCTGGAGGGATAAGTACAGATCAATTCATTTTTTCCAATTCTCACAATAGTAAGAAAGCTGGATCCAATGAGAATCTCTATTGCCTTCACAATCAAATTAAGCATTTTCCCATATGTAGTTTGCCACGCTTGATGGATGGAAATGAATCAGTCTTTCCCGTTTGGTAAATTAATTCAATTTTATCATGCCATCGGTAGCCACTTCTGCAAATACTGGATCAGTTCCAGGAACTGAGGCTGTGTAAGGCCTCTCATTTGGTCCACATTGATTTCACTAATTCAGCAAATCAATTTTTAGTTCCGACAACAGCCCCCAACGAAAAAAATCAAATCTATATTTAGTTTGGGAAACCATGCTGAAGCAGCCTACAGACACCATGCTTCCTTTAACATCATTACAGAGCTGTGGCCAAAACTATTACACTTAAAGAAGGTAGACAATGTCATTTAGAAGAGTCTATCATCTATTACAATCACCATTTACTGTAGTATATTTGCGGTCTTTTTCTCACATACATCAATCAATTACTTCTATAACTTGTGATTTTGGGTCGTTTTCGGGTCGATAGTTTTATTACTATGATGAAATAAACCTGCGGTCAGCTATGCTTTGATGATGAGTGGACAAAAAAGCTATCCAGATCCAACTTCTAAACTTGTAGTGGGTGCCTTCTGTCTAAATGCAGTCTAAATATCTAAACTCACAAAAGGTACAACGAAGGACCTCTAGAACAGCCTTACCAACAGAATCTCACCACCGAGATAAACAAGACAAAGAACAGATTTTCTTGTTCAGCAGAAGTTTTGTGTTTTACTATATACATTATTATTATTTGAAAATTGGGCATGACCCACCCATTAAATTCAGTGATTTATTTATCATCGGTTCATTACTAAAAACTCCTGAGATGTGAACGTAAAAGACCATTAATGGGAGCAAATTTTGGCTTCTGACAAACTGACAAACATTTCTCCCACTGGTGAGCCACTCATAAATGCATCATTTGCCCAGTGTTGAGGGAGTGATTTCCCAAAACAGATTCCTATGAAACAGCGTGTTTCTGGGACTAACATCCATCGTCTATACTGGTTATAATGGATCAAGCTTCCTAACACTGTACAGGTGTTAAGGCCCAAGGTTAAGTGCTTGAACAGTTATGGAATTACTAAAGTAATGAATGTAAATATAATGTTCAAGAAATCAGGCAGAATGTCCTAGTATGAATGTTTCCAGTAAAAACCACTCTCCACGGACCGGGGACTGGTGAGCATCCTTTGCTTGCAAAAATCCAAGCATTTCATTATTAGAGAGTCCTTTGACCTGGGTCCCAGTGTAAAATAAAAAAAACAGTGGAAAGAGTCTGTATGGTGATGTGAGGTCATTGGGAGAGAAAAGCCCAGCACGCGAAGAGTCCCAGTGCTACAGCTGCTCCAGCTCCTACATTTAAGAGAATGGGTCTCCAATACAGCCAGTTCTCCTTCTTCTTCTCCGATTCACTCAGCTTTTGCTTCATCTGCTGAAGCTTCTGTGCTGTACTGGCTATCCGCTCCTCACGATGCCTCTTACGCAGGCTACAGGGAAAAGAAAAGCACTGGTTTAATTTGATGTTAAAGTAACATAGCACCATCGGTTTTCCATGTATGAGGTGAAAAGGTTGATTCTTGTACGGCTAGAAATGTACTCAAATCTGATTTTTGTTAATTAAAGTGAAAGAAGTCTAAATGAATGTGCTATTTAACTAATTCATGCCAATTTTATTCTTTGTTCCTATTATCTTGTTTCAAAGTGCTTTCCACATAGGTACTAAAAACATAAAAACATTTAATGACTAGTACTTTTGTCATCTGAGTAACTGCTAATTGTGCACAGATCAACAGGTTTTGATGCAAAAGACATTGTAGACCACTTTTGAAAGTTTGTGGAGTGATATACGTTGTTTCGAGTGGCTTTACACATACAAGAAATATCAATGCAATATTAATTAAATTAAAGGTGCAAGATTAATTCCACCTTTATTAGAGAAATAAAACTTTTCCCATTAACATCAGCTGTTATTCTTCGGGAAAAAAACTCTTTATATTAAAACATGTTACAGATACACAGCATTTTTAATTGTAAATTGACAATGCAATTTAAATGCTTTAAGCAGTGGGACAGCCCATGTTTTTAGGTGAAAATTCCCCTTTTCATGCAGGATTTAGATAACATAAGGGGTTATCAAATAAACTTAAGACATTTATGAAACTAAGACCTCCACTAACGTTTAGTCAGTATCACAAAGGCAGATACTACTAATGAACTAAGTCAAGTCAAGGTTAAACCCTGCATTTTCATATTTCAATGGCAAAGAAAATGGGTTCAGCTGTGATGTTCCTTAGCCTAAGCTGGTAGGGAAATGAAAATAGCTATGTTGCACCTAATGATTTAAACTACATGATTATTGGAAATATGTACCAGTATGTCATTAGCGGAGTCCACAGTCCAGTTCTCAAAGACACTTTATTTTCTTAGTCAAATAAGCTGAAGCCAGGGCAGAGAAGTTGTCATAATAGCAAAGACGGCAAGACTTTAAACCACTGTCACTAACACAAAATTCCTGCTTTATGAAAGACCTCTCTGGACAGACAATGAAACACAGTACCATACCTTTCCGATTTTAGTTCCATTCTCTGCTCTTCCTTTGGTGGCTCTATTAGATTGCCTTTCCCTCCTGGCTCTTCCATCTGTCCATTCAGTTTGTCTAGGGGTCTTGTGTTATCCATGGGGAGAGACCCCAAGTAAGCCTCTGGCTCCTTGTCCTCTTTAGACAGCTTCTGCCACTGCTGCTGCAGTACAAACGAAAGCATTAAAGGACCCAAATCATGGAAAAACAACAAGTTTTGAACTTAAAACTCAAAAAGTAATGTTTACTCCCCTATGTACGGAAACTGAGCTGCAGTAACAGCCCATTTAGAACTCACTGTTCTTGTTACGGTACGATGCATTTACATATATCCACCTATTCAGCCTCCATCAGTTTAGCCCCAGCCATTCATGCTAAGGTTCGTCTGGTAAAATGCATGATTTTTGAATGAGGCACAATACAGGGTATCCAATCAGAAATTTACATACATTACTGTTAAAGTTACAGCAACAAAAACAGCCTGTTTAATTCTATGGGAGAAAAAGAAACTGGAAAATCAATTATTACTGTTTCGGTACATACAAAGTGACACAAGCATTAGAAGAAAAAAATAAAAGACGAGAAAAAAGTAGGACATGGGCCCTTTAAACAACACTGCATGTGCACAGCTTAGAGGCTCAATCCAAATTACTTTGACCTGTCCTATAAGTACACCTAGTTGTAGATGTCATATCAGCAATGCCCACAATGTGTTGTCTCCATTAATGACTCTAGAGTACACAATGACTCTATCAAACTACTTTTAATGTTAGACCAAGACAACGCAAGTAAACACAAAATGCTATTTTTAAATTAGGATCTCAGTTATTGAAGGAAAAATGCTGTTCAGCCCTACCTGGCCCTATGGAAGTAACTGCCCCCTTAGCTACTAAATCTACCAGTTAACTAAATTCCGTTGACTGTTGGGTTCAACTCCACTAGCCACGCCCAGGTATGATTACTGTCAAACTTGTTGAATGTAAGCATCACTTAAAACAGAACCTGTCTGGCAATGTGAAGCAGGGTAGAAGGTCTCAAACAGCAGTACATGATGCCACGTTCTAAAGAAATTCAAATACAGATGCGAAACAAAGTCACTGAAATCTACCAGCCTGGAAAGGGTTACAAAGCCACTGCTAAGGCTCTGGGACTCCAAACCACAGTGAAGGCCATTGTCCACAAAAAACTTGAAGAAAACTTGGAGGAACAGTGGTGAACCTTCCCAGGAGTGGCTGGCCTACCAAAATTTCATTAAGAGCGCATCAACTACTCAACCAGAGAGTCACAAAAGAACACAGACAAACATATAAAGAACTGCAGGCCTCACTTGTCTCAGTTGAGGTCAATGCACATGATTCCACAATCAGGAAGACAGTGGGTAAAAATGGTGGAACTTTTTGGAAGACATGAATCCCGTTACATCTGGCACAAAGCTAGCACTGCATTCCACCGTAAGAACATCACACTAACAGCCAAAACACACACACACACACACACACACACACACACACACACACACACATTATCCAGGCTGCTTATCCTCCTTGGTCTCGAGGGGTGCTGGAGCCTATCCCAGATCCCAAAACAGGTGGGGGCAAATACATTTTCACAGCACTGCATATATAAGTAAAGCTATGTAAAGGCTTAACAACAAAAGAGAGTGACAATACAGTTACAAGTATCCAAAACTCTAATTTAAGGGATACTGAACATGCCACATGGCTGTCAATATGCATCGTACTACCTGCAGAGTGGCATCTCCCAAGATGCACTTGGCTCCTTCCTTAATGGCCATGTATGAGAAGCGGAGCTGGTCTGGAGTTTGGATGAGGCCCATGCGATACTCCCTCATGTCTAACAGCACTTTCTGTATATCCACAGACACTGGGTCCTTCTTCTTTTCCATCTGCAGAACGGCAAATCAACACTTCTGACGTAAGGTTAAGCTTGTCTGAGACTAAAACAATCTCTCTGGGCTAGTTAACAGAACAGGACTGCAGGTCTGAAAAGTAGTTTCACACCCCAAAATAAACACCGAAGTAGAACTTTTCTAAAAAGTAAATCACATAGGTAATCGTAAACTTGTTTAATTTCTTTCATTTTTTTTTTAAACATGCCCTCACCCACTTCAACTCACCACTCAGGCCCCATTTTGAAAACATTGAATTACAGCCTGCTATTCAAAATCTACAGTACTGTAACACAGTGCCGTAAACTTAGAAAATCTCTGCAAGAGCTTCTAGTAATAGAATAGCCTTTAATGTGCCACTGGGGATTCCCCCAAAGGGAAATGACGAGGCCAAGCGCACAAGGGTTTGTTAAAACCAGTATCGAAACGAGAGGATGAATCTCTAATTTACCACTTTGTTTACACACATATATGTTTCAATTTAGCACATTTAATAGAATAAAACAGGGCAGCCTTAAGGGAAGGAACTTACCAGGACAAGACAGGTATCAACCAATGAGAACGTTCCTGACCGGCCAATCCCTGCACTGCAGTGGACCACGGCCGGACCATTCTCAGGCTCCAATGAGCCCGACTCTCGGACCTTGAATAAAAAGTTGAGGAAAGACGCAGGCGACTCTGGCACACCAAAATCAGGCCATGTCGTATAATGGAAGTGGTAGATGCATCTGCTCTCTCCTGTCTGTACAGAGTAGAACAACATTACAGACATATTAAAAAGAGAAACATTCTGAATATGTTTTACTAAGCATAAAAATTAACAATGCAGACTTGTGTGAAAAACAAGTTCTTTGGGGGACTAACGTTTCCAACCTGTTGCTGGGTGAAATGAGCTTAGAATGATATTTAAGATCTGCAGAAAAAACAGGGTCCAAGTCAATATACTGTTGTAGGAGACTATTAGCCACATTATCTGCTGAGCCTGTTAGCTATCTCCAATTACAGAGAATATAAAGTTAGATACAAGACAGCCTGTTAACACATTGAAAATGCATGACCGTATTTTTAGCATCAGTTATTGTTTAGCTTGTAAGCAGACTTAGTTGTAAGACAGAATCACAAAAACATGTTTTTTTGCAGCATAAAATGTGCAGCTGTAGTCTGAAATATTGGTGTCGATATACACAGTCATGTTATTCACTTTATGTGTTTATGCACTGATTGCTGACAGGTCATAACATTTTTAGCAGGTTTCCATTCAGATTCAGATAAGATACAGGTTTGTAAATTGTTGCAGCCGTGTCATAGACGTCATAGGGCCCAGCTTATGTTTTCCCTAAGAACAATTTTTCACTTCCCCATACCCATCAAGTTATGTCCATAATTTCAATCATACCATATTTGGCATGCAACACAACGCTACTTTAGAGCACCTGAGGCATGCCAGCCAATTTCTTAAAAACTGAATTCACTGTACTGAATCCTGTTAAACTGTTCATTTTGTTTAGAATGTTAATGTATAACAAATAGTTAGCAAGAGCTCATATGAGAACAGGAACTGAACAGTTTGAAAAGTTTGTTTGAAGAAGCTAAAGCAAGGAGTCTGTGTAAGAGCATCTTACATTGGTGTTCTGAAGCTCCAGCTCTCTTATTGTGTAATATGACTTGACATCTTCAGACACTAGAGTCACCACAAACCCTGTGTCACTGAAATCCATCTGTCTTTCATCCTCCGAGGGCCAGTACTGTGCACATTTCTCCTGCCATAGAACATAAATTAAAAAATAATATATAGCCTGGGCTAATCCTTACATATGGACACTTGTGGGTAAGCAATAGACATGTGGGAAAACAATCCATGCAACATTCACTTACAGTGCCTTTTTCTACGACTCTGTTCAGCATGATAACTGCTTTGGACCTCTGCTCCCAGATCATTAACCAGAAATGACCACAAGTATTCCTCAAGGGTCCCTGTGTATCAGAAACATGTAATGTAATAACCTACGTAGGCCACTCCACTCAACAGATGAAAAACTGCACTCAGCTACAAGCAGAAATGAGGTTTCTCCTTTAAAAAATAATGTATATAGAGTGTATATGAAAGTGTTTGATGGAGGTCAGGCTTAACTAATTGTTACATGCTACAGGGCATGTTACATTTAAACAGCAATAATTATTACACTGTATTAAAGTTAGAAGTACTTAAAAGGATAGTCCAGAAGGATAGTTTAACATTATTTACCAAAAAACATATTTTCTTTTTTTCCTTTGTAAAATGTAGGATTCTAAATGAAGACAGAGGGGAAAATACCCCCATATGCTTCCAATGTTTCTACAGTGCAGAGAATAAGGCAGGAAAATTACAGTTAGAAACTCTAATACTGATACTATGTTTTCCAACAGTGCAATTATTTCCATTTTATGGTTGTACCTGATAAAAAACAGAACATGTAATCTCACAATTCACCTGAACTGATCTAGTGCACCTTGCTTGTTTAATCTGTTCATGTCCAGCAAATAAATTTAGTACAATTAGGATAAATTTCACAGAACATGTTTGATTCATCTAAAATAATGGATTTTTGTATAGTTATCCCTTGAACCCATCTGCTTTTTTTAATAACATGCCAGTTTCATACTGTTCTTCAAAATGAAACTCTGATTTTCTATTATATTGTTAAAATCAGTAATCACACGTAAAGAATTTTATAAATTTAAGAATTTAATCAATTTAAACTATTTGAAAAATTTCTTCAAATTTGTGCTCAGGCAAGCTCAGACTACATATGGGCATAATAGGTTAAATATGGCCAAAATACCATTTAATAGGCTAGTCATCAAATGAAGATATTATGCTTTACAATAATTATGGTTATAATAATTAAGACCATTTAGAACACAAAAATGAAAGTAGTTTTTTCATGCACTTAGGAAGCCAGTAGGAGGTCATGTTTCTGTCAAAATTTAGCAGCACATATTTTACCACAAAACACCAAAATCACTTTGGATCAATATGTTGGACTATTACTTTAAAGACAGTACATATAAAACATAACACTGAAATATAAAAGCAGGCTCATTTAGTTATCTGATGGTTATGGTTATCATATGGTTATTTTTTTTCTACAACAGGATTATTTTAGTTATTTTCAGACACTGTGACAAGCCAAGAATCCAGCTGACTATCAGTCAGTCAGCAATATGTGAGTGAGAAGTAGACCAAAGCAAGAAAGACATACACATTTAAGCAGTACTACACACAGACTATTAGGAGCAGCTCCACTGACCAATGGCAATGCATCTGTTGATAAATGATTATTAAATCGTAACTTTGATATTTCAATTCTTGCAACAATATAGACACAAAAGTATCACCACTGTGAAATGCCAAGAGAGTTGTGGCCATTTTGCTTCAGTTTTCTATGCCTTTTCTTTTTTCATTTTGGGCACCAGAAAGTCAACATTTCTCCTTACAAATGCAACTCCACATATATTGCTGCTGTCAGGAGGTTTTCTTCTATCTCTAAAATGAGAACTTCATAGAAAAAGAAAAAACCTACCTTACTTTTAATATAAGTCAATGGAACCAGACCTTTTTCCAAGTAATTTTGGGCTGTTTCTTTTGGTCAATTCTTCATTAAATTTACAAACAATGTAAAGGACAACAGGCATTTTCAAATTATGTCAAAAACTGAAAAACGACAAAAATGGAGACAAGGTTTTCTTCCGACAACAGTGATATATTTTTGTCCATATTCAGGCCATGTCTATTTGCATAAACATCTACATGTATTATATAACTTAAAGTAATGATGAAACTTCCTGTAATACAATTTCTCCAAGCATGTTATATTAGTCGTTACAGTTTAACAGCACATTACTCTGTCATTAGCACCTGTACTAATTTATAGGATAGGACCAATGTCTGCCTTTTACATTTTAATGAATATTACATGGCTCCTGAGAGTTGATTAGTACTTGAGCACTACGGGGAAACACACACAAGAATCATAATAAATTCAAGCTTCTACTGAGAAAATGATTTCAAGGGAACTGTTCATGTTGAAAGGACACATTCCCTAGACTTGTATGTAAAGTCAGGTTAATTAAACAGCTCACTCGTACCTGTGTTAGTATGTAGCTTCTCTGGGCATCCTCCATGTTTATTAGGCTTGCATTTATGTAGTCATTTTCTGAGCTTTCTAATCTCACCCGGCTGTGATCGTCTAAAAGAGACAAGAAGTTAGTGAGGGAGTCTACACTAAAAATAAAACTGACACACTGTTTAAAGACAATGACCTCAAAACTGTTTTCAAGTCACAAACAATCAAAATAAACACTGCATCTGCCATAGTCATGGACAGACAATACTGCAAAGATCAAAATTCAATAATTCCATAATGTAGTTTTCTTTTCTATTTTTTTAAGTCACTTACACGGACTGACATCTCTGTATCTGTTTCTGTTCCGATTTTCTGGAAATTTTGCCACTTTGTAGGAACACTCCTGAGACTGATTTCGAATTTCCTATAAAAAGAAAAAAAGTTAAAGTGTAACTAAACTCTCATATATTTATTTAAGCTTTAATTTAACCAGGCAGACCATTAAGAATATTAGTACTAATAGTAATAATAAAGACAAAGCTACAAAAATATACGTTGGGACCCAAAAGTCTGAAATCACACTGGAAATCTGATTTTTTTTTTCTGTTCATTTAAACCTGAACGCATTAACGTTCTGATAAATGTAAAAAAAAATATGAGAAGTAAAATAAAGAAGCAATAAAGACATAAGATTCTGAACTATTTCTAGGCCAATATTTAAATTTATGCAATTTTGTGACACTAACCACATTAAGGCATTTGTATAAAAAGGTCAGATTATTTTAAGTTTTTCTTATCGTGTAGTCCATGCCAGCTCAAATGCATGCTGTCAATAGAGGGACAAACCAAACACTAAAAAATGATCTGAAATTCATGTTCAAAAGACTATTTTTCACACAATTTGTTATATGTTTGTGTCCAACACACACACACACACACACCACACACACACACACACACACACAAAAAGATAAATACAGTTCAAGTGTCTCTAAAAAAATATGAGAAATATTACCAATTTGAACGTTTTTGGTAATGTGTTTCAATTCCTATCAGTAGCAGGTTGAAATAACAAAAAAAACAAGTGTATAATAATACAACAAAAATAGAAACAGTAACAGAAAAAAACATAGTATCTACTGATAGGAGTCTAAAATAAAGGTAGCCCAGATAGGTTATTGTTAAGTGTTATTGTTAAGACAGCAAATCTCATTTTATGAACAATCATAAAAACAGTGCAACATGGAGAGAGTAATTCTAGAAGAAAAATAAATAGACCGTCCTTGTGGCAATGAGTGCAGCGCTGAGGTGAGGTTAATACCAGAGAAGCAGCAAGCAGACCTTCAGCTCCGACTGACTGACACACACACACACACACACACACACACACACACACACACACACTGAATTCTGAAGAAATCCCCCCTCAGTTCTCAGAAAACATATCAATGCACGTTTCACAGGAAGCGTGAGTACAGCTCATGTATGGCAGCAGCAGCTCTGTGTGGTAGTGTAACCAACGTGTTCTTGAAATTAAACACGACTTGCTGTTCACGCTGCTGCAGTTCCTCAAAGTAAACATGTAACTTTAGTAGCCGGTATGTGCCAACATCTCTCACCCTGGATTTAACGTGAAGCGGTGTAAGAAGAACGTAGCTAATTCGATTTATTTTATATTTCAGTGGTGGGGGGGACTCCGCGTGATGTTTGTGGATAACACGATCACACATTCACTGGCCATAAAACTGTGTGAAAGTAATACAGTCTGAAAAAAAAACAGAAATCTGCATTTAGTAACACATTTAAGATGACCGAGCCAGCTATAGCTGCAGCTCATCATCACCGTTTCTAGGTATCCTCCCGCGCATGCGCACTCCTAATCTCTATACCAGCCAGGCCAGCAGCTAGCTAGTTTAGTGTTGATTACTTATTACAATCCCTCGCGCAAGTCAAAAAAACTCATACCTAACGTGAAACATAATTCTGCGAGTTAAAATTAACTCTGACTGACTTACGTTATAGAGGTTTTGCCACTGTCCAGGTGAATCTATGTCCTCGAACTCCTCCTGATCCATGTTTAGTCAGGCTAATCAGTAATTTAACAAAGAAATGCTGCTATCAGATTTTACTTAGAAGACTGAACGCCTGTTTGATCCTGCCTTCAGGGGTGTCTGCGAGGTTAAAGTGGCAGGAGAGAGCGCGCATTGCTGCTTTTAACTCGTCCTGGTCAAAGAGGATAAAACGCGCCTGAGCTGAGCTCCTGTCCGGCGGAGCTGCTTCCGTAGCTCAGCTCGAAGCCCCGCCCCTTTCGGCGTGGCGCGTTCAGCATGCTAAACGTACGACGCGGTTTTCTGTCAAAGCAAAAAAGGCTTGGAGTAGTGAAACAGGGTCGTAGCACCAAAGTTTGGGCCACAGACTAAGTAGTGAGCCATATGCTCCCCTTCCCCCTTTCCAAGAAAATAAAGGAAGGAAAACATATATGATGTATTTGTTACACTGCATTTCTTACAACACAGTAAGGGTGCGTTAACTCACCAATCTTGATGTAGTTCATCGAGGATTAGACTTAGTCTCTGTTCAAAACAATCAATGTAATTAGAGAGAAATTCGAGAGAAAAACTTCTCAAAATCGCTCAACAAATGGTTGCTTGGAAGTTACCTGTTAGCCACCTATTTGGAAGCTCATCTTCATCACTGCTGAGGAACATCAGGTATATAAGCAGAACTCAAAAGATGATCGTGAAAAATGCAGTTTTGTATTACTTATTTTTTAACAAAGAGTATCAAAATTAGAAACCAAAATCAATTTTTTTCTGTGGCTTTTGAAGGGCCCCCAATCAGAACGGGCCCTGGTTAGTCAGATCCATCATTACCCACAGTCTGAGGCACTAGTTAAGAAAAAAGCACAAATTTTCTTTTGGATCTGATACCAAGTAATATCAAGGATAATATCCTGATACCAATACCTGTACTTTAGCAGAAGAGAATTCTTTGTGATTTCTACAGTGAAACCAGTTGAAAAGGTGGACATTAAATTTACATTTGAATGCATTAGTGTTAAATAAACTGCCACATAAACTGCCTGTTTAGGATAATTAATTCAAAAGATCTGCTATTGTAGAGCCTAGGTTCGATTCCCGGCCGGGCAGCCAGGGTCATTTTTTGTGGAGTTTGCATGTTCTCCCTGTGTCTGCGTGGGTTTCCTCCCATAGTCCATGCAGTCAGGCCAATTGCATATGCTAAATTGCCCCTAGGTGTGAGCGTGTGCGTGAGTGTATATGTCTGTCTGATTCTTTGACTCCAAGATGTCTGAGAGTCAGGGTCGGCTCTTGGCCACTGACTCTAATCTAATGGAAATGCTTGGAGTCGACTCTTCGACTCTGTGTTTTTTTCATCGTAATCGGCTGGAGGGACTTGACAGCAGCGCAGCAATCCAGAAAAGAGTCTGAGTTTGATTAGCGTGAGTTTGTTTAATTACTGGCTTTAAATAATGTGACCACTGCTCACAAGCCGCTGTGAGCACAAATCGGTCCTGCACCGCAACTCTTCATGTTCTTCATGTTTAGGGTTCCAAAACACAATTATTAGAAACGGCACAAGGACCGAAAACTAAAACCAAAAACAAGCAATATGTTTCACAGAACGCTGCCTTTTTTACTTTTCACAATCACTTTAATAATACTGATGTATATTTAGTGTACTGCCTAAGAAAAATACTGTGTCCTGTTAGGATTGATTCTCAAAAAGAAACGTCAGGATTGGAAATATCGACATTTCAGTATCCCTGTTTGGAGGAGGCACACTGTAGGGATGGGCAATTACACTAATTTGCTTTTCATTCTGAGACCAAGTAATACCAAGAGTAGTGCTCTGATATCAATATTTTTCCACAAGTCTTGTTTTGCACAAGGGGAGTTATGAGTCCTAAAGTCTAAAGCACATGTATCAGGCTCCAGTCCTCGCAGGCCAAAATACTGCAGACTTCAGAACACTGCCTCATTAAACACATCTGATTCAGTTCATCGGCTAATTAGCAAGGCTTTCATGAATTGAATTTAGAGGGTTGGATGAGGGTAATTGCTAATCTCTGCAGCCCTTTGGCCTCAAAGGTCCAAGTTTGACATGCCTGGTCTAAAGAGTGCATGGACTTCAAAAAGTTTCATTTGAAATGCTTTGCACTGGTATTAAATAAACTTCTACATTAACTGATCATTTGTGGAGTAAAATAATTCCGTATGTTCTGCCATTACAGCATTCAGTATCTTCTGTGGCTCTAGTAGAAAAAGTAGTTCAGTAAAGATACAGTCAAGTTCATAAAACAGATAGACATTCAGTTTACAGCTACTTTGAGAAACCATTTAATAAAATTAACTTACCAATTCAGAATTGTCCACAGTGGTGCTGATAGGAACCAGACGACTGAAGAGTTTAATGCCTCTAAAAGCTCCCTTACAGAAAATTATTTCAATAAATGGCTCCTAATACACTACGTGATGTCTAAGATGTTGTTTTATGATAGTTTTGAATAGGTTTTGGCATAAAACATACATTTGAAATCTATAAATGGCAGGGACTTACATACAGGGTGTTGTACAGTGAAATGTAAAGAAAACTGAAAAAAAGAATTGTATCAACTTTACATATGAAAACTTATGTAGATTCACTGGTTATTTTGGTTTTGTGTTGTAGATATTGTGACCCCAGTTTCCTACCACCACTACTGTAAAGAAATCTGAGTCAGCATGTTTATCTACAATAAACCATTTCGCATCAAACTACTCTGAATTCCATTCTGAATCGGTGGAATTTCCCTTTAAATCTACACATACAGGTAGCAGTTATTCTCCAGCAGATGCAAGGCTCTGTCTGTGCTCTGATAGGCTAGAGAAGACTCAAGAGAAGACTTGTAATGTGATGCACATGCAACTTTTGCTTCAATATGTTATGTGGCTCTTTGGTGCCTATATTATTTTACATACTACATAGCATTTCCTGATGTAGTCTATTCATATGCTTAGGGTGTGTAAATTATTGTTGATACATTTAATACTCCTAACTCAGCAAAACATTTGTTGCAGTGACATGAAAAAAATTAAAATATACCTGAAAAAAATAGCTTGTGTTTGTTTATGCTTAAACAGCTCTGGAAATATTCATGTAAACTAACAAAATTATTCATTCTTAATTAATTGCAATAGCCTATTGTTCCTGTACAGTAATTTCTGCACATTTCGGCAGTAGTGGGGTTTTAATTATTTTAAATACAGTAGAAGAGTTTGGGCTGATATGACCTTTATTTAATTTATTTAGTCATTGAATATTTAAGAGCTATGCATTTATCTCATTTTTGCATCTGCAGTGGACTGGTCCAGTCTTTCAGCCACTTCATGCCTTGTGGTCAGGGTAGGGTGGGGTCCTAAAAAAGAGGTCACCTTAGGTCAAAGGCCTCTGGGCACATGGCCCATTGGCCCAGTCAGTACTCCATCCCTGGTCCTGTAATTGCAGTTTAAGCCTGTACTATGAAATTGTATGGAGCATGAGGACTAAGTAGGTTTGCCACCTGTCCAGGATTTCAGTTGGCTGTTTCACTCCTGGACAAAAAATTGTCCAGGAATCCAAGCGTTTTCATATATGTTAGCATTTCTTCTGAGGTTCAAACTGCTTCTTTTTGTCCAATCAAACCATTTGTATACACAGAATGGATTTGAATGGTTACCAGTAACATAGGGACAATTGTTTCAGAAAAGTCGGTTCAAGCCACTGATCTACGGTCTAGGAATTTTGCAGGGCTGAGATGGCTACCATATCACTAAGTAGGCATATCAAACTGATTTTAGCAACACTGCTATCTCTCACTGCTGAGCAGTTTGCATCTGCAAATGCACCTCAACTCAGACTGAAACACGGTGCAAACAAAGCTACAAATAATGTTCAGCAAAAAGCTCTACAAAATATGCTAAAATGTGCTAAAACTGCGCCAATCACCAATCCAAACAAAGTGAGCAACTTTTTAAAAGTGATCTATCTGATCACTGTCTTCGGGTTACAGCACTGCACTAAACTCCCATTCGTTAATATTCACTATTAAGGTCACGTGCTAGTCTTAAACGTCACTCTTTCACAGCTGCCTGCGATGAATGCTTAATAAGATAATACGTTTATCTGTTTGGCCTACTAAGCAATTATGCAAGCCAATCCCTAAGACGTGCATGATTGGGTGCACTTTTCCAGCCACATTCAGAGAATCCACATAAGGAGAAAGAGAGAAAGAGCGTGTTCGCGCCGGGCAGCACTGAGTGTTCCTGCTCAAACACTGAATTAAACATGAGTGGAATCAGTTCGCTCCTCTGTGTGGCGGTGATGGTGGCAGTGTTGTGCTCAGGTAAGCTCTCATTGGTTAAACACCACCCTACTTGTTCTTAGCAGAGTATCTGCTGTTACTTTTTGTGGAAACAGCGTGACTTGTCACATAAATAAATCGGTTTTGAACATAAATCGGCCAACTGTGCAGTGTAGTTGCTCAGAAGAGAAGAAGGCAGGCACGTTTCTGCTCTGCAGCATTATTATGATCGATATAATCCTCTGGGCACGTGTAACGATGTGTTTAGCTTTCTCTCGGTTTGCATAAGAAGGTGACGATAATTTACAGTGCAGTCATTTTTTAGTTTGGTTTTAGCGGTAGCCTGTCTGTCCAAGTCACGTATAGACCTATATGCCACAACAAAAGCAGAGCATTGAAACGCTTAATCTGTTAATATCCATATCAAGGGTTTGGAAGCAGAGGGGTTAAGTGAAATTTGGGCGAAACATAGTTGTGTATCAATTTTAAAGCTCAAACTTGAATGCAACTTTAACATTGAGATGGCTCAAGGTATGGCTCAAATTTTTGCTCTCCTGTAAAATGTGTCCGCTGTCTCTTTGGGTGCCTTTGATATGTTCTTTGAGTTTGCCTAATAGTGTTTCAGACTGATCAGACAATGTAGCTAAAAAGTGAGTTTTGATCACAGTTCATCATTAAATTCAATCTTTGTCACATGAAACTACTACTTTCTAATAAATAGAAAATCCAAATAGTCTGAAAGTATAATCACAGATTCAACACTGTTCATTGTTCATGCAAGGTGGAACTATATTAAATTTCATCTCTTTAGACCTGGGGTGCCTCAACTTCTTGCTTTGGGGCCCAAAGTGTAATCTTTAGAGGGTCCAAAAGACAAAACATCATAGAAATTAAGTTTAAAAAAAATAACTGCTTTTGTTACTAAATTGCATAAACAATGTAGAAAGGTAAATAAGAGAGGAAAACTTTGTTCCCTATCTGAATGGAGTTGGGGTAACTTTTCACATGTCCTCATGCGCCAAATTTGGACAGCCCTGCTTTAGAGCTTCAAAAGTACTGTGACCTTTTCTTTCTTGTACTGTATGACATCATGCACTCTCAGAGGAAAAAAATGTATGAAACTGGGGCAGTACCCCTCTTGTCACTGGGGTGGTACCCTCAAGGGTACATCACAGTACCTTTTAGTCAGGGAGGAGAATATTATTTATTATTATTATTATTATTAATATTAATATAGTTCCACCTTGCATGAACAATGAACAGTGTTGAATCTTATTATTATTATTATTATTATTATTAATAATAATAATAATAATGATGGTGGTGGTAATAATCCTAATAATAAAAAATAAATTCAATTTTAAGTTATATTGACGCCACACAAGCCATCTTGTCTCCAGGTTTTTTATTTTATTGTTTTGTTTTAGAACATGAAGTTGTGAAAAGGTACAAATATGTACTTTTAACCTGGGGGGGACTTATTTAAGGTACATAATTGGACCTTAAAACCACCATTGTACCTTTTTTGAGGGTACATTTACATTGTTTCTTGATGAATGTAATACCTGCACAGAACCTTTATTTCTAACAGTGTAAAGTCAGAATTATCCCCCTGAAGTGAATTAAACCTGAACATAAACATGACCTTGGTTTTCTTAGCTTTAAGGTTGTTGTAGTAGCTGAGTGTGCCTAACAAATCTCACAACTTTTTGGTTTCATAGGACAAACTCTAGAATGCTTTCGATGTGATCTTGGATTCTGGGATGTGTGCTACACCACCAAAACAAACTGCAGTGATGGAGAACAGTGTTTTGTTGGAATCGGCAAGGCAGGTAAGTGCCACCTGCCCTCAGTGACTGAGGCATTACATGAACCTTTGCACCAGGTACAGTAACTGAATGCTATGTCTTCTTCCCTTGTAGCTTCTGTGCTGGACATAAAAATGATGGGCTGCCTTAATGAAGAGGACTGCAACAAGACTACCACTGTGGAGTTCCCAGTAAATAAGACATTATACTCCATGACTACACACTGCTGTGATGAAGACTACTGTAATGGAAGTCCTGCAGTTGTGATGGCACCCTTTACCCTGTTGGCACTAACTGTAGCCCAAACAATGGGTGTACTATGAATATATTTTGATGTAGGTTTTAGTATAAAGTTGGTGTTGTAGGTTTTGCCACATCTTTGCTTAAATGTACTCTAAACAGGTTTGGGGCTTTGAGAATACTAGGTCAGCAAGAAATGAGTGCATGTAGAAATTAACCAATATTAATAAAACTACTAAAGTTGGTGTGACTGTCATTTGCAACAAATACTCAACATTTTGAATAAATTGTTTTTTCAATAATCTTTTTCCTCTGTTAAAGGGCCATCATAAATCGATTTGTCCTCACTCTTTGAAATTTGTAGTACACTCCATTCTAGAGACCCTTGGCATCAGAATGGTCCACAGTAGTGATGGGAATCAGGGGTCTTTTTGTCTTAAGATCTGACCAGTCAGATCTTAATATTTTTCACAAATTCGTATTACAGAAGCAAATCTTATCTTGCTGCATCTTATCAAATTAGGAAATCTTAACAATCAAAGTCGACCATCAACTGTTAACTGTTACCAACAACCGACCATGTGCTCACAGCTGAAACATAAACACGTAATCAAGTTAGTTAGCCAGACAGCTAATGTTAGCTATCGTTACTGATGTGAAAAAAGGTCAAACAAAACTAAAGCGCGATAAACTTGAACATTGTAACAAAGCACAATATCAGTCTCCTCATTATTCAACACCATCACTAATATTTTATCTGATGGGGGTTTCTTTTGGGTTTTTTTTTATTTTTTATTTTTTTTTTTTAGTCAACATTAACACGTGAAGGTAATAAGAGGGGACGGTGGAGATCGTGTCTGGGATTTTTAAAATGTATGAAAGAAAACCCTCGTAAGTCAAGGCACTGTTTTAGGTGTAGATAAATGCAACGTTATAGTGAACTTTGTTGTCTGTCACTGCATAAAACGATGGAAACAGACGGTATAAACAGAAGTTAACACACCTTTGGAGTTGGAATTTAGGAAATTCTGCCTAGTTAGGAGTTTTTATAATACTGTTTTCTTATGTGGAGTTAATGGATAAGTTCATAATGTTAAGAACTGTTCTGTAATAGCTTCTGTCCTCAATTCAGTCCTAACTGAAGTTGTCATGGTGACTAAACAAATGAGATTTCAGACTTAAGTTTCTGTAATACGGCCTCAGATGTCTACAGTGTTTAATGTCTGAAAACCACCTCAGAAAGTTGGTACACAAAATACATGCAAATGTTGCCAAAAACTGGAGACATTGTTTTACAATAGACTTGAGAATGTTTTAGGTAGTAAATGAAATTCGCATTACAGACATTGCAATTACTGTTGCAGTCACCACTATGGTAAAGAAATCTGACTGGATTAGTTTCTCCACAATGCACCATTTCACATCAAACAACTCCAAATGACTATTTATATCTGATCATTTATTTACACAGAAATGATGAAAACACCCCTTTAAAGGCACAGTAACAAACAGCCTGTTTAATTCTAAGGGAGAAACAGGTTGGAAAATGGTCATGTAAAAATTAGTTATGAATATTTGGTACACAAACATAAGTGGACCTTGGGGGCAGGGAAAATCTAGTGATTCCTGTTGTAAAGGCAGAGGCAACCAACAAAGGGGCGAGATTTTACAGCTGACTGGCTGGGTAGTATTGTGAGCTGTGCACATGCTGTGTGTATTGTGCACTTTAAATCATTTAAATTAATTATCTTATTTTCTACATTCATTCATCAAGCTCTGGATATGTACATAGTTTACAAGTTTTGAGAAGGAAAAGCAAGTGTTCATTTCATAGTAGCAGCAACAAATCGAAACAGGTCATACCATTACATGTACCTTTTTTTCAGAAAAAAACAAAGTTTAGAGCCATACATGGTGCATTTTAATTCAAAGATTACAAAAAAAAACAGAAAACATTCAAAAAAATAAACACTTTGAAGAAGACCACGTGAATGTGAGACCCCTGCATTAAAGTCAAGGTCAGCTGGAAATCATCAGATTTGGAAATAAATCCAAAACAAATTTTCTTTCCATACCATGACATATTACCAGGTTGAAACGGCATCAGGAAGGGACTCCAAGCTAGCTGAGCATATTGGACAGGTGGGGGTGATGAAGGAGTAGATCAAACATATTATTAATGGTGCATGATAATTTCAATAAAAAGTAAGATTTTTTTAGGGGCAGACAAAGGGCATTGCATTTTGATGGAAGGAAAATAAGTTTTGCCTTTTAAATGAGAGGATGAATTGTGCTTAATGTGACCGGGGGCATGAAGGTTTAAAATAGGTCAGCTTGATTTTAAAAGATCAGAAACGACTGTAAATGAATAAGAAAAACCCTTAGATGACGTCTACTTTTGCCACAAAACACTGCTGTCTATTGTTAAGGCACAAAAAGGCACATTTTATACACTTCCATCGAGAAACTCTTTCGGGCACAGTTTACGGCCAGTGTGCTGGTATAAACTAACTTTTATCTCGAAAGCCCTGCTCGAACACACAGTGACTGCCGTGCTGTATATGACTCCGTCTCACAAAACAAAACTGGATGATACAAAACAAGATTAAGTCCTTCAAAGAAGTTTTGTTTCACTCCGTCTAATCACGCTGAACTCAACGAGTCAACAAAACAACAAGGAGTTTTTCGCTGTTTCTCATTTCTCATTCTCATTTTTGTGTTTGCAAAACAGTGGTGACCTGTCGCCCTCTGGTGGTTTGGAGCGATAGGCCTGCTCTAGGCCTAACCCTAGGCAGTCTCCTATAGGCAGAGCAGTAACGATGGCAGGTCTACTACACACTCTTTCATATTTAAATCAGTGTCTTAAAATCAATTTTGAGCAAGCAGAAATGCTAGTAAACATATATGCGACATGTAAAATTTGAATTAGAAAATTGTTTTCATTACATGTTGGGTAATTATAACATTCATTATATATTTTAATGAATTAACTATATTATGTAATTCATACATTGAATATATGAATTATCTAGTAATATTTTAAAGCCAGTATAGTCTATTTTTTACTTGTGAAAACTAAATTATCATGTAAAATTTAATTTGTACTAGTAAAAACGATTCTTGAGAAAAGTCAAGTTCAAAATTCTTGCTAGTGAGAACTGAAATCTTACCGGTTAAAAGTAATTCCTTCTAGTAAAAGTTGAATTTTGATTTTTAGATGTAAAATTATATATTTTTACTAGTGCTAGCTTACTAGTTCAAATTGATTTTCTGATATCAAGAAATTATAGATTAAAATCTAAAATGGCTTTCATACAGTTATAACTTATACACAACTTGGCACTTAAACCTCATTTACAGTCATACGCAGTTCCATAACAGCTGTTATGACTCTACATAGCATATGTGTTTGGGGGTGCCCTGCTATAAATAGCCTGTACTGTGTGTGGCAGCTGGGATGTTCGTTGCCAGCGGGTATTTGTCTCATTCCACCTCCTTCATTCTGAATTATGACTACTGTGGCTTTCTGTCAAGTAAGCTGATGTCTTTACAGCAACACAAAAACACCACACAACATGTGTGATCACCTCTACTGACCTTCCTTATTAATCACAAGAATTTACTGTTCCTTCTTTTCATGTGAGACCATCTGCCAGTTCACAGGATCCAATGAGATAAACATAAAACAATCACTTCTACTTTAAATTTGCTTTGACTCTACATTTGCCTGTATACACAGTGCTGTGAAAAATTATTTGCCCCTTCCCAATTTCTTCTATTTTTGCATATTCATCACACTTGAAAGTTTCAGATCATAAAGCTACTTTTAATATTAGACAAAGATAACCCAAGTAAACACAAAATGCTGTTTTTAAATAATGATTTCATTTATTGAAGGAAAAAGTAAGTGCCCCCTTAGCTACTAAATCACCCAGTAAACCAAATTCAGTTAACTATTGGATTCAATTTTACTAGCCATATCCAGGCATGATTACTGCCAGACCTGTTGAATCACTTAAATTGAACCTGTCTGGCAATGTGAAGCAAGATAGAACGTCTCAAAAAGCAGCACATGATGCCACGTTCTAAAGAGATTCAATACAGATGCAAAACAAAGTCATTGAAATTTACCAGTCTGGAAAGAGTTACAAAGCCATAGCTATGGCTCTGGGACTCCAGCGGACCACAGTGACAACCATTAACCACAAATGGAATAGTGGTGAACCTTCCCAGGAGTGGCCGGCCTACCAAAATTTCACCAAGAGCACATCGATGACTCATCCAGGAGGTCACAAAAGAACCCAGATGAACATCAACAGAATTTAAGAAAGACACTGGGTAAAAATGGCATCCATGGGAGAGTTGCAAGGCACAAACCACTAATGACCAAAAAGAAGACAAATCGTATTGCACTTACCCAAATACATCTAGATGACCCTCAAGACTTTTGGTACAAAATTCCATGGACTGATGAGCCAAAAGTGGAACTTTTTGGAAGACATTGGTCCCATTACATCTGACGTAAAGCTAACACCGTGTTCCACCATAAGAACATCATACCAACAGTCAACATGGTGGTGGTAGTGTGATGGTCTGAAGCTGCTTTGTTTCTGCAGGACCTGGATGACTGGATATTGATGACTATGCCAGCTACTCAGCAATTGATTTAAAGGTAGAACCGAGCAGGGCATTTTAACAAAGTGCACCACGGTTAATTCAATTGTGACTGTGGTCCGATACGAAAGGAGAAATATAACAACAGCAGTGCTTTCCTGTAAGATAGCTGTGCTGCTGTGTGATGTTGTGTAAATGGCAGCTTAAAAAATGAAAAAGGTTTAAAGCACTGCAAAAGGGTGGCATGAATCAGGCAGTCACAAAAGGAGACAAAGAGGTTAACATTACAGTTTGTATATAGTCAGGTTTCAGATTAAATTACAGACTAACTATGGTCAGGGTTCAGAATAAATTAGTTTGCAGACTGTCTAACTACAGGCAGATTTCAGATTGAATTAGTTTACAGACTGTCTAACTATAATTAAGTTTCAGATTAAATTATTTTATAGACTGTCTAAATGCCATCATATTTTATATCACATTGCTTTAACTACAGCCGTATTTTGTATTACTTAACATTAGACTGTCTACCATCAGATTTTATATCACTTTTACTAGTCAGAATTTGCATTACATTGCATTAGTCTGTCTAACTACCCTAGATTTTATATTACTTTAGTCACAGTCAGATTTTACGTTATATTACATTACTGTCTAACTACCATCAGATTTTAGATTACATCACTTTACAGACAGCCCAACGGCTAACTATTGAACTACCATAATTTAGAATGACATTAATTTAATCACAGTCAGAATTTTAATTATACATAACATTACAGACAGTGTAACGACAACCAGATTTGCCCGAGTACATTCAAACAAGAGGACTCTTCGCGCGATTGGCCCGTTGTTTGAAATGAATGAAACGTGGTGCTCCAATGAGATTTAAGATTTCTGCATAAACCCCGCCCACCAACAGAAACGTAGAGGCGGGCTCCTTCGGTTATGGCTTAACTCTGTTTTGGGGTTTTTTTGACCTACCTGTGAAGTAAAACGTTTGGTGGTCAGAACACCGTAGCAAACGATTAACGTTTCAGCGAAGGGTCAGCGATGAGCAGCTGACTGAAACAGCTTACACATTCGCCCGTTATTTGCTGCTCTGTTGAAGTGACGAAGAAGAAAAGGCAATAATTTGCTTGCAGACATTTTCCGTTGCTGCAGCTTCGTGGTTGTTAGCTGCTTCTGTTGGTGGTATTCAGCCGCTACAGGGGCAATGGAAAATTAAAGAGAACAGAAGTGAACACGGTGAGTGGATATGAAAGTCTCAGAGCTGGTTGTGTAGTTCACGTACAAGTTAGCCAGTTAATATGAGGGCGCAGTCATCCGTGCTTTGCTTTCTTCCCTGAGTTTTCAGCTAACGCTATGTAAGTTAGCTGGCTAGCTAGCTGTTAGCTTGCGTTTAGTAACGTGAAGGTAACCAATTTTGACGTTTTCCAGTAAACTAGCTATTCAGAATATTCAGCTACTTCATTTCAGATTCAGGCTAAAGACATTTTTAACTTTTTTAACGAAAGTAAGTTATGTACTAGCTACGCCTTTTCACCACTTGTATGAACTAACGTTACTTAGCTAGCGGAGTTGTCAACAAACTAAAAGAAAACTTTGTCATTGATAATAAGTGGACTGTCGGAGCAGGAAATTGTCATTTGTTTGTAAGTTTAACAGTTAACATTAGTCGTTGGTAGAAGTTGGCAAAGGAGCTGGCTAGCTAGAAAAGTAACGTTAATTTCACTGGCTTCAATTTCGAGATGCTCACCTTGACCCGATATCTACTACTCTGGTGTTTTGACTGGCCACCAGAAGAGCTTTAAGCTGCGCAGAACCTTTATCATTACTTGTCTTGTATATTTTAGTTAATGTTACTGGATAAACTATAAAAGCGATAGCCACTAGCATTAGGTTGTCAAGAAGTAAGAGAACCATTTGCTGTTCTTCTCACATATGGTTTATTTTTTGCAGGTCATGTGGTGAGTCTTGTGTACGTGAGTCACACAAACATGGACAGCTTCCGAAACCTCGAAGATGAGACGTTTCCCAGCTTCCTCTCCAATGGTTCACTGGGCAGTAGTGGCTGTGCTACCCTGGCCAATGTAACTCTGGGTTCTACTCTCGGGGTGCCCATGGCTGCGTCCACTGTGGCTAAAATTAGAGCTGCAGCAGACAACAGGTGGGAGACTCCCTTTTGTAGGTTCCCTTCATTATAGCAGTGTGTAACTTGCATCTTTACACAGCCTTGTGGTCGTTGACTCCCAATCTTGCCTGTTTTTGTTTTTCATGCTGTTCGTAAAGGAATGTTTCACCAGTATTTAACACTGTGTGTAAATTGGGCTTTTTTGCCGAACATTCTCTTAATGTGTTCTGTCAGTATTTAAGGACAGTGTGACGTAGTTCATGTGGTTTTCTAGGGGAGTTCATTAGTCAGTAGATTTTTACTGTGCTTTTTTTAAGCATTTTTATTCAGGCATCATTTATTCCTCCTTTTAGGTTAACTGATGTCCAGGCATCGTACTTGGATGATGGCCCTCATTCTCTGGGTTCTCGAGGCTCAAATTGTGAGAGGGAAAAATTTGCACTCAGCTTTAAAGATGACTTGTGAGTGTCAATCCAGGATTCAGTTTTTGTCTTTCCCTATCATCTATAACAATAAAAGTACCAGTGTTTTTGTCTTTCCAAAAATGTATTTTGATCTGAATTTTTTTTTTTGTTTGTTTTCCAAAAACAAAAATGTGACGTAATGGGGAATCCACTAAATAATCTTTCATAGAGTGTATTAATCTATGCCGAAATTTTTCTTTCAGGGATGAAGCGGATGACTTCATCGCTGCCAATCGTTTCTCAGACCTGTTGGTGAATGTTAATTTGGACGAATCAGAAAGTGTGTACCGGACTAAAGCCTCTGCAGCTGTGGGAGTCACACCTGCTCCTGCTCGGCCCTCTGATTACCCCTGATGGTACTGAAACTCTTCGAATTACGGTTCAGTTTTATGTCTTTGAAAGAAAGAATAAGCTTAAGATTATCTAGTCTTGAAGGTTTTTATTCATGTTTGACATTCAGCTAAAAACAGTTCTAAATACAGAAGTTGTAGAGGGACGGGGGGGGGTGCGGGCTCCCTTGTGACTGTTCAGGTTGTTCACTGAGTGACTCTATTTATGATATGTATGATTAAATTATTGTTTGAAATGCAAAAGGACAAAACTACACATAGCCATCGTTAATTTTATAGATAAATAAGAAGTGTTTGGTGCATTTTATTAAATTGAATTTTGAAATAGGGGTGGTCAATATGGTGATTTGATCAGTACTGTGATGTATTACATCACAATATGCTTTTCTGAGCATGTCATGGATATTGTCAGTAGTTGATCAACTGCATGTTTAATTGGGTGTAGTGCAGTGCATTGTGTGAAATGCTGAAATAAAATGCTGTATTCATAGTTTTTGATAGTACCTTTTAAGTATGGTACTAGTGGTGCTTTTTCTGTTCCAAAATTGCAAACCCCAGAAAACTTAACATTGTGATGCATGTATATTGAGCCTTATCTATTCACTTCCTAGCATGAGTGCAGATATACATGAGTGTTGAGGTGGGGGTTTGACTCGTCTCTAATTCAGCTGTTGCTCCGTAACCATGCCAAATGGTTGCATTCAGCTGCTCTTTCCATAGTGTCTGCCTTTCTGCATGTAAACTGAGTATCTTTTGTTTGTGAGAAACGATGTAAGTGTTTGTCACTAAAGTTAAGAACATACCTCTTTTCACAGTCACAGTCTTTTCCTCACACCTACCTTGATACTTAATGCTGTGTTATGATGAACTGATCTTTTGGTGAATACACAGTGGTTCTTCACGATTGAGAGGGAGGAACACTGCAAAAATGGAATGGAACTTTGGGAAGTTTTATATGTGTATGTATTATGTGGGTCACCAGTAAATAAGATGTAGCTCTTCAGTGCTTTAGCTAAAACTGATAATTACAACAGATAATTATACCAACAAAATCCTCTTTCAGACATTTCAACTGGCCTGTTGACGTTTTCTCATGTCGGAAGTAAAGAAACCATGGCTGCTAAGGTATGGTTGCAAGAATTGTATATTCTTATTTAACTATATATTCACACCCAATTTTAGTAAAAGATATTTAAGATTTAGAGATAATGCATGAATTGTTGCTTATTTCAGGGAGCTACGTTGCTCCCTGAAACCATCGAGGAAGAGAGTCCAGGGAGTGAGACAGCAGACAGCGATGGCTTGAGTGGCAGTGTCGCCAGCTTCCTGGCAAATGAGAAGCTCATGTCACTTGACAGCATGAACAGTGATGTCACAGGTAAAAATCAGATGTATTATCTAACAGTGACATCAATTATGATTACTCATTAAACTTGTTAAGAATCTGTTAAGCTGGTTAATTTGCTCCCCACAGATGTTTTAACTGTATAACTGTAAAAGAACTGGAAATTTCTAAGCTGGTCTTGGTTATTTGACTAGTATGTTTTGATTGTCCAGTTGCAGTTCTGTTTGACTGAATTATGAAGCTCTACAATGATTTGTTTAATGAAGGGCTTTGCAATTTATTGATTAGTTAATTAGGCTTTTTACACCAGATAAAACCCTAAATGGCACAGTACTACAGTCCTCCAGGACTGGATGATGTTTCTCGTATTATGCTTCCAAATTTCAGATGATGACATTGATATGGACCATCTGCATGATGAAGAGCTGAAGATGTATTTCAACAAACTAATTCCCCCTTCCATGCAGAGAGGTCGAGTCGAGGGCCAAGAGATACCTGCTGCTGTAAGTTATCGGCACAAATACCGTTAGTTTGCAGATGAAATTGAACATTAATTGGGTTTGATGCCCTTTGTAATCTTTTGCGTAATTTTGACAATGTAGTACATAACGCCGACTAATGACTACTGTGTAGACAGGACTGCTCAGAGTAAGGGTGTTTGATTTGGTCTACCAGAAATTTTATTTTATTTAATTTATTTTAAATGTTAGGGGTGAAAGTTTCACTTTAACCTTCATGGCAGTCTGCACTAGAAGTGATCTTTGGGGGACATTATTCAAAAAAAGTTGGGACAGAGGCAACAAAGGGCTGGTAAAATGTAGTGCTGAAAATAAACACAATAAATTAGGTTAGTTGGCAACATGTCAGTAACATGATTGGTTATAAAGTCTTTTAGAAGTAAAGATGGGGAAGGGTTTACCACTCTGTGAAAGACTGCGCTGGCAAATTGTCCAACAATTCAAGAATAACATTTCTCCGTGTAAAACAGCAAAGAACTTGAGGATTTCATCATCTACAGTACATAGCATTAAAAGCTTCAGAGAATCCGGAGAAATCTCTGTGTGCAAGGAACAAGTTGAAAATCAGTATTGGCTGACTGATCTTCAGGCCCTCAGGCAGCACTGCATTAAAAACACACAATTCTATTTAGGAAATCACTGTGTGGGCTCACGAACACTTATGAAAACCGTTGTCTGTGAACATAGTTCATTGCTGCATTTACAAATGCAAGTTAAAGCATGACCATGCAAAGAAACCATATAAACAGGATCCAGAGACATGGTTGCCTTCCCTGTGCTTGATGTCATTCACGATGGACTGAGGCAAAGTGGAAAAGTGTCTTGTGTCTGATGAATCAAAATTTGAAATTCTTTTTGGAAATCATAGATTTTCATAGATGCCGTGTCCTCCAGGCTAAAGAGGAGAGGGACATGCGCATGGCATGGGTGACTTGCACATTTGTGAAGGCACTATTAAAGTTGAACGTTATATAGAGGTTTTGAAGCTGTATGTGCTGCCATCCACCTGACATTTTTCAGGGAAGGCCTTGCTTATTTCAGCCATTCAGACATTGCCAAACCCCAGTATGCATGTATTGCAACAGCTTGGCTCCGTAGTAAAAGAGTCTGGGTGCTAAACTGGTCTGCCTGCAGTCCAGACCTGTCACCACTGATAAAATTTTGACGCGTTATGAACGGAAAAATACAACAGAGAGACCCCAAACTGTTGAGCAGCTAAAAATCAAGCAAGAATGGGAAAATATCACATTCAAAACTACAGCAACAGGTCTCCACAGTTCCCAGGTGTTTGTTGTTTAAATAGATGATACAGCACGGTGGTAAACATGCCCCTGTCCCAGCTTTTTTTGTAATATGTTGCAAGTTCAAAATAGGCAGATACTTCAAAAAAAAAAACTCTGTTTAAACATTTGATATGTTCTCTGTACTATTCTCAATTAAATATAGAGTTTAAATTATTTGCACATCATTGCATGTCTACCAAAGATCACCCGTAGCTTAAAGTGAAACTTTCGCCCATTTTAAATACATTTTTAAATCCTAGCATATTTTGGTGCTAAAAAGCAATACTATACAAAAGTAATTTGAAAAGAGATTTTTTTACTGCACAAACTAATGGAAGTATTTATGTATATTACCAAAGTGTATGTAAAAATAATATAAATATCACATCTGTTAGGACCTACCTGGCAGGCAAACTGGTTCAACACAACAATGTTTTGCTGAACCAGATACATCTTCCAAGAACAGAAACAACTTCCTTGATAACTATGACCAGGTAGGAGCCTTAACGTGTTTACATTTTTTAACAATAGACATTACCCCCAAATATCCTATGATTTCATAACTTTGACAGGAACGGGACAAAATACTATCTTAAGGCTCCCGAGTGGTGCAACCGTCTAAGCGTTGGCCCTATCATCAGGAGATCGCGAGTTCGATCCCTGGTGATGCTACAGCCATCCGTAGCCGGGAGTCCGAGAGAGCACAATTGGCCTCGCTCTCTCTGGGTGGGTGGGATGGCTGCCCTTCTCCCCCCCATCACTCACTCAGCACAATGCTAGTCAGCGCAGGGGTCTGTTAGCTGACGTAGCAGATCTGGCGGTTGGCGCTTTCCTCCGCGCGCGTTCAGCTGTCCAGTGACGTTGTGTGAGAGGCAGCTCGAAAAGAAAGCGGTGGCTGGCTTCACAGGTCTCGGAGGAAGCCTGTGTTAGCCTTCACCCTCCTAGCGTTGATAGCATTGTGTGATTGGGGGAGTCTAGCGGGGTGGAATTGGCTACGACTAAATTGGGGAGAAAATCGGGGTAAAAATTAAAAAAAAATAAAAAATACTATCTTGAGTGAAGTATGGAATATGAGATCATTTGTAAGGGTACATTGCATAATTGTTGTGTCAAACGTTGCCAAATGAACTGTTGACATTTATTTTAGTAAGCATTTTCTTGCTCTAAAGTATGTATGCTTACACTTGAATTGACTGCATTTCTACTGTTAAAGTTACCAATATAGCGTATAATATGTTTTAGGGAGCATGTTGCACCGTTAATGCTATGTGCTAACTGACAAGTACCTGGAAGTACTGCTGTTCCTCTTGTTAATTTTAATCAGTGGCTAAGGATATTCTTATCTGTCTGATCAGGTTAAAAATGTTTAAAAATGTTGTCATCATGTAAGATCATTGTATAATGCAGAGTTCAAAAGGAGTTTATACTGTCCCAAACAAATTTTTGCTTTGGTCTTTTGAAGTAAAAATGAACACGCATACACACATTTATTCAGGACTGTTGTTCTTACAAAAGTTGTATTATTATTAATATTATTATTATAATTATTACTACTTTTTGGTACAAATTTCACAGGCATTTGTTGAATACATGTGTCCAGTGCTCCTGACAAGCGATGTTTTTTTTACTCATGCATGCAAGATGACAGAAGAATCTTTCAGAACACTGTAGTGACTGCTTTCTGCAGTGTTGACAAAGAATGATCCAGCTTTGTTTGGCTTCTAAAGGCAATACCTGCAAATTTTGCAAAACAGGGTGTGGATACATCAAAATTGACTGATTTTACTGCCAGGAAATAAAGTTTCTCACCGCCATGTTGAATTCTCTTGCTTCTCAAACATTTCAGATCACACCTTGTGCTACAGGTCAAAACAATGTGACTTAGAATTTTACTTGCCCAGGCAATCGTTGATGATGAGCCCTGGTGTGACATATAATTTGCGTGAAAAATAACCACAAAAAGGGACCTTTATGATTCTGTTAAACACTTCTATCTGTTTCTCTCCTTTCGGGGTTACCTCTTCTCAGGGAGACTTTTGCATGCCTGATGTGCGACTGGCTGCTACAGGCATGGACTCATGTCCTGCCAGTGATGAGGAGGACACAGAGGATGAGCTGGAAGCCTCGCAGAATGGCAGCAGAGCCAAATCTCTGTTGCCCAGCACCTCTAGGCAACTGGTAAGTTGGGAACCTATGAAATAGCGGCATTATACCTTTTCCAGAAACAGTCTTGAGTGTCTGTGGTTTATTGAAGGTGTTGCTTTCCTGGTCCAAGCTCATTATGTTTTGTGGTTATTCAGGAGTAATGAGTTTGGGGCAGTGCCGGTGGAGGTGACCCCTCGGTTTAAAGACATACAGTCATACAGCTTTATTCTCTTATTTCTTGGATCTATGAGGATAGGCGTCATTCATTGTGCAGTCGTGTGGTCTAGTGTATGGGCAGCTAGAAATCTTAACAAAAATGTTTATTATTTATTTACATAATTTTTAAGAAGATATGACCACGTTGATGAGAACAGTTGTTATTTAATAGTAACATAGTAGTATTTATGTTCAACTTTCTGTCATTTGTAAATTTTCTCATCTTGGCTGTTTTCCATTTGGCTGTTTCAGGAGTGCCCTCCTATAAATGTCTGACACGTCACCATTGTAGCTTCGTTTATTTCGGTGCTGTTTTCTGGGCCTAAAATGTGATGCTCTGCAGTTAAATTCTAGGTGACCACAATGCTTCAGTGCTTGAATAAACTTATAAGGATTGCCCTGTCTTGCTTTGGTATGTTTGTAAAGTCCCCCAGAAGAGACATGCAAGAGATGTGAAATTCACAGGGTCAGTGACAACAGTCGAGCAATGTGTTAATGTATGCAGGTTGGGGAAAGCCATCGGCCTCATTTTAGGCCAGGCCTGGAAGGTGGAAGCTCAGATGATGAGCCTCAGCCAAGTACGCAGTTTTCAGATTCCAGGACAGGCATTGAGCAACGGCGCTCTGCTGAGGGACAAGTGATCGACTCTCCCGTCACAGGTGACCAAAATTTAGATAAGAGTCTATGTGCAGCATGCATGGCATCATATTCTCATTGCAGTAGTGATGTTGCATTTATGGACCTGACTAAGTACAGGTCTTACTTTAGTTGTGTAGTCACCTATTGTCAGTAGCCTATCACTGCATACATCTAGAGCAAATTACACATTGTTTCTGTGTGCATTTTTATTTTCAGGTGATGGTGGTGGGGGTGATGGGAGCAGTGGGAGTGAAGAGGATGGAAATGATGGTGGTGTGTCTACAATCCCTCCACCCACTGGTGTCCAGACCACCTATGATGTCCTACGGGGATTGGGCATTGTAGGAGGAAGTGGAAGGGGCGAGGGTGTACATCAGCTACTGTCGCAGCTGCCTGGATTAGGCCGACCTGGCTTCACAGGGCACAACCAGGTAGTGTATGTTCTGAGGGACATGCCAAATGAAATATTCTTGAGCCTTGAGTAAAAAACAGATGGAAACGTTTAACCGTGAAGAATATTTTCTTTAGTGTCCACTTTCTGCTGACATAATATGCGGTCACTGACGTGTAAGGCATTATGTTGCAGCTGGACCACGTCAGTTGTCAGGGCCAAATATTCCACATCATTCAGCATTGCTGAAATGTTTGCTCTAATGTTGTGCAACTTAGGGACTGTGGTCTTCAGGAAGAATTTCCAACCTGCCAGCACATACTGCTTGTCAGATGTCTGTAGCATGACCTTAAATGCTCTCTTCTCTACCTTATTAAAAGAAACCTTTTCGTTTGCTAGATAGCGAGGTGCAGTATCAGTACACTGCTTAGATCTTTCACTGTCACGCTTGTACTTTGTAGTGATTTCAAAAGCCTCAGACATGGTTGTTTGGTTGTAGCTACCTTTTGCTAGGGCCAGTTGTGCATGATAGCAGTGTAACATATTCTGCAGCATGGTGAACATGCAAATGGTTGTGAAGACTTGTTGTCTGTCCATCTTTTGCACAGAATACTTCTCCTCAAGTCCTGCACAAGGCTTCAGAAGTGTTTCTTGACTGTCCTGTTTTGTTAGTCATTGGAAAAAAAAAGTGTGGAAGAAAGTATATAAGAATATATATAAGAATTTATAGTAAGACTACCGCTACACTCCTTCCCTTGTCATCATCCATCTCTGTTTCCCATTGCGATTGTCAGATGCCAGTTAGGTAGACATTGCTCAACTCTAATGTTATTTGACATTAATGGCACAGTACAGTTCTTCAGTTAACAAATTTTTGTTCTGTTTACAGATGGGAGACCGTCTGGGCCCAGTTGGTACAGGTGAAACTGAGCCTTCCGCTCAAAGTTCTGGACCTGCCAGCCCTTCCCCAGTTAACTGGAGCATGAATCAGGATCGGCAAGAAGCTTTGGTGAGTTCAGAAATCATCCTTGCTTTTGTATTTAAGTATGTTAGATTAGCCACTCACTTGCTTTGCACTTTTTGTTGTGTACTTGGGTGAAAGTGCTAGTCATGGTAGCATGAATGTCTGCAAGTTCATGTTGGCAGAGTTGAATAGTTAAGTGAGCTACATCTTGAATTTTGAGTTGCTCTGATTGCTGCTTGACTGTTAGCCTGGGGAAAAAATGTGATGTGATGTGATGCTGTTCTACAAAGGACTACAACTGCAGTTAATGTAGGTTTGTTTGTTTTTATTTTTTAGATGTTTATAATTTGTGAAGTTTTTTTCAGATACAGACTATAACACAACCACCCTTCCTTTGACAGGATGCCATGGATAGTTCACACTTAGATGCAGTATCTCCAGAAGAACGCTTAGACTCTCTTTACCTCAAGACTGGCGCTGGCTGCCATTACCAGGACTCTGCCTCAATTGCCTCTGTTCTTCAAGGCACTCAGAACAGTTTCCAATTCTCCTTTCTAAAAGACTGTCGTGGAGAGAGTGGTGAGGCAGTTGAACCTGAGCATGCTGAAGGTTTTCATCGAGGCCCTTGTGGGGACTCAGTCAGCCTTGCTGAACAGCGACATACCAGCAGTGGGGAGCATCCTGGAGAATCCCTGGAGGCGAAGTACCTCTCACAAAGCTTCCATCAGAATAGTGATGAGCACAGTGATATTTGGAATCACCGTCCAGATGATGTGGAACTAGAGTTTCAAGGTGAGATGTTTTTTTTTTGTTTGTTTTTTTTTGTTTGTTTTTTTTGTTTTGTTTGTTTTGTTTTGTTTTGTTTTTTTAAATAAGGGTTAAATGCAGGCCTTCCAAACTGTTACTGCTTTTTTAGTAACTGGAAATTCTAAGACTCTCAGACAGGAAGTTTTTCTTTTTTTAGGTGCAAATGTTACCCATAGTGTCGTCTACCAGAATGAAGAGGGCAAGTGGGTGACTGATCTTGCCTACTATTCCTCATTTGAAAAGGGAAATAGAGGCAAAGGGAACTCAGGATATTGCCGTTGATATACAGTCTGAAGACTTTGTTAGTGGCAGTAAGTACGAGATCACCCCATGCCTATACAATATTGTGCTGTTTTTAATTACAGTCCGAAACATTTTCTTATGCTTCAGATCAGGTAATGGAAAAGATTGTGGAGGATCAAAAAGAATTCGAGAAGGAGCATCAGTTCATGCAGGTGAGACTTTTCTCATTTTTGTCTTGACATAGTTTCATTTTAGTTGGTTTTAACAAAGGCCTGATAGTCACAGATTTATTTTCCTGATAGGAGGAGAAGATTGAAGCAGTTAATGCCAGTATGGTGCTTGGAGACACCTCTTGGAAAGTCCCTAGTAGCCACATTCTAATGAGGGCATCCCAGGTCTCAAATGAGTTTGAGAGAGGAAACCAAAGTTATTTGCGCATTTCTTTGGGGGAGTTTTTTCAGCGACGATCTGAGGCTTTGGGCTGTTTAGGGAGCACTGAAGAGGATCATGTTAAAAGGGTGAGGTCCACAACAAGCCAGAAGCATCTCCCTCAAAGTTGCACAGTTGTTTAGATGAATCATTTTTTGCCCTCTGCCATAGAGTGATTGTCAAACAGCTCTATGTTTGTCACATTAGTCCTATGCATTTTAAGAGCAAGTTTAAAAAAAAAACAAACAAAACAAACATATTTTACAAAGTATTTGCTGGAAATCTGACTTTTTTACTCCTTTCTTTTAGCCCTCATTTGGTTATGTTATCAACTCTCCAGAGAAAAGGGAGCCCTTTGCTCTCCTCCGGCCCTCTGATTTTTCTTCTATTCATAGTGATACAGTCCAGCTCAGTGATGCAGATGAAACAATGAATCCAGGTATAAGTTTAACTTCTTTGCTGGGACCCCCCTTAAAGGTCTTTTTCTTAATTAGGGCTTTGTAGGAAGTGCATGCTGACTTGTGTGCTTACAAACCTCAGAGGATTTGGAGAAGACCCTTGAACCTGCAACAACTGAGCTCCCATCAGAGAGTCAGGCACATCCAGAGACAAGTGTAAAAGATGTCAGAGTAATTATATTTGGACCACTTTGTACATAGTGATAGCAAAATATTTTTGATAACATAAATTTGGTGTGTAATACATATAATTTGATTCTTATATTGTTTTTTATTTCCCTTTTAGATTCCACCTGTATTGTCACTGGATGATAAGGAGACTTCAAGCCACAGTTCTGAATCATCCAACTCCAGTAGGAGCCTATCCCTGAGTATTAGCACGATTGCGTCAGCCATTGCGGATGCCTCAGTCAGCTCAGACCCGGCCCAGCTTGCTGCCATGATCGTGGAGTTGTCCAAAAAGAGAAGCTCCAAAAGCAGTCTTCGGGTAGAGGGGCCAGTCCCTGATCGCAAACAAGTTCCTGGGCAGGATAACTTTCAAGATGCCCTGCAGAAAACTTCATCTGCGGTTGACCTCAGTCTTGATATGGAGAAATACCTGAAGAAAGCTGAAGTGTCTAGCAGCGACAGTGATACTTCCAGTTCACGGTCCTGTCTTGATGTTCTCAGCTTGGCTGACAATCTGTCAAGCTCTCAGAGGCCAACACGGTCTCCCACTTTGCAAAATGAGATCATTCTTCATACTGAAGTAAATTCAATTTCAAAACAACCTCAAGTAGTAAAGAAAGAACCAGTTCCATCAAGTATTGTAGTCAAGCAATCTAGTAGCATTGTAAAGGAAGTGAGAAAGTCAGATGTGAAAAGGAGTGCCATTCCGCGACCAAAGACTAGCTGCATACCAACGGCCACAGTTCACTCAGCCAGGAGATCAGTAGGTGCAGGGCAATCTTTGACATCATCCTTCAAACCCAAATCAATGAACAGCAGTTCTGGTCCTGGAAGAAGCAAAAGTGAATGTCAAACAGCGACTACAGCAGGAAACACAAGTTGCTTGGAGTCCAAGGTCAAAATGGACACAGCTCAACCACAGATATCTGCTATATGTCAGTCACTGAGAAGTAGTGACTCCACACTAGACCCTTCTGCTGCCCCAAAAGCCTCTCCTGGTTTTCGAAGTAGTGGTCAGTCAGATTTGCCTTTACTGCGGAGCTCGCCCCAAAGACCCCAAAGCAGAAGCTGTCTTAGGCAAACAGGCACAAAAGAGACACAGTCTCTGAGAAGTCCACAAACGTCTCAGGCTGTTGGAAACGAAAAAGAAACAATTGCTCAACAGAATTCTGTGACTTTCCAGAATAGATATGGCAAGTTCCTGTGCATTCCTGCAAATGCTGCTAACCTTATTTGTTTCCTTTACCATTTTTCTGACACATTTAATGCGTCTGATAATATATAAAGTGATGACAAATTCTACAGGAAATGAAAGTCAGAATGTTCACAATAATTATATACCTTTTTTTGTTTTTCTTCAATTTAAAGCTTCACCTGAGCGGACTGGCTCTCGTGTTGTGGAGGCTAGCCATTGCTCCTTCAGACCATCCACCTCTCCACTCACCCATTCAAGCCCAAGCCAGACTTCACTGCCTAGTCTACATGAGTAAACTACTTTGTTCAGTTACTCTTACAGGCTTCAGTTTACTTAGGTAGCTGTTAAAGCTGGATATTTTGACTTCTGCTACGTATATTTCTGTCCTAGGGAAATGTCTCCTTCCTCTAGTGGTGGTGTGGGTGAGAGGAGTCCAGGGGCTGATCCCCTTTCACCTCAGTCCCATTGTTCCAGTCCATCCCTCAGCAGACTTACCTACCTCTCTATTAATGAGAACACTGCCCTGCCCACTCCTGATCACCATAAGGTGGGTGTGAAATCAGTGAGTTCAGCACAAAATGTTGATGAGGAAAAAGTACTATGATTTATTGAAATACTGTAAAGATGTCCCTTTGAAGTGCCAGTAGAACACAGGGCTTGAAATAATTTTGTATCAAGGGTAAACTGTACAAATTACAGTAGCATGCTGCAGTGTCTTATTTTACTACAGAAGATCATACTTTTTGCACTTTTTTTTTCTTTTAAGAATGTGCAGCAGTTTCGGTGCAGTGAATGCTGTAATTAGGTAGCATTAATTCATGTTCATGTTCACTTCACCATTCACTGAAAGCCTTGCATGACTAATTGCTTTCCAGCACTTATGATTCTTACAAATAGATGATGGTGTCTAGGTATCTCCTACTGCTCAAAAGTAATCTGCTCAAAACACTCAGTCTTGTTTTGTTAATGTAAAAATCAAAAACAGAAGGTGAAGAGTAGCGTTCATGTGTGTGTACATTTTAAGGTTAATCTGAATCTTATTCTGCTTTCTCAGAAAAATATGTCTATGGCCCTGAGCACCACCATCATCAGAGCAAGTCCCACTCCGCCAGTGGAATCTGCTGATGCAAATGAATCTGTCCAGCCAAACCATGATGGAGTTATGGATGGTTCCTCAAATACTCCACAACCTTCTCGTCATGCTGTATCTCCTGACCTGATCCAAAGCAAGTGTGAGTCTGGGAAAAGCCAGACTGAGCCTGGGCCAAGACTGTACACACAGGGTGGCTCTAGCTATTCCAGCAACCTCAAGGTCCAGCATCAGCCAGGAGGAAGAATACAACAGGGTACACAGCAGGTGTCTAGCATTTCAGGAACGGGGAGTGAAGCTTTCTGCGGGTCACGCTATGGTGTCCCCACTTCCTCCCTTTACAAATCTGATGACTTGAGATGTGGCTTGCCCCCTAACAACAGCTCCCATGCTGCTTTGTCAGACCTAACCACTGGTGTGCCAACTCTTTTAACTGGCCAGTCTCTTTTCAATACCCAGCTATCACAACAGTATCTGAACTCAGAAAGGCCCTTGCAGGCTTCCTCGTGCCATTTAGGAACTCTAGCCGGACCGTATGGTGTGCCAGCCATGCTTACAGGTGCTAATCCACAACTTGGACCTGCATATGTACCTGGGCCAACAGGTATGTCATCTGGCTATATAAATGGTGGCCAACATCATCAGTACTCCCTCACCAAAACGTATGGTCAGCCCAGCTTAGGAATGTGGTCTGCAAGTGACCTAACTGATCTCAGAAGTAAGTGCTGTTTTATTGTTGGAGCATGATCTACCTGTGGTTAATTTCATTTGGTGTAGTTTTGTCTAGTGTATAATAGGGGAAAAAAAATAGAATAGCTGTTTCTGCTTTTCTGTTCGTTATTTTATTAAACAGTAAAAATAAAAATGGACAAAAATCTATAAAAATGTAAGCTTTATAATTTGCCTTTTTTTCAGCCCAAGTTGTTGTCCCAGATGAGCTGAAGTTTCCCAGTTCCTGCTGTGTTGGCATTGCCTGTCAAACATCCCTCAGCATCTTTAACCCTTCAGAGCGCTGGCAGCAAGTGGCCATATCCATAGTAAACCTGTCTATTGACGGACAGAAGGTTAGAACTAATCTGATCACTAAATTGGAAACTCATGTTTGAGTTTAAAAATGGACTGACTGTAACTATCCAAAAATGTATTGACCACTCTTGTTCAGAAGCAACTTTCAATGAAGTGTCAATTCATGTTTTAATTTATTTCAAACCTTTGCATTAGGTTGTGCCAGTATGTTTGGCTTGAAGCCTTGTTTTGTTCAGCACTCATTTTCTGAAATGAAAGATCATTATTCAGCAAACTCTGTCCAACTTTATATGAACTGAATATGTTTAAGACTTTAACATTTCTAGAAGTCTTTAAAATATTTTTAACATGTCTGCTTTTGCAAAACTATCAAGTCTTGACACATGTTTCATACATGGAGTTTGTATGAGCAGTTTGTGGTACAGGTACAAATTAAGGAATTTGAACAGCAGTTGTTGATATTGCAACCACTAAGATGTTTCTAGAATCATGTTTTTCTTCAGTTATTTCACCAGTTGAATGACCAGTGTTGTCTTCATGACTTCACTTGTATACAGGTTGCAAGTGTGTGTAAAAGAGTCCCAATATGTGTCTCAAAAATTCTTATTGTGTTCAGGTGGATTCCCTCCCATACCAGTGGCTGATTCTGAAGAATAAGACTATTATTGGACCTAAGAGCACAGAGGAGCAGAAGGTGTTACTGATTGCTCCTAGAGCTGGCCTGTACCAGTGCACTCTGAGTGTGTCATCCTGGCCTGCCTCTGCTGAGAGTGATACTGTGGCACAGGCTGAAGTGTTTGCCAAGAAAGTGGTGCTCATCGCAGTGGCTGAGAACCCTGCAATAGAAGTAAGAGTGCTTTTTAAAGTTTGTAGGCTGAGAGGCTGAGCAGTGAGGCTTAAATCATATTTACTACTATGTTGTGATGCAATATGTGCTCTAAATTGAAAATGTGCTTTTGTTGTTGTTGTTTTTGGGCACAAAAACTATACGTGGCACAGAGTGAAATGTTTTCAGTTGCTCTTTTAAGGAAACATCCCATGACATTCATAAAACCATGAAAATAAAAGTAAACCCTTTAATATGATGTGCCCTAAATCATTTACACTTTGGCCCAATCCCATTTCTTCTTTTTACCCCTACCCCTTGTTTTCGAGTGTCACACTAACCCCTTGGAACAGAGTTACAAGGGGTAGTGGTTGAAATCTATCACTACGAAATGGGACAACCCTCAAATAAAAAAAAAACATTGCTTCATTAACAGGCTACTAGCGGTGCTTTGCAGGCGACCCGGCCAGTCTTCAGTGATAGCAGAGGAGGGTAAAGTTCAGCAACCTCACTGCTGGGCTTTAGTTACCTTTAGGGCATTATATGCCTTCAAAGAGGGGTAGAAGACAATTATTTATTGTCATCCACCCCTAATTCTTTTGTGATACAAAGCTGAAGTCAGCTGTACGCCAGCTTCTTGTTCAGATTTTCCCGTTCCACCTTAAATGGTGCAGCAGTTACATTCTGGCACTTCAGGCGTCAATAGTGCTGGACTATTTAAGGTGGAACGGGAAAGTTAGCTAGCTAGCTACCGAAACATTAGCGTACTATTAACGATTTTTTATGCTTGTTATGAAGAAAACGACCATAATACATTGAATCGACATTAAACTAAGATAATACAATGGTTATAGTAATTTTTTAAGAGAGACAATACTTACATTTGTGGGTTTCTTTGGTCGCTCACGCAGCCATCTTGCTGGTTTTTCTTTTTCTCATAACACTCTGGAGTGTTTCTCTGTAAAACCTCAGTTTTGGGGGCCATGTAGCCCTAACACTTCGCCCTACCCCTCTATCTCAACAAAAATTGGGACACCCTACCCCTAGATGTGATTGCGCAAAATAGAGGGCTAAGTGGTAGGAGCAAGGGGTGAAATGGGATTGGGCCTTTGTGTGCGTTTTTGTCCTCCAAGAAAATTACTTGTTTGTGTTTATTGCATTTTCTAGAGTCTGCAGCGTTTTTGGGGGGCTGGCAATAACCAAATTGAATGGTGTGTGTGTGTGTGTGTGTGTGTGTGTGTGCGTACTCCCCACCTTTTGTGTTGAAAATGTATTATATTGTGATGCAAAAACCACAGTGCATATTGCATTAACATGATCCTTTATGAGATTATGATTTAACCTAACTCTGGGAGAGAGGAGCGCAGCTACAAACTGAGTAAGATAAATCTGTGATTGTTTTATTAACAGGTGGATGTTGGAAAGACAGGCTGTCTGGATTTTGGAGACCTGGCTGGAGGCAGTGTTAAGGCCCTGCCACTTAAACTGGTGAACAGGACTCGTGCCACTGTGCCTATTCGGCTAGTTATCAGTGCGGTTAGTGAGGTTTTGTGTTTGCCTGTTACAAGTAACTAGTACCTGTTACTATGATCTGTAGAATTAAGTGTTCAGTATTATTTGACATGTTTTGGCCCCATCATAGTTTGATGTTTAAACACAATGTGACACGTTTTCTTTTTCAGAATGCCTCTGCCTGGCATTGCTTCAGCTTCTCCAAGAGCCCTGTGGCTATGATTGCAGATAAATCTCTCCATTCTGGTGCGAGTTTAACGCCTGTTTCTGCTCCATCAGTCATAAACCATGTGTTGCATTCTAGCTTTGGAGATGTAAGTGTGTTTGAATCTACCGCTCAGCTTAAAGTGTAAAAATACTGTACATTGATTTTGGAGTTTTGCTTTTTGCTTTCTTGGCTGGTTTCTCTTATTTACAGTATATTTTTGTATAAGGGTATGTCATAAACGTGGAACTAACAACTGACTGATGGATAGTGCTACAATGATCCATACTAAGTCCTTTTTTTCCTGTTTCTAGAATCCAGACAGCTTTATGGTGTGGGTAAATTTTAATGCACCTCAGAGGTTCAGCACCGGCTCAGGTACTGGTATGATGTCATTTTAGTTAAAACGGTATAAATTCCTTAGTTTACATGAATTGATTTAAATTGCAACTATGCTGTTCAGGGTGTTTGTATGTTTGAAACGGCTGTATCATGTGATGCAGGTGAATTAGGTCCACCAGATGAATACAGTGCTCGTGTGGATCTTGAGGTGGACAGCCCTGGACCTAGTCATGTGATCCAAAGTATTGCCCTCAAGGCGAGGTCTGGCATAGCCAGAGTATATGCCCCCAAGGACATGCAGGTGAGAAATGGAAGCTTACATGGGGTACTATGACACCCCTTGATTTTTACAGGAAAAATCACTGTATTTATCTGACATCTCAATTTCAACCTTGTCAACATTTGGATGCAGTATATTGTGTAGTAGATCTGTTAGCTGATCGTCCTCATATTGCCACTTGCTCTCCATTGCTAATGGTACATTTGGTAGAATGAATGGCAGTGTTCCTGTCTCAATACTCAAATCTCTCAAGCCCATCCCAGCCCGACATGTAATCCAGTTAACTCTAGCGCTGGGTGGTGTGTCATCTGTACTGGTATACTGTGGTGTTGACATACAGTGATAATCATTTTCAGTTTTAGTGATATTTTTAGTGATATACTTGTTGTATAATGGACAGTATTTTCATGATAAATGCCCATGGTGTCATCCTTATTGCTCAGCGGTTTATTTGAGCGTTTTGAATTGTGTTCTGTATGTTTTATTCATGATATCCAGGACCTGACAGTTAACTGCAGTGTTTGTAATTTACTGGGAGCTACAGGTTGTTTTGAAAAAGCAGTTTAAAAATCCACAAAAAGTGTAAGTCTTTCCTTTTTGGAAATGTACTTTCTGTCTAGGTAATGTTTACAATAGTGTGTGAGGTCCTCCTGCATGTGTTTTTTTTTTAAAAAACAAAACAGTCCAGTCAAAACTACTGTCAGGTTAGTAAGGCATTTTTTTACATTGAGGAGCAGCCCCCAGGAAGCGTGGGTTTATAAAATTAGGTTGAAATGTTGAATTTCATCAATACTGGCTGGTATTAGTTCATTTTGTCATACTTCATATTGTGAAGGGACAGTTGCATTATTTCAAAGATGATTTTGTATGGTGTTTATCATTTGTTTTCATTAAGCTATCATGACTTTCCTTACATTTATTTGCTTTTAACTGGTTTTTACAGACAGTTTGTCTTAAGACTCCGTTGGGTGAGACAGCTAAGCAGACTTTGCCCCTGAAGAATGCAGGCAACATTGATGTCCAGCTCAGGCTGAAGGTACTGTTTCCTTTTGTAGTGTTTGAACACATATCTGTTAATTTAGCTAAAGCTCAGTTTAAAAAGACTTGCAATAGATGGCAGTACAGATGCTATTTTAGATTGACACTGTGCTGGATAAAGTGCTGGGTTTAGTGTGTTCTTCACAGTGATAGGAGTCATGTGGATTTACTTTGTTTTAAAGAGTAATGACGGGGACGACTGCTTCACGGTGAAACCAGAGGAAATGCTCTTACGAACTGGAGAGGAGAAGAGCATTGTTGTCACTTTCACTGCCCAGGGAAGCCTTAAGTATAGAGAGAGGTATGACCGTATTCAGTTTTAGTACATTAATGCTGTTGGCACAACATAGACTACATATAGACAATAGTCTTCAGTGCCCTAACAGAATATGCATTTTTTTTATTCTCTCAGTGTGCTGACGATACTTGTGCTGCCCAGCGGGCCACAGTTCGAGGTTGTCCTGAAGGGAGAAGTGGTCCAGGGGAAATCTGGGAATGTCACATCTGCAATGGGCTCAGTGCCCTATGGCGATGTACCACCCATCCTCTCCAACAAGCAGTTCATGGCTTGGGGAGGAGTCACTTTGGGCAGGGCTGTGTAAGTATACCAGTTTCACACAAAGCTGTATGCACACCAACAAAGATTTCTGCTAATCTGTAAACAGATGTGAATTTGCACAGAAAACCCAAAATATGGAAACGTTGAAATATTTCTTTGTGTTGCAGGCAGCAAAAGTTGGTCTTGAAGAACAATTCTCCCACGACATCACAGCAGCTACGCCTTCACATCAGAGGTCAGGATCAGGACTGCTTTCAGGTTAGTTGCATTTTAAAATTACACTGACGTGTGGTGTGATTAGCTCAATTTGTGTGTGTGTGTGTGTGTGTTTTAGTTGGCTTAGTGATGTGTGTTGTGGCATTGCTAGGCATGTCTGTCTTTAATCACCTCCTCTCTCAGCTGCAGAGCTCTTTTGGCCCTGATGAGCGGTTGACTCGGAACAGAGAGCTATTAATCAAACCCAAAGAGAACATGACTGTTCACCTTCTCTTTGCACCCACTCGTGTTGCTTCCATGCTGGCCAAGCTTGAGATCAAACAATCTGCTGTGCGACCTTCTCAGCCTGGAGTCAAATTCACTGTAGGTACTTCTTGCAAAAAATAAAAAAAAAACTGTTTGAGATCAGTTACTCCTATTTGCTTTAAACCTTAGATTGCTAATGTTCATAGAATATAGTTTTAAATGTCAAACTGTGGAGGATTATTTAATGCATTTAAGGATGGGCCTTCAAGGCCCAGTCATACTAGTGTTTTCCAGCAAATTAGTTTCAGTGGAATTCGCTGTGAGCTACATTGCCTTTAAAACTTTCAGCTCAAATAAATTTTACATTACGTTTGATAAACGCCCCTCTGCCGCTTACCACATCAGTTATCCACCCTTTTTCCACAGATCACTGTGTTGTTGCGAATATATAATTATCTAATATAAATATATTCAGATTTGTGTTTGTACTGTTTATGGTAGGTGAGTTAGCCAGCTTGCTAACTGCCATGTTAGCTCCCTAGCTAACTGTAGCTGTACCCAAGTCACTCCACTGTTGCCTGTTATCTACATTTTTTGCTACGGATCTGCTGTATTATACTCCCTTGATAATTTTGTTCATATTTGTTTATGGTTAGTGAGTTAGCTAGCTTGCTAACTGCACTAACATGAAGGAATTTTTATTTTTGTCTGCAACTTTTCAGTCCTGCCTTGATCACATTGGTCACATCAATGCAAACTGCAAATATCTAGTGTGACTGCAGCTTTAAGCATTCTACATCTTCATCATTGACAATGGTAACATGTCTGAATCATCAAATGCACATTCTTACATGACATCACCCTCCCCTTTTAAGATCCCTCTGTCTGGCTATGGTGGCACGAGTAATGTCATTCTGGAGGATTTGAGGAAGCGCTCTGATGGCTATGTGGCAACACTAAGCGGTATTCAGGCAGGCCGTGTCAGCAAGCTGTGTGTGTGCGTGCGGAACACAGGCTCTCGAGCAGCGTTTGTAAGAGCAGTGGCCTACAGTAACCTGGAGAAGCGAACAGTTATGGAGTCTACAGTTATCAGCCTGTCACCATCACAGTTTGTACTGAAGGAAAGGACTCAAGAGGTGAGTTGACTTGAAAAAGAGTGTTCCTCACTGTGTGTTTTGAAGGTATGTTATAAAAGGAATGACTGACTTGTAACTTTTTTAGAAAGTGTTGATTACAGCATAGCGTTTCTTAGGCCTCTGATAACCCAGCAGCCTGTGTCTATTGGCTGTACTGTTTTTCCAAGTACTTTTTCTGAGCACCCTAAACCAAGTGTTGTGTTGAATTTATTATTTGTAAGGACAGTGTACTGTTTTGGTTTGACCAGCATTTAGGACTAAAATGTCCCCTTTCTAACTTTTAAAGGTGTGTGTGTGTGTGTGTGTGTGTGTGTGTGTGTGTGTGTGTGTGTGTGTGTGTGTGTGTTTTATGCTTGCAGGTTATTACAGTGGTGATGAAGGCCTCATGTAGGGAGCAGGCTCTCTGCCAGTCACACACTGCGCTCCTTGCCACTGTCTGCCTTTTCTGTGGAGATGAGGTCTCTCGCCAGCAGTTCAGGAAGTCAGTTACAGTTTTTTGTTTACTTTCTTTAGAGAGATGACAAATGGTCTCCTAGATGAGCTTTTTAGAATGAATATCCCTGACGTTACTTTAAGTTTGAAATTGAGGTGTTTAAGGATATTCAGTCAGAGAAACTTAGTTTGTCATCATGTGACTCCCCTCCTAATGAGTCCCTCCCTTCTTTAAAATATTCTCTTGAATACTGTTAAAACATTATTTCCATGATGGTGATAAAACTGTGTTCATCATTGACTCCCCCATTCAGATTATTGCGCATCAAACCTGAGGCAGGAAAAAAATTGTTGTCTGAAAACAGCTTGCTGAAGAACATCTCGTTTGATGAGCCTTTCCTTGGAGAGGAACTGGTTCAGGAATGTAAGGCATGCTATGTACTGATTTCTTTATTGTCCAAGGAATGATGGTCAAAGCTGCATTGTTCACATCCTAATTCATAAAGAATACCATGTAAAATAAATAACGACCCCATGTTTTCATTGGTCTTTATCTAGCATATGACCTTCCCCAGAGACCTAATGAGGGTCATATTTTCTATGGCAACATGAGTAAGGTTATTCTATCACTGCTGGGCACGGTGGAAGCATCTGACTCGGGAGAGAGTGACCATGTCGAAATTGTCCGGCCGTCTCAGCGCCATGCTCCAGACACGGACAGGTAACAGCTCTGTTTTTTGTTTCCAAAGGAAATGTAATTGACAGGAACAGTGAGTGCATGACACCACAAGTGATACACAATATCATTACTGTAGTACATGGTTAAAAGAAAAAGGTGGATATTCGCAATATGCCCTTCAGTCAGGTGAAGAAGTCCTGTGTGTTTTGTAGAGATTGCATCAATCCTATACTAAATGTCTGTATTGTGGCGATAAGCCTGTCATGATCATATTTTGGCTCACGATTAATTGTAATATAAATAACTGTCATTAACTTTTTTTTTCCCCATTTTATGCAACTGTTAACATTCAAGCCTACAGCCTCCAAAACATCTGATTAGCCATCTTGCTTCCTAGTTGTTGATACTTAACAAATTTTAGGTTGTACTGATGTAAAATGATATACTGCACAGTGGCGTGCATGCAAACACAGAAAATGCCAACAGTTAGACAGTTATGTGTAGAGTCAGGTTAAGCTTGCATATTTGTATGTAATAATTGTGACAGGCCTACGTGACAGCATCAGAAGAAAATGCTGGATTGGATATCGGAAGGACAAAAAATCTTGTAACAAATCGACCCTGAAATACCATATGCTCATGTACAGTGGCACCCAATATTATTCAGCCCCCACTGACACTGTAAGGATTTACAAAATCAGGCTTTTATGAAGACCCACACAAAAACTACCTGTCTATATCAGTTGAGTGACCTATTCAGATTAATAGTGAAAATGTATGATGTCATATTTCTAAGTAAAAGGATAATTTCCTAATACAGCCATGTCAAAATTGTTCAGCCTCTATGTAATATTGCTGGTTCTTAAATTACTGCTACTCTACAAGGCTACAAAATTGAGCTAAAACACAATTAAGCCGTTGGGAACTCAGCTGTGATGAATGTATAAATCCCACCCATGCATGTGTTCAAACTTAGCAGCAAACATGGCAAAAGAAATAAGCTCTCACAAAAGCTAAGAGAATACATTATTTCAATTCACCAAAAAGGCAATGGCTATAAGAACATATCACAGACACTTCAAGTTCCAAGAGACACAGTTGGAGGTATCATACCTAAGTTTAAAACGGTACAGCAGCAAACCTGCCTGGGTGTGGAAGAAAGAGCACAATTTCACCAAGAGGAATTAGCCACACAACACTTCTGACCAAAAAGCACATCAAAATTGACTTGAATATGCAAGAAGGAATTTGGACAGGCTTGTGGAGTTTTGGAAGACAAATAATTATAATTTAATAGAGTGATAAAACTAAATTAGAACTGTATGTACTCATGGATTAGTGGCATTTCTAGTATAAGAAAAGCAAAGTATATAACAAAAAGAATACTATCCCCACAGTGAAGCCTTGAGGTGGGACAGTCCTGTTGTGGGGGTCTTTCGCACTGCAGGAACTGGCAGTCTTGCTCATTTGACTGGTGTCATGGATTTGTTGAAATACCAGCCCATTTTGGAGAAGAATATGATGTCTTCATTGTATAAATTGAAGCTTAGTGATCATTGGACTTTCCAGCAAGAATGATAACAAGCATACATCCAAGTCAACCAAAGCGTGGTTCAGGGATTGGTCCTAGAATGTCCTTGACTGGCCATCTCAATCCTTGGGTTTTTGAAAATCTTTGGTGGGATTTAAAGAAAGCCATGGTGGCACAGAAACAGAAGAATATCAAGGAGCTGGAAGGTTTTGCACATTAGGAATAGGGAAAGATTGTAAAAGATATTTCTGAAGCTTATGAGCACCTACCAGAAGTGTTTATCGGAGTTTATAAAGTGTAAAGGATGCACCCTAAAATACTTTGGAGGTTAAATAGTTTTGCATATGAACATTGTGGAGAGAATGATTTTTCATTTGAACTCTTTGCAGTAAATTCAACTTTGTTTTCAAAATCACTTGAACATGTAGTAATAAACCTTCTTTGACTTGGTTTGATAGATGTTTGAAGAATTTTATTTAAATTACCAAATTGCCTTGCACTTTGAGGGGGTTGAATAATTTTGCATGCAACTGTAGCTAACATGACATGATTCAGTGTACATTTTCTTGTGGGGTAGTAGAGTGAGTAGTTGGGGCAGCTTAAGTGAAGTGCTTCAATTAAATATTTTTCATTTTAAAGCTTAGTGGTTTTTAAGAAGAAATATTAGTTCAGTATCAGCAGATAAATAAGGTTTCAAAATATTTGTTGGAATCAGAAAAGGAAAGGTGGTATATTGTTTTGAAACCTCCTGCTACTGGGTAGCATTTCCCAGTGGTAGTTATAATTAAACTGTTTAACGTTACCTTTAGTGGTTTGGGGACACCAGAGCGTCACTTCAGTAACGTCTCCCTGGACGTCCTACCAGTGAAGGGGCCTCCCTTGCGTGTCTCAGAACCTGTGCTGAAACAAACTGAGCCTCCTGTGGGAAACACCTGGAGCATCCATCCTGAGCAGCTGGTGCTCACTGCACCCACCATCAGTGAGTCTTGCAAGCTTTACTACACACATCCCACTGACAGCTTTAGAAAAACTGTTTTATTCAATTTGTTTCAGTACACTTGAACAAAACAAGAACTATGCTTTAAAATCATGTTGATGTAAAGTGGTTAAGGTGCAAGTGACCATCATTAGAAATGTAGTGTAGTGCAGAACAGTGTGCATAATAAATCAGTATCATTAAGACTGTGTGTGTGTGTGTGTGTGTGTGTGTATTGTAGTGTAGTGTAATTTGTAATGCTTCCACTTTTGTAGTTTACATCGTCTTGTATTTGTTAATACCTATAGATGGTGTAGCAGATACCAGGCATGTGAAGATTGCAAATCGTTCAAATCGTGAGCTGAGCTTTGAGCTGTCCTGGCCTGCCCACTGTCTGACCATTACGCCTCAACATGGAGTCATTGAGCCCCAGTATGTGTGCTCTCTTATAGTATGGAAATATTTATTTTGATAAATTGCTTTACAGTGTCACAGTATGGTTTTCTGAGCATATTGTGGATATCGTCAGTACTTAAAAACTAAAGAACTGCAAGATTTGTTATAAACAGAGCTTAATTAGTCCTTTTAAGTTGGACTTGGATTAGCACAATGTGTGAAACACTGAATAAAAATAATTTGTATGCTTAGCTTTGTTTTTTTGTTTTTGTTTTTTGAAATCTGACAACTGATTTTTTGTTTTTCAGATATCAGAAAATGTATATATTGTGACAAATTGTGTGTTCTGCAAATATTTTGAAATATCCTTTTAGGGCATATCGCCCACCGCTACTTTCATAAGTAGCTACACCCATACATATACACAGATTCAAACCATAATATAAAGCCTGTACTAACATCTTTTTTTCCCTTCTTATCCCACCTTCTCTAGGAGTCACTTGCAAATTCTCATCAGCCCTAATCCCTCATTGGCTACCAAAACCTCCATGCTTCCTTGGACTGGCCAGATCTATGTCCAGTGTGAAAGTCAGCAGAAGGTATCCATACACTCTCAAATTAGGCTAAGAAAAAAATGTTTTCTTTTTCTTTTCCCTGTGCATTTTTTAATATAGTGGCTGTACATAGACAGCATCTCAGCATCTTTGAATGGTGACTGGTGGAAACAGATGGCAGCCTGGTATTGTAGTAGAATAATTAATCTAACGAAAGGATAGTCATGAATTGAGGGGGGAAAAAACTGAACTACCGCGTTATCTACTGCTGCCTTTACTGGTGCTTTGCAGTTCATCAGAGTGCAGATACGTCAGGATCTGGCTATGGATGTCTCCACTGCTAGCCCATCTACAGACAAGTCACTGTGCCCCCTGCTCCCCCAGGCTGAGACCCCTGTAGGCCCAGGGGTCAGAGCCCAGAATAGCAGCCCTCAGCACCAGGTGGCAATAAAGAACCGCACTCTCATCTTTCCCTTAACCCTTTCTGGAGAATCTTCAGGTAACACATCATCACCAGGACCTGCTTTAACAGTATATGTAATATTTAAATACTTGATAATTACATAAATTCATGTACATCTCAGGTAATGTCGGGTAATTGTGTTCAGGGAGATGCAGTCAAGGTCTGCATAATTGTCACACTTGTTTCAGTTTAAGGTATTTTATTTTTCATATGCTTCATAAAAAGGCACCACAGTCAAGTGATAACATTTAAAGTGACTGTCTTGAATAACACTGCTAACATCAAGTTGTCTGATCTCATCAGTGCTAAAGAGGATCAGAAAGAGAATAAAGTCCACTTTAAAATCTGGTTACATTGTAGACACCAACGAGCACTGAGACCATTTGCAGCTAGGTTAGTTTTTGGTTTGATTTTGCAGATGTTAACCTTCATGTAACAGCCACCAGAGAAATGAAACATCTTTTGAACTTGTGTGACTGCGTTCTTTATGCCATACGTCTTAACAAGGAAAGGAAAACTGGTATTTTATTGTTTTCTGATTCATGAAGGTCTGAATGTAGATATTGCCTTAGGATATAGCCACTTAAAGTTGCTTGCTCATAATTTGAACAGTCCTTAGCAAGAGGAAAATTTATGTTTTTTTTTTTTTTTTTTTAAATCCCCTGCCCAGAATGTTATCTAGAGGTAGAGAACAGTGGGGAAGAAGTGAGGTGGTACCTTTCTTCTTTTGCACCTCCATATGTAAAGGTATGTATGTATGTATGTATGTATGTTTTGTTTTGTTTTGTTTTGTTTCGTTTTCCACCCTCCCTCTTTTCACTTCAGTGTGTGTGTGTGTGTGTGTGTGTGAGAGAATTCTTCTGTTAATTTTAATTTCGGACTGGTCACTTTTGTTTGCCTTAGGGTGTAGATGGTAGTGGAGATGTCTATCGTGCGACGTATTCGGCATTCAGATTTGAGAGAGTGTCTGGCACACTGGGGGTCAAAGAAAAAATGCAGGTGAGGATTGAAAAATAAGAAAACCATTGCAATTCGAACACACGTAGCACTGTACCCCTTTCCATATAGGTGTTTTTTTGTTGTTGTTTGTTTTTTTTTTTTGTTTTGTTTTTTTGTTTTTTGGTAGCATTTTATCTGTTTAGTACACTTAGCATCAGCTGGCTCTCATTAAGGGCATCGTGAGCATGTAAGCGAAGAGGGAAGAGTGAGCTCGCTACTTTGCTTCCCGTCACTGCTGCAACTCCGCAGCCTGACCACTGAGATCAAACTTCAAGCGTAGTACAGTGGTTTGCCGTGGAACAGGAGGCTGGGCTCAGGTGCTGCCACTCTTGGCTGTCCTTATCCTTGTGCTGCCACTCGTGGCTGTCGTTCTCCTACTGCCATCTTTCACTGCCCCTTAGTCAGTCATTGGGTTGGGGCACCGCCTTCCGACCAGCTCTTGCAAATGTCGGTGGTGCCCAGGAGTCAGGCACCTGGCCAGATATATGTAAAGTAATAATTTCTACTGTTTATTTACCTTTGATAATTTTTTGCTTTTGTATTTGCTTTTGTTTTCCAGGTACCAGTAACGTTCCTTCCACGGGATGGGGGAGAGTACGCTCAGTTTTGGGATCTGGAGTGTCACCCAGTGTCCAAACCACAGTGCAAGAGTTGCATCCGATTTCAGCTCTGTGGCACGGTGAGATGTTATTTACGTTGGACAAATCACTGTACGTCCACTCTAGGTTTGATTTAAATTTCTCTAGCTCTAGTTTTCTGCAGCTGTGTAACATGGACATGGAACCTCATGTATCATTATTTGTGGTGGGTTAATTTTGAATATAGTTAAATTGATGTTGCAGTGTTTATTTTGTACTGACTGGAATTGTGTTTGGTTTTTGCAGGGCAAAAAAGCAGGTACAGGGCTCAACCATAAAGAAGACTGTACATTAGTGCGAACAGAAACTAATGTGAAGAGCAAGAAGAAAGTGGAGTCTCTGGGCTCTAAGACTGGGTAATAGTGCTACTGATGATGTAGTTTAAACTAAGTTAGCAAGCTAAAGCGAGTTTTAAAGCCACGTTTTTGTTTTTCAGTATTGCATTCAAATAATTCCTCCTCTGCCTGCATGCTGTCTTGTCATAAGCTAACATGCGAAGCATTTAAATACACCCACTCCTCCACGCATTGTTCTTCTTAATTTCCCCATCCAAGTGCGGAACCCTCCAGGAGAGGAGTTTATGCCCCTCAGAGCCTCTACACATTTCCTGCCACACGTGTGGGCGAGGTCAGCACCTTGAAGGTTAACTTCCGCAACAACTCTTCCAATGCGCATGAGGTGAGTGGATAACAGGCTCTAGGCTTTTCGCACAGTGACAAAAACATGAAGAAATGTAGCAGATGATGTTTTTGAACAGAGTAATCTTGCATCTTGTGAGGTTTTTCTAACATTGGATGCGCATATCACTTATTGGCTAGCTGATCACCACTGCATGGTAATTTATTGACCTGCATTGTGTGAGTGAATATCGTCCCTGCTACTGAATGTCATTGATATCAAGCTTCTCTAATTGACTTGCAGCTGAGATTCTTAAGTCCTACAGAGCCTTTCTACATCAAGCATTCCAAATATTCCCTAAGGTGAGTTAGTTAGTCTTTGTTCTCCTCTCTATATTTGTGCTTATTGTTTTCTGTTATTATTGTCATACACTGTTATCCACCCTTTTACCTTCTGAAGGGTGTAGATAATTAGTTTAGTTGCACAGTGTACAGCGGTTTTGCAGTTGTGATTCAGTGTGTCATGTCATTTCCTGCTGCCAAATGCGTGGTGTGAGGGCTCGTAACACTTAAAGTGGACCATCAGGTCAGCTGCAGGTATACAAGTGCAGGCTGTGTATGTGTGTATCTGTGCTTCGGAGTGCATGGAACTTTTCATGCATGCATTGGAATTGTATTGATTTTACTGCAGTGATCTCATAACATCAGTGTAGTTTTGTGCTGTAACATGTCAGGTATTAGGGCCCAACCGATATATTGGTAAGCCGATCGTAAGTGCTTTTTTGGTTGCTGCCACAATTTGAGTTATGTCTCCTGATGAGAATGGGAAAAACCTTAGATAATTATCACTGGGCAGCTAAGTAGAAGGGGAACAGAAACCAAGTGCACAAAGCATTTTGGGATGTACCACCACCAGGGTTACAATATATTTTTAAGACTGAGTTTCTGTTGTTGAATTGAGTTTAAGATGTTTGATAATTGAGAACTGAAATATTGTAGCATACAATTAAAATCTAAAATATATATTTAAAATTAAATTGGCTGATATCAGTTATCAGACTTTTTATACCTCTAAAACCTGTCTGCCACAATTTTTATTTTCAATTTTCGGTTAGGCCCTAGTCAGTATATGGTCTAAAATTGTTTTTGTTTTTGAAAAGATTGTTTTGTTAGTTTTTTTTTTTTTGAAAAATTCCATACTTTGAATTGGATCATTACTTCATCATTATGTTATCGTTATAGATCATCACCCACATTAATAAGTCCTTTTATTGTATGTTTGACATGACAGTGACCCTGAATCTGTCTGTTCATCAGGTCGCAACATTACATCAACCTGCCTGTGCAGTTCGAGCCAGCTGCAGTAGGCCAGTTCTCCAGTTTGCTGCTCGTTCAGACAGACACAGACGTTAAACTGGCCATAGAGCTCGCAGGAGAAGGCTTACCTTGAGCCAGCCTTCTTTGAGGCTGACTCTTTTAGCACTCTGTCCTGGCTCACTTCCAGTGGAGGTTGGTGTGAGGCATAAAGTGTTATGAAGGAAATTTTATGACTGAATGTAAAGTAATGGTACCTTTGAGCAAAAACGCTTTGTCTCTTAGATGTACAAAAAGATTTGAGTTCAGGATAGACAGAGTAGATTATAAGCTTTCATATTGCTCAGACTCTTATCACCCAGTGGGCCTGAGGGAAAAGCACCTCTTCTAACATTAGCATTAATTAGGCTACTGGATTTATCCAGGCTCTGTGATGCCCCCAAGTGGCCTTGACAACCTATACAGGTATTTTAGATTCAGGACTGGCACGGATTTTGCATAACACTCATCACTGAAACAAAGCAGTTTGTCTTAAATTTGAGACTCAAAACTTCACCTGTTGAAGACTGTGTATTTTGTACAACACTGTGGATGTATTTTTGTGTTATTTATTTTAAAATCACTGTTCTTAATGAAATAAAGATTCATTCATACTGATTGCTTAGATTTTATTTTCACTGCTCTAAAAGGAATTTGTATCTGCTTGGTATCCAACTGAACTTTCTGTTAACTGAACAACCATCCTGTTATAAGGATTTCAGTGGAATGGTTCTTTAGAGGAATTCAAATGACAGATAGATATTTCCCAGGAAAGCAAACACGAGTATAGTGCATATTTAGTTGTATTTTATTTAGAATTACATTTTCTTTTACAGTTAATAGACATGTTCACATAGGAAAAGAAAAAGCTTAGAGAAACTAGCTGATTGTTATGACACAAGACCCCAATTTCATTTCTTTGGGGTTGGTAACGTATTCAATTTACTAGTTGTAATATATGGCAGCATATTAGTTTAGTGTTATCATTATTCAGGCTGTAAGACAACGGTCATCAACAGAAAAATAACATCTTCAGAATGTTAACTTAAAATGTCTCAACAGTGCAAGTATGCCATACAACACAATATCTGTACATGTATTAAGAAAAAAAAAACCAAAACTTTATACTGATCATATTATTGTCTAGACTAGAGTGTAAAGCACCTTTTTACTGAAAACTACAGGAGGGTATGCTAATGTCCGTGCTATGCTCCATCTCAAAACCTTTTAATGCAGTGTTCTCAAACTCAATTAGTTTATTCTAAAGTTGATTCAAATGTGTTGAACAAAGAAAACACTAAATCATGCACTGCTGCGCCCCATCCTTGGATTTGCAGCTGTATGAATGATCTTTTAGTGCAGAATTCAAATCCAGACCTTAAATCCATTAAATCTGGTCCTGGATTGTGTAGTCACTGGTGGTTAGCTGGACTGTTGATGTAATTGGCCACCTACTGTCATTACCTATTAGTGATTACAAAATCCAGGATGGGAAACTAGTCAGGACCCAGATTTGAGGACCCCTGTTTAGTGATTCTTGAAATGTCATTTTAAATAGCTCTCACAGTGTGTGCAGTTTGTCCAGAAAAACAATTAACTGGAGTTTAAACATCACCAACCCAATTCATCTTTTGGCCCATAACAGCAGTGTAATTATACCTTCCAACTTCTAATCAGCTTGTTTAACGAGGATAATGAGCAGACACACGGGTAGAGTCAGTAGCCACGCACACAGTTGAATGGTAGATGCAGCGCTGTAGTTGCAGAGGCGACTGCTACAGCATGTGACTGCAGTGCCGTCTCCTTTAACGTCCGGTGAGACACTGCTTGCAGCTATAGTGCACAGTCGAGAAACGGAGCACTGCTTCACAATGGCTTTCTTATCTCCTGGAGAGAGCAAGGAGCCACAATTTTTTTCTTTTATTCAATCTTTTATATAATGCAGAAGCTTTATCATAAGCATCTAGTGTATCTTCCGTCCTCTTCTTCCACCACTGGACCTATAGCTTTTTTTTCCTCTCTCAAACTCATTTCCGGAAGAAATTCTAATAGATTGTTTATCTGTGCAAGCCATGAAAATAAGCAGCATGTACACTCTTTAAAATTTGTTCTTCAAGGGTTCTTAAGAGAGTGATTCTATTTAGAACCACGAGTTCTATATAGAACCATTACATGCTTAAATGTGGTTATTTATTTATTTATTTTTTCCATGGTGAAATGGTCCTTCATGTTGATGGAGAATGTGTTGGATATGGTTCTATATAGAACCTTTTTGAAAATGGTATAAAAAGGGTTCTTCTATTGTCACAATGTCAAACTTGTATTGAACCATATAAAATATGTTCTTTATCAATCTGAAGAACCATTTCACCATGTAAAGAACCATTTAAACATGAAATACAAAAGGGAGCCATTCCGTTTCTACTAAAGAACCCTTGAAGAACCATCTCTTTTAAAAGAGAGAAGATATTTATAAAAGCCTAAATGCTAAGTAGTATAGTTTTGTTCCACAACTTAATCTACAATACATGATTGTATAATTAAAGGTTTTGGATGGGGAAACGATGGAGATAACATCTTCATAGTTTTTTATTGGTAAACTAGAGTAGGAGCATGTACTACAGTGAGTTTCATAGTTCCTTCCATCTGTCGTTTTGCATAGTCATATTTTTGGAAAATCACCAGTCTTACCTGATATGCTCACAGTGGTCATGCAGGTGTCCAGAGGAGCCTGGCAGTCCTCAGAGTTGTGGTTGCAGTGCTCATTAGAGACTGTGGAACTGCATACATAACACTTAAGAGTGTTTACTGAAATACACAGAGATCATTTGGATATCAGTGAAACATGCACTGTAAAAGAACAGTGCAGAAGTTGGTTTGAGGACTTTTTCAGGTTTAAATTGATGTAAAATATTGTTCTTCTATTTATTTTGCTTTGCATTGCATCGTTTCATTCAAAGTATTTATTTGAGTTTAATAAAACATGTTACATTGCTTGTTATCAGATGAAGTAATTTTTTAGGTTGACCTGACAAAGTGTTCTGTATCATCCAATCACTTATTTTTAATAACTTAAAACTTTTTGGGGGTGTAAATACATGCATCAATACATGCAGTGATAACTACCGAAAGATCATAAAGTATAGCTAACTTGTATTCTATAATGCTAATGATGCTGACTACAGTAAAGCTATTAGATGTCTAGTTTACAAGAAGTCTAAATTTATTGCTGGCTCTAGATCTTTTTTTTGGGACTCTCAATAGGAGCTTTTGCTGACAATAGGCAAAACAACTATCCAAATACTTCTAAGTTTTCTTCTGTTTAATTGTTAGACATAAAGAAAACTAAACTGATCTGAAGAATTGGAGTCTTAGAGAATAGAAAGCCAATACCTGAGTGCACAGATAAGAAGAAAAACAGCAGTCCAGAAAGGGTCCCCATGCTTCTCTAGCAACGTGTGTGTCGGTATCAGACAGAAATGGACTGTCTCTCTTTGGACAACCACCCAGTAGACGTTCCTTCACATTTCCTGAATGGCATAAGCCATCCCAGCTGCCATTCCCTCATGCTTTTGGCCTGTTATCACAACAAGACAATCACATTCTCACAGGACAACTGTCACTGGCCGCTGTGGCACACACGCAGTGCATTGTATGTACAGACATCAGTGTAGACTTCTGGGCTCCCTGCTCTATGAATAAGCCATTCAGTTAGAAAAGCACCAAGCTTGTTTTAACATATGTATTTACTCACAGGCAGTCATTTTAATTGATACAAACATAAACTGAAGTGACTGGAGGATAAAAGACTAATTAGTATTAAGTCACTATTATATGAGTGAGTCAGAACAGTCATTACTTTGTGTAATATTCTGTTCCTTCATCAAACTGCAGTCTGTTTTAAGATGGGGTTAAAACTTGAAATGATCACCTTCACTCAGCCATGTGCTTTTTCTATTACCCGACAACAAAAATGACTTTTTTTTTCTTCTTTACGAAGTCAATTGTTCAGTTTCAGTTAAAATTCAATAAAATAAAGATATGCTTTGTCAGACATAATGATGAAAGGAGTAGTTTGGTAAAAAATTCAATTTTACAGAATTTTCCATTTACTGTAGATGCAGCCAAGACATGTTTGGAATCCAAGTTTTGATGCTTCTTTAGTTTAGAGCTGGAACTGCGAGGCTAAGATTGCTAACAAACACTGGAAGTCAACAGTCACCCGAATCTTTTTCAGTGAGTACACCCCCAGACCTTCTTTCCACCTTTTTAAACCATATCCAGGCCTTCATTAAGTTCTTGCAGACTTGTTGTTATAGTTTAGAACACAGTATTACCTACTGTAACTTATAAAAATAGCTGCTCACTGTGGACAGCCTTTTTAGACATCAGGGTCTGTATTCAAATACTACTGCAGGAGTAGGAGTGCTGATCTAGAATGAGTTTTTGTGGCATGACCATCATAAATGCAGAGGAATCTGATCCAAGATTAGTCCTCTAATTTACAACTATTTTGTGAACACCATTCCAGGTGTTTTCTGAAATGACTGCTGCAGCGGTGAAGATTTAATTTTTATAGTTCACACTAATTCGTACTGACATCAGCATCAGCAAGTCTGTGCCACTTTAATAAAGGCCTGGGTGCAGTGTGATTGGGTTGAGAGAAGTTTTGAGGAAGTATTTACAAAAAATATTTGGGTGACTACTGACTTATAGTGCTTGTTAGCAACATTAGACTTGCAGCTCCAGTTTTAAACTAAAGACGCAAAATCTGGACACCAAAGATGCCTTGGCTGATTGACTTCATTCAGGATAAGCAGAAAATTGTGTAAATTAGATTTTTTTTTTTTCTGCTGTTGAAATACTGAGAAAACTCCATTGAAATAAACCAGATGGTATATAAACTGGCATTTAAAACACTTTCATACAGTACAGTACTAAAGCATGTCTTGCCTTATAGGTAAAGGTACAATACAATTTTTTGTTTTCTAACCCCCTGGCCCCCCACCCCAAGACTTCTGTACAGTACATACATTGGCATCTACCTCGGTGATGAATCTGTCTCCAGTAACAAACACTGGAGCAGTTTAAGTCACAGGGGATAACTGCAGACAAAGACTGCGTCTGTCCATTGAGCTGGAAACTGAAAGCCTCTTGCAGTTCAATTCTCATGCAACTGTACAGATGAGAATAAACAGCATTATTATACTGCTGTGGGCTGCGCACTATACATTTATTGAACTGAAGTAGGTTAAGTGGTGATTCATGACTTTGGCACTATTATGCACCCTGGCTAGATTTATGAGAAGCCATTTTCATTTTGTGTTGACAGTAGCAAAATAATTGTGTACATCATGAAGATCACTGTAGTGTACGTAATAATATTTCAGTCTTTGCATACAGCAGCAGGCAAGGCCTTATAAGTTGACAGTGTCTAGAGAAATTCACAGGTTAATTAGGCCTAAATGTAGATATGAACAATTAAGTATCTTCTGTTGGGTTGTAGAATGCCCTGCAGGCAGAAGGAGGTAAAGTAAGCCTGAACTCCAGTTTTGTTCAGTAGAAGACTTTCATGCAGTGGAGCTGCAGTAAGATTTGAGTAGTTGTGGGCTTTTGAGCTGTAGAACATAAACTTTTAGTAGACTGTAGACTGCAAACTACAGAAAGATTCAGGTCTAGCAGCCATTGGGACAGATGGTTTTCAGGTATGTTCCATATTCACACTCAGGCTGAGTGTGCAGCTCCTTAGAATAGCATGCATGCAGCTTCAGCTCTTCCTATGCTTCTTCTGATGCACTCAGTCCTCATGTGCTTTTCCTTTAGGTTTCTTTCTGTGTGATGCCCCATAGTCCCGACCTCGAGATTTGTTCAAAGGGTAAATCCTGAAAAGGATGTAAGAAATAACGACTACTGACTCAATATGTATGATCTTGTCAAAGTGGAATACGAAGGAATAAGTAAAATGGTCACTAAGTTCAATAAAAATGACAAATTATATTTAATACTATATTAATATTACACATTAATGTTCATATTAAAATGTCAAAGCATACTACCAGATAACGCACAAATAATTACACAAAGATGGCCAAATTGTAATATCAGTGAACACTAGGGGTGGGTGATAGGGTAAAAATGTGATATCGCAATACTTCAAGACAATATCTTGTATACAAAAAGTATAACAAAAGACAGTTTGGAACGGGAAAAAACAGCAACATTTAAAAAACACTATCAAAAACGGAGTACAATGGTTTTTATTCAATGTTTTGCATACCGTGCTGCACTAAATGCAATTAAACATAACTAGTTATTATATTAACGAAAAATACAGTCATATTGTTGACCCCTAGTGAACACTTCATCAGTGAACAAAATGTTAAAACTGTTTTAAATTGTTTTCTATGTTTTCTTCTCTGGTTTAATAAGATACACACCTGCGCTGGTAGAGGTAGATGAGGAAGACAACGTCATCTCTGAAACAAGCCAACTGATGGGGGCCAGGAGTAGTTATAACTCCACTAAATACATCGCTTATGAATGTGTTCAACCCCTGGAAATGTATATAAGAGAGAAGTGTTAACAGTCTTGTCTTGTCTTTTTTTTTAATTTTCTTAACCCAAAGCTTTTTGAAGGTCTGTAATGTCCAGCGTGGAGTTTATTAAAAGCAAAAAGTTAAACTCACCTTGTAGAGTAATACTGACATCGGAAGATGGACAACTGATTTTAACTGGAAAGAAACACAAAAGAGGTACGGTACTTGATATTTAGTAAATTTAGACATGAGTTCTATTAAAATAAATATTAAATTGATTTAAGAACAAACCTTATAATTAACATATAACTGAGGAACCATAGATAGGAATCCAAACGCATAAACTCCTAATTGAAAAAGATAAAAACCAGTCACTGATTTGACACTGCCAAACTAAGAGGGAAAGCCTCAGTAAGAAAACTCTCATGAATTTTAAGTTCATACCACTGACGAGACTGTTGATGATCCAAAAGTACCAACTACTAGGAATATGAGGGAAAAAATAAAGTGTTACTACAAAAATGACAAATGTAATAATGCTATCAAAAATAAAATGACTGTCAGCAAAAGTATTACCTTTTATTCTTGAGATATAAGAATGAGTACATGGCCCCGCTGATGCACAGCGGATACAATAAATATGACAGGAATTTCATTGCCTGAGGAAGAAAACAGAAATGTTACTCAAAGTTTTTTTTTCTTCACTTTTTTGTCACAGCTTTTCAGTGACAGGATTTCAGTACCTTGGAATCATGTTCTTCTGTTGCTCGCTCCATCTCATATTCTCTCTCATCCTAAAGTGAACACACAAAGTAAGCTGCAAGAATAACCCCATAAGTGCACGCAGGCAGCTCTGCCTACCTAATCTGTAAGAGTAGCAAATCTGATACAGCATATCAACTAGTCACTACTCCAAAAGGATGCTGACAATTAAAATGACCCATAGTATTATTAAAGCTATTAGTCAAAAAAAGAATCACAAAAAAAAATCACATGCATACTGATTATTAGAAGAACTTACTTTAAAACTAGGCTGAATTGCAAAGACTCTGCTGACTTTCCAAAGCTAAAGACATGAGAAAGAACGGTTTAGTATAAGCAACGATTTAATGAAGGTATTTGGCATTTAAAAGACAAATCTGTTTCTGTACCTCAATTAAAGTAGCAATTCCCATGGGGATGAGGGTGAGCCAGCTGGTTTGCTCTTCTAGCAGATGGAGGAATATCACAACAGTGCTGAAACACCTCCAGATCACTGAAGAAACAAACACACGAGTACAGGGACCAGTTTTGAAATTTGCAAAACATCCAGACTGCCATTTACATTGGCTGTCAAATGTTTTCTTTCATGACATGCAAGTTAAATGCAATGTTAAAGACTGACCAGGTTTATTTTGAGGAAAAAGAATGTTACAGAAATATCTGATAGTAACTTAAAAAAAAACTTAAAAAAACAAAAACCAATACTGAAATTCATGACTCACTCTAGCTAATGTTGTAGATTCATCTCACCTGATCGCCTGGAGATGCCAGCTAAACTTTTCTTCCCTCGCCAGAAACTCACATCATTTTTGAAAGCAAACACTTCAAATGAGAGCTGCAAAATATTGCAAGGCCTAGTTAATTAAAATAGCACTATGAATATCCACAGTTATACATTTTATAGGTGCAATTTGTAAAGATATTTATATGACAATTTATAGTGAGACCAAAGAAACAATCTTACATGGAATGCAGGCACCAGGATGGACAAAGCCAAAATGTGAAGGCCAGTTTCAACAAACATGGCTTTAATTTCATCAAGGTTCTGCTCAGAAAATCCTGAAAGGGGATAAATATTAAGCAATATATTATATGACTAAACAATAAATGAAGCTGATGACTAATAAAACAGTGGAACACTATGTACTGAAACGCTATTAAAACCAAACATAAAAGATTTGATGCTGAATTAATATCAACTGTAAAATATCACAACATTGTAAGTGACTTACCAAAATGTTTGAGTGAGTATATCACAGCTTGGATGTGGATCCATATTCTGAATTTCCGAAGAGTTATTGTATCGTATGATATAGTGAGTGGGACGGCTTTTGTAGTGCTGTTTATCTCCTTCACAAGAATCGCATTAAATGCGTGAAATTAGAATAAAGTTTGATAACTATTCTGTGACCCATTTTCAATACAAGAAACAAAGTAATTTTACATACGATTAGGTCCTTTAGTCTGCTTCTCATTTCATCAACGAGTAAAAGTGGAAGATATATTTTCTTTTTCTCCTTCTTACCATCTTCAACTCTATTAAAAAACAAAAAGATGGAATCATGTTATATCACTTAACCCAAATAGTTTCATAACTGACATTTAGGATTTGACTATAGTGTACAATTCCATGTAAACGGTTAATCTACATTATATTTTAAAGTTAGTACACACTTGCTCATTAAGTTTCTTCTGAAATCGAAGGCATTAATAGGGAGTTTGTCCCCTCTTTACTGCAGCAGTAGACTCTACTCTTCTGTGAAGGCTTTACACTAGATGTTTGAACATTGCTGTGAGGATTTGATTGCATTTAGCCACAAGAACATAAGTGAGGTCAGATACTGATGTTGGACGATTACTTGTGGATCACAAAAGCCACTCTAACTGATCCCAAAGGTATTGGAAGAAGCGCTGAGAATGCAGTACTACTGCTCCACAGCCCAGTGCTGGGAGGCTTTATACCCCTCTAGCCGACAGTTGGCACTGAGACATGGTGACTTTAGGCTCAGATGCAGCTGCTTCAGAGCATCACATTCTATTGATAATATTTTTCTATGGAAATTATACAAGCTGTGTCTGCTCAATTTAACAGCAATGGGGCACCTTATAGTATCTGAATTTACTAATTAGAAGGGGTGTCTGAAATATAGTGTAAGGAACTCACATTTTCATGTATCTCCGCAGGTCACTGGGTACTGCAGCATTATTAAAAGTGAAGTCCTCCGTCATCATGTTTAGAGTAATGCGTGATTTCCAGTATAAAACAGGCCTTTGGTTTCCTGTCCCCTGGAGCCAACAGAGAAAGGGTTTAGTACCACTGACATAATATTAGTCTTAATTATTCAGCATCAACATCAGTTTCAGCTCAGTTAAAGCTGCACTATGTAAGATTTAAAAGAAGTAGTATTACTCAGTCAGAAGAAAATAAACATGCTAAAATATGGTGTGTGTGCTGCTGTGAGTCACTCTGTAAAGCCTGATATAATCATTTAAAAATCAAAGGCGCCAGGTCATATTTGGTGGACATTTTTTGGACCATGTCATGAGTCTTTATGTATAAATGTCACACGCGTGATCTCAAAAAGAAGGCCTGGTGTGATGTTTTCATCCTAAATGCAAAATCAACATTATACTAATGAAGATATGATGACAATAACAGATAATTCACTTACATCTGCAGAAAACATGCTATTCACCAAGTTTTGACCGAGTTCTCTTTGTATACCCTTTCAACATGCTCACAATCATCAGATTCACCCACTCAGAGAAGGGGTCCGAAATACAACCAACGCCGCAAGATGTTCTTTTGCATGTTGCATGCAATTATACATTTCCACCAGAGAGGTCTCTAAATCCCCAAAACATACATAGAGTAACTTTAAGGATTTTCATTGTCTGTAATAACATAGGTTTTCTGTCTCACAAGAATGCCAACATGTATAGCATTAGATCAAACTGTATTCGATCCACAGTGTGTACTGTCTCATGAAATTAATATGCATGACACCCCTACGACACAATTTTACAAATGTACTTTGTTAGATTGTTTATTTTCATATTGAGGCCTTCTGCAGAATCGGCCAGAATTATGATAACAATTAACAATTAATATGTTATACAGCTCTACTTCTATGTGTAACAAAGCAAGCCTCATGTATCAAATTTGTGTCAAACAGCAATGAAGCCTCGGTTAACATCACAAATATACTACAGTTTTACCTTCTCAGAGTCTCTAGCAGAGCTGACACTGCCCACAGGAGGAAGAGGAAGCATCTGAGAGGTGAGGCGGGCCACGAGTCGCACATGTTTACTATCCTTCCATGGAGATACTCCACTCTTGTGCACAAACACCACAGCATGGAGGGTCCCGTTCTTATGGGTCAGTTCAGGCAAAGACACGCTGACCTTCCTGTTTCCAGGAAATGGTAAACAGCAATGTATCATGAAACATGCAATATGGAGAGGAGGCCTTCTTCAGAGTATAAAGTGGTCGATTTCATCTAATAATCTCTCAGGCCCACGCAAAAATAGTTAAAATGGAATTCAATTGATTTTTCAAAACCTCTGCATTATTGAATGGTTAAGATGTAAACAAAGTCATTCAGAGTGGTTTGATGTGTAATACTCTATTCTAGAGAAACTTAGAGTCAGAATTGTTCACAGTAGTGGTGACAGGAACCAGACAACCATCTCTTTCCCTCACAAATCACAAGAAAAGGTTATGAACATACATAAAATACAATAAGTGGATAAGCACCACATATATATACACAAACACACAAACCACCTCTACAGTCGTGCGCTAATAACGAATCTTAAAAAATTTGGTTTAATGAATATTCTTTTACCACTTCATTGGATGGGCTTGGGATCAATCTGCACCAGATGATACTGTGGCCAGCTTCACAGACACACACTCACTGAATAATCTCATAAGGTTGATGTTAGCTTCTTATTTGAATGTGTATTTCACCTTAAATAGTTCAGCAATTACACGCTAGCATGCGTACAAACATCTGAACGCAACTGCTATATCATTTAAGGTGGAACGGGAAATGAGAAAAAGAAGCTAACTTCAACTTCATCTGATCTCTATCATTGTATAAGAATCAATCAGCAAGCTAGGCCTGTATCTTAGTGGGCCACTGGTTGAACAGATATACACTTGGATGTAACATTAATCTTTTGCGTGAGCATTCTTGTACTTACATGTGTGAGATTATACATTAGCTCACAGTAACTGGCCCACTAGAAATTCTCCCGTCTCTCCCGATTACCTGCTCTGGAATTGGTGGAGGGATACATGCAGGGTGTTCTGAGGCAAACTTTTTTTATCTTTTTCAAATGTACCATTATCAACATCACATATAAGACTCAGACCTCATGTGTAGGGTCACGAGTCATTCTGGATAGTTAATGAAATGGCTATATTTGTGTTGTAGTCATCAGGACCCCTGGTTCCTATTACCACCACTGTAAAGAAATAGGAGGTGGTACATTTCTCCACATTGATCAATATTACTTAAAACCACTCTGAATGACAAATTACCTCTCAACTACTGAACTATGAAGAGATTTTGGAACATTGGTGGAATTATACTTTAATGTCTCAGATTTTCAGACTTCAAGATCTAGTATGCTTGTTGTCTAATTATTATTATTATTATAATTGTTGTTGTTGTTGTTGTTGTTGTTATAAAACACACAGAATCATTCATTCAATCAAGTGTTGGCATGATATGAATGAATTGCTCGAATATCCATCCTAGAGCAACCTAAAACACCCGAGTGTTCTTGCATTTACTTACGAGGAGTAACTTGCCTTTCAAGCTTGGAATGAATTTCGAATTTGTCCACTCTGAGCAGGAGGTTGTGTGCAGCCTCGTCACTGGGGTCCAGGCTCGAATACATGCTGAGCTTTTAAATTCAGAAAAATGGGCTTACATTATAAGACACGCAATAGCTTAACAAATACAAAAATGAACTGATCCGCTGCTTGTCTGAGTGTCTGTAATATTCCCTCACCTGCAGTCGAGGTTTGCCGCTGAGGTAAGATGTAACGCAGTCATCTCCTTTTGCTGGGTCACACGGTTTCGTGTGCACGAAGCCATAAATGGCCCAGCACGTATGGAGCACATAGACGACCAACACCCCAAATATCACTTTCGTGTAAGACATCTTAAACTGAGACCCATTCTTGGGCTTGGAATAGCACGAAGGAAACATTTTTGTTTCAAGAAAAATGAAACAAAACCTGCGCAGGATCTTACAAAACGGTCCTCAAACGCTGAGATCTAACCGCGTAGCATCACTGGCTCCCTACCAGCTTCAGCTGATTCTCTCTCTGGAGACGAAGAGCGTCCATTTGGAGCCCAGCATCACTGATCCGAGTAGCAGAGCAGCACTGAACTGCACTTACACTCAGTGACAGGAGGGCGTCTCCACCACTGCGCCCAGCCTGCACGCAGCGCACTGCAGAAACGCCTGCAACAAAGAATATATCACTAAATCTCACTCACGACCAGCTTCTTTAAATATCTTATTCACGGACATGTCGTTAGATAATCAGTGTGTCTGATAATCACGTCTAGCTGTTTCCAGTTTATCTGGGCGGACAGCTCCGTTTCTGGGGCCCCTGTAGTCCGGAGATTACGGTCTTTCCAGCTCAGTACAGTTCAGCGCACCACGCGTTAACCCGTTAAAGTCTCTGTCTGAAATTTTACATTTCCTTTGGTCATGTTCTCTGAGCTTATAGCCAAGCACAAATATGGAGAACTCGATTAAAACATACAGCTAAGAAGTGAGTTTATCACTTAACTTTTCAAATAAAAAAAAGTCTCTTGGTCAAATGGGACTTTTATTTAAATAAAAAAAAAACAACAAAAAAATCTAATTTTATTGTGAATACAAGTATGGAAATGATGTAATAAAAAACTGCTAGATTGCATACCATTAGCATTCATACTAACCAATAGCATGTTTTACTCAGTAGCAGTAATGCTAACCAATCAGTACTCAGTAGTAGTAATGCTGACCAATCCACACTCAGTAGAAGTAATGCTAACCAATCAGCCCTAAGTATCAGCAATGCCAACAAATCAGTACTCAGTAGTAGTCATGCCAACCAATCAGTACTCAGTAGCAGTAATGCCAGACAATCAGCACTCATGCTAACCAATCAGCACTCAGTAGCAGTAATGCCAACCAATCGGCACTCAGTAGCAGTAATGCCAACCAATCAGCAGTCGTGCCGACCACTCAGTACTCAGTTGCAATAATGCTAACCAGTCAGCACTCAGTAGCAGTAACGTAATTAGAGTAAATTAAGCTCAACAGCTAAAAACTGAAAAGCTAAAATAGTTTCAAATCACTTGCCCAGAACCTTCCTTTAATTTTAGAAAGCAGAAGAATGAATTTCACTAAAAAAGCAAAGAAATCTTACCTATATATTTCCTTTTTTCTACAGCAAACAGGTTTTGGGCAGCAGGACGCTGGCACAGAGAACTTGTAGAGAGGGGAATTACCACTCTGCAATGTCTTCCGGGTTTCTCAAACGCTAGAGGGCACTCCCGAGCGAGTCCAAAATGAATGGGTTGATCATAGTTTATAAATGCATTTTTAATGTAAACAAGCTCTGGCTGGCATTACTGCTAGTGAGTGCTGATTGGTTGGCGAGCGGAGCAGTTCATTGGCTGTTCGCGCTCACAGACGTCATGAACGTACATGAGGTGCCGTTTTAAACTCCTATAACTCGAGTTTAAAACCTCTTAAAAATATAACAGCAGTGTTAAAATGTTTTTGCTACTCTGTGTTCGGGAAATGGATGCATCCTTTTACATTAAAAATGTTTAAGCATTTATAAACTACGATTTTGCTCAAATGCCCCTTCTTAACTCATTCATTTTGGACTCACTCGGGAGCGCCCTCTAGCGTTTGAGAAACCCGGAGGACATTACAGAGTGGTAATTCTCTCTCTACAAGTTCTTTGGTAATGCTAGCGTACTACTACTCTAAACGTATTGTTAAAAAATTAATAAGAAAACATTACAGGCAAATATTTTTAGTGAAATACATTCTTCTTATTTCTAAAATTAATCAAGGTCCTGAACAAATGTTTAAAAACTATTTTAACTTAATAACTTTTAACTTTCAGCAGTTCAGCTCCATTCTCCCCCCTTCATTGAGCACCCGCTCGCGGCGCGGCGCCCTCTGGCGCCCTTTAATCCGGCTCTGGTTGGGCGTCGATGGGTTAAACGGTTATCTGAGCCCCGGTGCATGCTGGTCAGCTTCAGCACCTTCCTCAGAAAAACATTTCACTACCTTCTCTCTGGAAACCGAAGAAACTCGTACTGTGGACAGATGAATGGTGTTTAGGAGAGTTTCACCTTACACACCGCATGGACTGAGCCGAGCGAGTCACTCGCAGTAGTATATTAAGGCGCTCGTTTCCACTTTTTGTGTGTCATTATACAAGCTAACACGTTAGCTAAAGACATTTAGCCCACTCTTTCTCATCTTTCTCACAGGAAACGGTATTCACCCTATCTGTTCGCCTCTCTCGTCGTTTACAGTTACAAATACAACAACCAAAACTTTGACAAAGTTGAAGCAAACTGGCTTGATTTTCATTACAACCCGCTTATAAGTGACTTCGAAACTTGTGGAGTTCTCCGCAGTATCTAACATGTCGTAGCAAAACTAAGGGGTTGTCTCCTTGTTTGGCTACAATGGAGGCGTGTGTGAGGTTTTTGTGTCGTGAGAATCCGCTGACAGTGTCTACGAGATGTTGGACCCGGAGAACTTTCACGTTAAAGAGGTTAAGATCACCTTTCACGCGTCCTCTGTCTGTTCGACATTCACCGTTAGTGTGGGGAGGAAAACACCGCGGTGTCGGTCCAGGAGAGGCACTCAAACACAGCTGTAAGTGTTGCCCTTCAGAACACACTACACAAATACAAATAACCAGTGCTAGAAAGTGTCCCACCCTGCTGAAAAAAGACCATCAGAACCATTAAGGCTGACACCTGATGGTTTTGCTTTCTAATGGGAGTTGATTTAATAGTTACCATTAAAGACTCTTAGTTTCCTGTCAGACGACTTTAGATCACGTTAAGAAAATATCAAATGCATCTGCGATCAGTTCCTGAACACCTGTTAAACCATTAGAATCCTTTACATTGTGAAATCAACCCATCAGGAAAAACACTAAATACCATTACTGACTATTTGGACACCAACAGGAACCAACAGAAACTTCAATGCTGTTAATGGTTTCTATATTTTTTTCAGTGGAGCACTTATTTCAAGAAGTGCTCCTCAGTATTGTTCTTATCCATGTAAAACAAAAGAAATAAAGTACTTTATTTATAAATGTGGGAAAAGTGAAATAAAATTACTAAATCTTGTTTTCATTTACTGTGTGTAGTAAAAATAACGTTTTATTTATCCTTATGGAGTGTGTTTACTCTTTTTAAACTCTTAGCTATGTGACAAATGTAAGGTGGACAATATGGCAAAAATAACACCGCAAAACTTGGGCAAGACGTTTTCATGATGGACGATATGAATCACAGTAGTCTTTATTTTTCTGTAGTTTGGTAAAATAAAACTGAAAAAGAACCAGTAATGCCAATTTTTTAAATAAAAAAATACTATTAATACTATGAGTACAATGATTTTTGTTCAGTGTTTGAAACACTGTGCTGCACTAAGCAGGGCGAGTTATGCTGTCTTTGTAATGAAACATGACGTTTGTGTTCTTTATGCACTGACGATTTCCGAGCACACTGTGGATAAGTGTATTATGACATAATCTATCACAATAATGATAAATATTGTCATGTTGCCCACCCCTAGACAAATGCAAAAGTAGTACGGGAACTGATGCAAAGATGCGAAGCAACCCTTATGAAAATGAACTATTAATACTACAAGAATTTCTGCAGGATTCCTTCATGAATGTAATAGTAAATTCAGTCCGCTACTCTCACGTTTACTGTACAATACTACACAAGTGTTGTTTATTACTATAATGCAGTATGACAGGAATATTATGTGGGGGCAAAAACAGTGATATTATACATGTACTTTCTGGCATAAGCAGTTTATAGTTCCTGGGTGTGATGAGGTCCTGTGTTTTTTCTGTTGCTGGAAAATGAAAAGCAATTGTAAAAATAAAATTGAACATGCACTCAAACTCATTCCCCCTCTCAAAATCATTTCAGCTCTTTTCTGTCGTGGCAGAGTTACAGATGCTTCCCATGCAGCGGCGCTGTCCAGTGTGGCCCCTGAATTTGTTGTGGTAAGCTCACAAAGTGTCTAGGCAGGGTGGTGGTGCCCAGGGGTCAGGGAAGCAAAATCATATTGTTCTGCCCTTGAGTGTACCTGCATAAGGCTATTACAAGTTTTTGCCCAAAACACATGAAAGTTTAACAAAACTGCATAATAACTGTGTAAATACAGAAACGCCTGTTGTTATGGCAACACTGGTGTATTTAGGCCCGCATGGTTTTCTGCTACACCAGAAGAGTACCAAGATCTGAGCCTGTTACAGCAATGATATATATTGCCGCACTGTAAAAGTGCTTATCTGAAAACCTCTCTCTATCCAAATAATCATATCAAAGTGACTCTATCTTACGTTTTTCTTGTATTTTTTATTTCTGTTTTTCTCTGAAGTGCACTCACAACACTTAAATTGTTTTATGTATCAGAAACAGTCATAATTCATTCCTACCTGATAATTTTCCTACCTTCTTTTATCCTTTAGAGTCAAACAGGCTGTTTAACTTCACTGTGATTGGGCAGAACTAATTTGCTTAAGGCTGGATAGGTCGATATAAACTATATAGGCAAAAGCATTGGGACACACGTCTTAATCGTTAAATTCAGGTGTTTCATTCAGTCCTGTGCCACAGGTGTATAAAATTAAGCACGCAGTTATGCAGTCTGCCTTTACAGACTACACTCCTAGATATTCCACGACTGTGAGCGGTGTAATTGAAATGTGGAAGCGTTTAGGAACCACAGCTACTCAGCCACAAAGAGGCGGACCACGTAAAGAACTTGACTGGCCCGCACAGAGCCCTGACCTCAACCCCACTGCACACCTTTGGGATAAATTAGAGCGGAGAATGCAGGCCAGGCCCTCTCGTCTAACATCTGTGTCTGACTTCACAAATGCTCTTCTAGAAGAAGCAAAAATCCCCACAGACACTCTCCAAAATCTTGTGGAAAGCCTTCCCAGCAGAGGGGGATCAACTCCATAGTAATGCCAATGGATTTAAGATGGGATGGAATAAAATTAAAAATTCTGTAGGTGTAACGTGTAGGTGTCCCAATAATTTTGTCCATATAGTGAATGTAAATACATTGGTTTTTGTGACATCACAAAAACAATGAATTCAAAACGGGCTGTTTTGGCAGCTCAGTTTCTGTACATGGAGTGTATGGACTGGGCAGTGTATGTCACATTTTGAGACAATGTTTACATATTATACATCCAACTATTTTATTTTATTTGAGGAATCTGTTTTCTATGATATTGGCTCTTTAATAAAAAAAGGCAAAGGCAGATATAATCCTAACTCTAAGAGGTTTGATGCACTTGGCACCTGACAAATTATATATCCATTGGTGCTTAAAGACTGTTTTGCTTAACAGATGAAATTTGAGCCAGACGGGAATGTCACTTCATTTGGTGAGTTTCATCATTCATGCACGCCCAGATGAAATGTGGCAGTGGTTTTGTTGGACATAAGGCATGTTGTGTCTCATTTGTCCATTTTCCACAGAGAAAAAGAAAACAGAGTTCTATCAGGAACTTGGCTTGCAGGCAAGAGACTTGAGATTCCAGCACCTCACCAGCATTACATCACGAAACAATACGATCATTATTCGCATGGAGGTATGTAATATGTTCTTATATTCCAAGTGTTTTGCTGGCTTATGATGCATATCATTGTTGTTTGTTGAAGAGAAATACTAGATCATTTTACGAAGAGCTGCACTCTTGGTCGCGCACTCATATATACCTGTAACAGGGACACATCTAATGTTGGTAATCAGTATAATATTTCTCTTTATATCTCTTACCCATCTTCAACCAAACAAGTTTTTTTTTTTGTCGACAGTCCCTGAAAGCTGTAGTTACTCCAGACTGTTTGCTGGTGCTAGATTTTCGTGGACTGGGTCTGGAGAAGTGGCTGGTTTTGGACCTGGGGCCCCAGTTAGCAGGAGATGGAGCCTTGGCCACTTACTCACTACCTTTTGAGTTCAGAGCCTTGGAGGCCATTCTGCAGCACAGGGTAAAGCTGAACATCTGCTATCTTAGTTCAGTAAATAGATCACTGATAAGTAGTGCTGCAATGTTTAGTTGATTAAGTCGATAAGTCGTCAGTTATGCTGATTATGGGGGGGGAAGTTAATACATTGTTTTCTTAAAAATAAAAACACTCTATAATACTTTATAATGTTCACATGATACATGCAGTCTTTCTGACAGATAGCAAGTGAGGTGATATGGATGCAGTATGGATGCACCGTGAAAGAACACTCACCTGTTGCACAGACAGAACTTTGAATGATAGTGTGATGGGGCAAAGTGAACAGTAGAAGGCATAATGGGTTGATTAGTCAATTAATTGAATAGTTTTAGTAATAGATCAGGTAAATTAGTGAAGTAAGTGTTAGTTGCAGCACTCCTGATAAGCAAGCAAGTAGATCTCATAGAAAGGTTTTGTCAGAAGGGAATTACCATCTCATTTTCATTTATACAGCTGTATGCAAAGGTTTGGGCACCCCTGGTTTAGTTACGTGTTTTGTTGATTTTCTAAATGAAAATAATTTGGCACATCCCCTACAGAGAGCACTTATGCACAGTTACTGTTTATTTGCTGAACTTATTTATATATGGTATATTTCCATATTGTACAGTCATATGTTGAAGCAGTGTTTATTGTTAGCACCTTTGTTCAGAATTCTCTAAATTCTGAGGTTCAAGAAGTGGTGAATGAAGAACGCGTTTATGTGTTCTGGTACAGATAAACACACTCCGAGCAAGGTTAAATGAAGTTCAGCCTCAAATCCTGGACTGTCTGGAGTCATTAGTGGACCCGAAGCTTCTGTCAGCAGACCGCAGTAAACTACACATGCTTCTACTCAACAGTAAGAGGTTGGTCAGGAAAAAAAAACCTCACCATCTCTTTGTAATAAAAGTGTGTTTTTCCTCATACTCTAAACCTAATTTAGACTCAAGTTGTCAAATCACATGTGAGCTCGTACAGTCTGATCATTTGAATTTGTATCACATCTGAATGCTTTTCAACAGCTGATCATGAACTTGTAACTTATCTATACATATTTGGGTCTGATTTTAAACATATGAGCTCGCTGTTTAAATGTAACTCTAAACCCCTTTAACACCAACTGAATTCTCCTGTAGCCTTTCTGAACTGGAGACTGACATAAAAGTATTTAAGGACAGCCTGCTGAAAATCCTGGATGAGGATGAGTTGATTGAGGAGCTGTGTCTTACCAAGTGGACCGACCCCCGTGTGTTGTAGGTGAAATATTTGTCATACTCATTTTTTAATTTAATTTAATTTTATACTTAAAACAAAATTATTGTAATTGAAACATGTATTCAGCTCAGATATTTTAATATTCCATAACTGGGCCCTTACATCTTCTGTTGTAATGTTATGTGGAGTTGATGACATGTTTTAATTTAATGCTGTATTGCTTAACGTGTTAAGGTAGCACACTTAACTAGAGGAAACATTGATCATTGCAGTCTTGATTAGGCTATTACTATTCCAAAGGATACTGCAGCAGACACCCCCCACAACAGAAAGAAAGAAGAAAAATAGTGCTCTTGCCACGCTGAACAATTCAATATGGTTTGCAAAGCTAAACAGAATGCATTGCCCACAGTATCTTCAGTATGGGGTCGGTGTGCAGTTTTAAAGTCAGACAGCTGTGCTGCTACTTGTGCTGCTACACATGGCTCCTCCCAGTCAGATTGTGGAGTATTGCACAAGCGACAGTGATGTTTGCCCTCTGTGAGCTTGTTTGCAGTCCGATGGTGAGGCAAGCAAAGTAGAAAGCCCTTTCAGAGCAGCAACGCGCTTGTGGCTTCTGTTGAATGATGGCTCTGCGGCTGAATTGGGCCTTCAGAGAGGTGTCCGCAGGTACAGGTGTGGAGGGTCACCTTGCTTTACAGGCAGCACTCCAGTGAATGTGAGTCATTGGACTCACTCAGTGTCATTCACCTTCATGTCAGCTAATCATTTTTAAAAAATACCTACCATGGATACATGTTTGAGTGAGTTGATACGCAGTTTTAGTTGATGCATTTTAAATTATGACTAGCATAATGGAAATAAAAGACACAGCACTGTACACAGTTAGGCTCAGTGACATGCACAGACTTTGGGTAATTTACATTGCTGTTCTAGGTTAGGCCTGAAATACAAATTTATTTATTGTTATTGTGTGCTCTGTGCTAAGTGTAAATTAACTGAAGGAAGACAGTTTTAATGTTTGGATTGTTATATTAAAAATAAAATAATTATTTGAAAGCTTTTATGTAGCAAAATATGACCTTGTTATGCACTGTTTTGTTTTACTTCAGCTGATTGTGGTGTAATTTGACAGTACACCCCGGTTTAGTGGAAGTTTAGCGGTGGATTAGGAAGAATTGTGCTTGTTTTGACAGAGCAATCAGGTTTAATTTAATGTGCAGCTGCATGTTAAACCCCTGAAGTTACCGGTGCTAAACTGAGACTAAACTGCTGCTAAGCTAGTGACAGAGCAATAGCCTAATAAGATACAGGATGTGTTGGGGGCAATATGACTTCTGTTGTTTTGTTCTACCATAATGAACCAGATGAAATTGTTGCAAGAACTGAAATAGAGACAACAAAGAGGGACAAAATAAGATGGAACAGCTAGAGGTCACACAATACCACTTTTATAAGTACTGAATCCATGAGCATTGTCTGATATTAATACTTCTCCAGTATTTTTCTTTAAAAACCACAAAGTTTTAAAATGAGCTACTTTAATGAACTACTTCACTTAAGATGACTATCTGAAAGTAGGCTATCATGCTTAAACTACTCTATTACCCCTCACAAAGAAACACACAACCAACATCACATCACACAGTACGAGTGTGTGCTATTTCAGGATAGATTTGTTACAGGACTGGATCGGATTCATTCTTTTTTTCTTTCCAATTTTGGTTCCAGCATTTTCTTCTGATATCGACCTAATGCAGATGATTGGTGTTAAATCAGTGCCCTCTTTAGAAATGATAGACAGTGTATTGGCTCGCTTAAAAGAATAGTGGTCAATACAGATTAAATGGTTGTAGAAAGAATTGTTATTTGCAGCCCAGATATACTTATGCCATTTTTATTGCTTTTATTCTTTCTTTTGTTTTTTCTAATTTTTCCATTCATTTCTGTCTGTCTGTCTGTCTGTCTGAATTTTATTATGTGTGGAGGCAGTGAGCAGAGCAGTTTAGGCATAGATCATGCTCACGAGATGGAGTTGCTCCTGGAGAATTATTTTATGCAGGCTGAGGAGCTTGGAAATAAAACACGGGAGCTGAAGGGGCTTATTGATGACTCAGAGAGTGTCATCTTCATCAATCTGGACAGGTACCTGCAATATATAAATGCCATTTACCATAATATGCAAATGCCACTTGCAAATACTAATCAGTAATGAAACTTATGAAAATAACCAGAGCTCAGTTAGGATGTTTTGAGCAATGATTTCTTGTTTTGAAGTTGCTGTAGGCGGGATGTTTTTTGTGGTTGTCATGGTAAATTGGCAGCAAGAGCAATGTAATTTTGAATGTTTTGGATCATATTTCTTGTTTTTCCATTTTTTTTTTTAGCCATAGGCTTATATTTAAAGTGTCTTTATTCACCTATTCCATCTTGGCCACTAAGTATGGATGCCTATCAAGTAACAGCAACTCCATGTAGTCTGTGTACTTCTTTTACCTGTCCATTCTCCTTTGAAACCACTGCTAGCACTATAGAGATGTTTGGTGGAGGAGGCATCTGCATAGTTCTGACATTTAGCTCTGATACCACAGTGAGATAGCAGACCCTATTATTGTCTCTCTATTTGTGAATTTGCACTAGTCATCGAAATGTGATGATGCGCCTGAACCTCCAGCTCACAATGGGAACCTTCTCCCTGTCCTTATTTGGCCTGATGGGTGTGGCCTTTGGCATGAATTTGGAGTCCTCCTTTGAAGAAGTAAGTACATTCTTTGATGGAATAAAATGTTATATATATTAGTTTGATCCATGCTTGCTTTATGTGACCTACCAGATGATATCTCATGAAGTCAGTAGATTATAAGTCTTTGTGTTCAGTGTGGTCCAGTATGTAGCTCAGCTTAATTCCTCTTTTTTACTAATACAGTGGCCATAGTTTAAACCATTACAATAGTTGTATTTTTGAGTTTTTGGGTTGTCCATGGACTATGAATGTGACACGTTCCCTTGTATCTGTCTGTGTTTGTGTGTGTAGGATCCACGTGTGTTTTGGTTGGTGACTGGATTTATGTTCCTAGGCAGTGGCCTTATCTGGAGACGTTTGCTGTCCTTCCTGGGACGACACTTGGAGCCCACATCTCCACCTCCAGTAAATACAGAATACATCTTATGTTCCACACCAGAGAGAGCGCATTGCAAGGCATCTGAAACTATTACTCAAAACAGAATGTCTCCAGATCTTTCCTGGTAGACTCATTCAGTCAGATTTTACTGTAAAATGTCCCAGACTGTGGCAGAATCCATGCAGCAATATATCCCAATAAATTTTCCTGAGCCTGGCAACATATTCATCACCATACTGTGTGTTGTTTTAAAAGCTCCTTTCTACATAATTATCCCCATTCTTTTTTTTGGCTGAGCCCTCTTGAAGTGTTTGTTGCCAGAAGGCTCTATTTTGGTCTAAGTTGATGTCAGAGTCCAGTTTCAATACAGAAATTTTTAGTGCTTGTCTGTGATTTGATGAGTGGAAGGTTCTTACACTAAGCCTTTGAAATAGCTTATTGGCATGCAAGTGGAAGCAATTTTTTATTTTTTGAAGAATTCATGAGCTCATTATCCCATTGATGTATACAAATCGCCAGTGTAGTCTTTGTTGATTATCTTTGTTCTATCCTTCTCACTGTTTGTGGCAGATTTCTAATTATTTTCATTTATCACTTACAAAGAGTCATTTACACTTACAAGGCATAACGAGGCGAATAAGAATAAGAAAAGGAGGTATATAATTGTTTTACACGTCAGCAGAAACAGGGTCAAAGAGGAGCAATGGACCCAAGTTGACAGGGATAGTGCTAAACTGGGTAATTGTTTAACACACCAAAACTGCATAAACTTAAATTTCCCAAAAATTAAATCTACTCCAATTTCCACAAAAAGATGAGCTTTGTGGCACACTCTCAAATGAACCTGGTTTAAGGAGCATAGAAAAACCTGAACCCCTGAGTGGTCATGTGACTGAAGGCATGGCCCAGCTTTATATTAGCCACTTGTTGTGTTGATATGTTGTCAGGTACATCAGTTTTTTTGTCTATACCCCTACCTTACTACATCTGCATGATTAATGATTTTTCCCTTTCCCAATGTTCATATGTGGGACTCAAGTAAAATTAGTGGTTGGCATCCATTTAAAACAACTTGAAGTTAATGTACTTCTTGACTGTTTTGCTTTTAGTAATTTGTAATGCAGCTCCAATGGGCATTTTTGTTCATCTTTATGAAGGTTGTCAGAAATTCTGAATGGCAGTGTAGGTCTTTTGTTTGTGATATTATTCTGATATGAAATACAAAGCTGCCATAAAATGAAGACGACTTAACATTATTTTCTTGTTCAAATGCTGCCTTTGTCCTTCTGCTTTTCAAAGTCACCGTAATACAGGCTTCGTTATCTTTCTCTCACAGATCCCGCCTGTTTGGAGGAAAAACCAGATCAGCACCTTAAAAGGGACAGAGATAAAACCTGGAGTAAGATGATAGTGTGACCACAGCATCTCTCTCTCTCTCTCTCTCTCTCTCTTTCTCTCTTTCTCTTTCTTTCTTTCCCTTTTTCTGGGCACTTTCTGTTAACAGTACAGTTTGCTTCAGTAAATGTATTGTTAACTGATTGAGAGTGATTTTATGCTAATATGCAAGGGGAAAAGCAAAATAATAGGAACACCAAATGAAATGTTTCAAGCACTAACATTTCAGTTAAAAGGCAACAGGCTAAGCTTTGAATGTTGAGGTTGAGAGAAATGGTTCCCTCATAGACACAACTTTAGTTTTATAGTAATATTTATGATGCTACTTGAAACCTTAAAATCAACACTGTTCCTTACTGCATCATATTGTACTTGACATTTCTGGTGTACCATCGTAAATTATTCAAACAATATATGGCACATTATGCACATTTTGAAGACAGAAGGTGAACCACCTCTTAATTTTTGTGTGTCCATTTTGTTTACTCACTGTATGGGTAACTAAGCAGGTATCATTTTTTTATTGTTACATTTGTCACACTGAGTTTGGTTGACAGTGTTCTGTGCTACTCACTCTGTCATGATCATGACTGTGATTTTAGAGACACACAGTGCTTACCTCTTATTCACATTGAGATATGTTGTATCATCTGTTGTCATGTTCTGCTGCTTCTGTGTATATATGCTATGAAGAATGGAAGACCCATGCTAATGGCTACATCATTTTAAAAATAAAACATTTAAATGGACACTGATTCTCTGCTTTTGAGTGGTGTTGTAAAAACCCTAAATGATTTGTTAAATGTTCATGTTTTGGCTGGACAGTCCTGGGCCTGTATTTCTAAAGCTTCTCAGAGTAGGAGTACTGATCTAGGATCTGTCCCTGTCAGTAAGATCATCACAAATAAGAGACAGGTTTTATACTAGACCAGCACTCTTGCTCTGAGAAACTTCATGAACAGGCCCTGAGAATTTGTAATGCAGAGTTTGCCCAGCAGAGGGACACATACGCCATGAATACAATTCTTGTTTTACTCTGCGGTCTTGCAAACAGCAAACTTAGGTTAAGGCTTGAATTGTTTAGGTTGAGGTCCTACAGTATGAATTTTTTGTCCCCAAATATAAAGTATAGGCATTATCTAAGCCTGGACAGAAAACTTGCTGTGTCCATCAGTGACACAATTGTAGAATAATACTATTTTACTACATTTGCTGAAGCTAGGGTGAGAAATGTCTTATCCCATAGTTAATATTTTTGCACCTTCAAAGGACATGTCATGGAAATACTTCTCCTCTGTGCATGGCTATTATTTGAATTATATAAGTAAATATCTGACAGGCTTAAGTTAAAGGGCACATATCATGGAAAGCCCTCACTTTTTATACATAAAAGTGTTTGAAGTAATATGTAAACATTGTCAAAGCTCACTCGCCTAGTCCTAACACAGAAACTAAGCTACAAAAACAGCCTGTTTTGACTTAATTGTTTCTGTGATGTCACAAAAACTACTGCATTTACATATATCCACCTATTCAGTCTACAGCAGTTTAGTGCCCTCCTCCCCACTTCACACTGAAGTTAAAAAGTCTTTCAGCTCTGAGTGTTTTTTAAATGAGGCACAAATACAGAGCAGCCAAACAGACCAGAGCTCATTTATGTATATCAGTCTTAAATGCACAGTAACAAAAACAGCCTGTTTAATTCTACGGGACAAGGAGAGGTAGGAAACTTATCATGTAAAAATGAGTTATAAATACTTTTGGTAAATAAAACCACACAAATGATATAACTAGACCTCAGGGGAAAAATTATAAAAATAATCTTTAATCTATGTCGTTATCCCAAGTTGTATTTAGGTTATTTATTTATCTCTATAGGTATTTATTGGGTTTTTATTTTTTAAAGGCATTTTCTCTCCAGAGATTAATTTATGAAGTTTGTGTGGATTTATGTACCAAAAGCAGTCATAATTCATTTTACATGACTCTTCCCAACCTCTATTCATACCTTAGAATTAAACAAGCTATTATAGTTACTGTACTTATTTAAATTGATATATTTAAGTGACATTTGTTCTGATTAAATGTCCTGTATTGTGCCTCATTCAAAAAACAGTGTGTGTTAAATCTGCTCTTATACATGGATGTATGTAAATACATTGTTTTTTGTGACAACATAAAAACAGTGAATTCAAAATGGGCTGTTTTGCATGTTTCAGCATGTTTTTGTCAGCTTTTGTGAGCGTTTTCAAACTTAAACAGTGTTTACATGCTACACCACACTCATTAAAAAAAGAAAGCCAGAAAATGTTGGTTTTCCTTGATATGGGCCCTTTAATGGTGATCTCCTACACTGGGACCAGGCCTCCTTCCACACTAAAGCGCGCGGCAGTCCTGACGCAGCAGCCCACCCCCGCCCCCCCCTCGTCAGACTGCCCCTGCCTCGCTTCACTCTCTCATCCTCTGTCGAGCTGCCCTGGGCTGCGGATCTACCCGAACGAGGCAGGGCTCTACACTGCCGCGCTGAGCTCCAGCATCTGATTAATGCAGACCTCCAGTTCAGGAAAAGTTGTCTAAAAACGAAGGCGGTCGTCGTCGAAGGCGTCAGACTGTAATAAACTGAGCTGTAATTGCGCTGCTGGAATTAAATCTGAGCACGAGAGAAAGACTCGGCACCTCAAGAAGCGGCGAAGAGCGAAAACACAGCGACTGTGAGGGAACATTTCTTTCCCAGAGCTGCTGAGACGTGTGAGGAGAAATAATGAGGAACGTGTGGATGTTGCTAACTCTCTGGGCGCTGTGCTTTTGGGGCGAAGGGGTAAGTTTGGGCAAACGCCCCCACAAACGTGCTAATCTAACAGTCTAACCTGATATTTAACTTGTGGTTATCGTGTCATTCGCAGTTCTTAGCAGTTGGGTTCATGTACATTTTCTCCAGCTTCTGCTGGGTCTGTTTCTGAGGAATAGTCCTGATAGAATCACATTTCTGCTGCTCAAAAAGTTGAGAAAACTCAGTGAAAGTGTGTTTTTCAGGGTGGACTGGTGAAAGATAGACTACTTTGTCACTGTCAAATGTGAATTGTAGACAAAGCCATGTTTAGACTTTCTCTCACAAAAAAACTATGGTCGCCTGACCGGGCAGGCATTAAGCATAGTCCTGGACTACACTTTCCTTTCGATGGAGAATCTGAGGGGATTCCAACCCTGGTAACCCCGCTTATATGTATATACACACATATATATACAATATTTGCACCTCTTAAAATAACTATGAAACTATGAGATACTAAACTGTCACTGGGGTGGTGCCCTCGAGGGTACATCTCAGTACCTTTAGTCAGAGAACATAATTGTACCATAATCCATTGAAATGATATTATCTAAGTTGTATTGACTCCACACAGCCCGTCTCGTCTCCAGGCTTTTTATTTTAGTGTTCTGTTTTAAAACATTAGGTTATGAAAAGGTACAAATGTGCACTTTTTCAATAGAAAAAAACATATTTAAGATACACAGTTGGACTTTAAAACCAGTGCTGTGCCTTTGAGGGTACATTAACATTGTGTGTACCTTGAGAATGTAAAATGTACCTGCGCAGTACCATTATTTCTAACAGTGTAGGAATCCTGTAGAAATTCCTGTACTATTGTTATGGTTCTTTTTCATAAAGTTTTCACCTCCATGGAAATGTTGTCACACATTTAATTTGACTGTAGTTGAATAAACTCATCCTCACTGTTACTACATCATGTAGTGATGTGGCGGTAAACAGCACCATGTTATAAAGTCCCCAGTAGTCTAGATATTTAAGAAGAAAATGTTCTTTTTGTGTGGTTAGCTCCCACATTGCTGAATTCAGTCCAACTGGCATGGCAGCAGTGCTCCATCCTCAGACCATAAGAGTAATGGAAAAAGAAAAGAAAACGACTGAGTGATTTTAATGATAAGGGGGAAAATACCATGAACATGAAAGCAGTGAGCAAGATGTTGCTGATGTTGGTTGTGCCTATCATTCACCGTCTGATGGAACTGATTAGACATCAAGTTTGGATCAAAATAGTGACCAAGTGGTCATACATACACTAACTGCTGCTCATTCAGCGCTTCTTCTGAAATCAGAGGTGTTAGTAGGGAGGTTGTTCCCCTTTGCTGCAGTATCGGCCTCTCCCCTCTGAAGGCTTCACACTAGATATTGGAACATTGCTGTGAGGATTTGATTGCATTCAGCCTCAGGAGTGTTAGTGAGGTCAGTGAGGTACTGATGCTGAATGATTCCACTCCCAGCTCACCCCAAAGGTCCTGGATGGAGCTCCCTCACTCCAGAGAACACAGTTCCACTGCTCCACAGCCCAGTGCTGGGGGGCTTTATGCCCCTCTAGCAGACACTTTCTTATTGGGTATAGTGACCTTAGGCCAATGGTGTCCAAACTTATCCGCAAATGGCTGGTGTGGCTGTAGGTTTTCATTCCAACAAAGCAGGAGCCCACAGGATTAGTTCTTTGAAGACTGACCAATTGATCGCACAAGCAGAATCAAGAGTGCTTTGCATGTTTGGTATGAAAACCTGCAGCTGCACCAGCCCTTTGGGATAAGATTGGACACCACTGCCTTAGGCTCATGTGTGGCTGCAGCAGAGTGCCCCATTCAATTGGCAGTATTTTTCTATGGAGATTGTGCAAGCTTCATGTGCGCAAATTGTTGCCTGTATCAGTAATGGCTGCACCTTTGGGCCAGTAATAATTTCTTATTGTTCTATCTTTATTTAACCATTTCCTTTGTACAGTTTATGTTTAGTTAATAAATGTATGCAGTAGAAACGATGGCGCTTAAACATAGGCTGTACAAACAGAACCTAACCAAAAAATGGCAAAAATGCTGTGGAACATGCAAATAAAACAAAAAACCTCCAGTACATGAGATCTGGTCTCCAATAGAGAGCAAAATGGAAGAGCTTCATCATGCCAGTTTGGCAATATTTTGGTTTTCAACCAAATGAATGTGGAGCTAACAGTGTTACATGCTGTCTATGCAGACTATAGTTATCATGATAAATGGTTAAGTAATATTAGAAGCCAGGCCAGTTGGTAGTTATATGGTAATCATTTTGCCATAAAAGAAAATGTAAACTGTAAGTCTCTGTAACGCTCACATGTGGTATTTAGTTACTGAATTTGAATTCTGCAGATGATAATCATTTGTCTACGTTATTATGTACGTTATCACCCAAACTAACATTGAAGTAACCGAATTTACTAATGGAAATGAGTGTGTGGATACCTTTGGACATATAGTGTATTTATGATAGAGTTTTATGCAGTGTGTTATATTGTGGATTGTCACATTGTTTGAGGAAAGTGAATAACACTGTTTACAGTTAACTGAATCAGGTTGGGCAGTCCTTCACAGCCAATCCTCAGAAGTCAGTTGCAACTCATACTCTGTCCTGAATGCACCCAGTAAGCCCCAAGGCCTCATATAACCTGTAACTCTGATTCTCTCCTGCTTCACCGAAGTCTTTTTCTCCTGCCCATTGGTTATTCATTGCTGTGTCTGAGCTCAGTTACGAGGCAAAAGACCTACATTGATTCTCCCTAGGAACAGTGCTTTTAAAGTGCAGTCGAGCAATTTATGGGTTGCCTCCAGACGCATCTATGTGTTAATTACCTTTAGCCAGCAAGGACTGATCATCAGGGAAGCTAAATAAGGAAACAATAAACATAGGAAACTCATAGTTTGCCCATTATTTCATTAGAGATGGGACATATTTCCAGGATTTTATATTAAAAAATGACCTGAAAGATTTCTTGACATGAGATAAAGAGAAACTGAATATACTTTACAGTGAAATAATCAAGACACACAATATGTCCAAAAATTTGTAGACACCTGCTCATCTAGCATTTCTTCTGGGATCAGCTTTTCAAGCATGGTGACTGTCCCATTCTATTGGCAGTGATTTTCTATGGAGATTATACAAGCTGGGTGCACAATAGAAACACCTTAAAGTAAGTAGCTGATATCACTACTTAGAAGGGGTGTCTGGATACTTTTTACTTTTATTTTTAGTAATGCTATTTTTAGTGCTAGAATGGCTTTAGAATATTAGGTGATTGTCCTTTGCTTTAGATCAATGCATTTCGCAATTTGACCCTAACCTTAAACAAAACAAGTTGTGCCATGTCTGCAGTGTTGCTAATCATTTATATTAAATAAATAGTCTCTTTATCAATATTCAAAAGGTCAAGTATGCACCCCCAACCCTACCCCCCCCCCACCCAATGATGTGGCTCAGTAAGTTTTCTGCTTTCTTTTATTTACTTGTATTCACCTCAGCCCAACTGATGAAAATGCACCCAATTCACATTCTATTTGTTGCAATGTAAATATATGATTGTGAAAGATAAAACAGTAAGCTGTAACAGTAAAAGCTAAGCTGTGATCAGATAATTAAGTAATAATTGTAACAGGCCTCATTTCTAGTTTGAATGCCCTTACTTTTTGTGTCCTCCTCAGAGTGTGTTGAAGCATTTAAATATTTTGTGAAGCCTTTAGGAAAGATTTCCTGGCAGGCTTGGACCTCTCAGAAGGCGGCATGTGCTGGCTTCTTCCTAAGCAGGCTAATTAGAATTGGACCTGTTGTGCAATTAGAAGAGAACTGGCTATGAGCAAACTAGGAAGGAAAAAAATAAAACAGACGGTTTCTCATCTGTTGTTTAATTCTTTTTTTCTTCCATTATGTTTGGAGCAGTTATTGTTCATGTCTCTGTTTCATCTCTCACTTCTTTGCCTTACGAGTGATGGTTTCAGTTGGACTAGGCTTATAACCCGAAGCATCAGGTTTTGGACTTGCCTGACCCGAGCACAGCATTAAATGAAAGCTTAGAGGAGTGGCTGAGGACAGCCTCACCAAAAAATGGTTAATATTCAAACTCTATGGCAGAATATTGTGTAATCAGTTAACAGGGAAAAGTTGAATTTGCACTCACTCTCCCAGTCAAACACTGGTATTCTGTTTGGTTGGTGTGGAATTTGAACCATATTGACTTGGGCTTGGATGTTTTGCGCTGTTTGTCCCAGCTGCTTTAACCTACTGAATAACTTTATTACAAAGCCCTTATGCCATATTAAGGAATTACAGTTTATACAAAAAATGTTATCTGCATTCTTCTGACTTGTGCTGTGATTGAATTTAAGTGTACTTAACAGTTATGAATATATTTGAATGCATAGTTACATATCATCTCATTAGATAACACATTAACAGGTGCTAAATTCTACTCCCTTTTTTAGTTTGGTTTGGTATAGGAAACAGTTCTAACCAAACAGAAGAAGCCACACTTAGATTCTATCAGTTAGATGATCTGTATCATTGCATTTTGAAGTATTTGTGAATGTGACAGTATTCAAGGAGCATTCAGTGCTAAAAAAACTGAACTGTTATGACCTGTATTTAGTGTTGGCCAGTACTGATAACATTTAATATCACAATATTTTCTAAATATATCACAGGGTCACAGTATCAGATTGAAATTAAGTTTACATAAAAGGAGAATTGTGCCAGTTTTTCAAATTTTAAGTTGAAGCATCATGAAGTATCAGAATTGTAGTAGCTTAATCAAGGAACCAGACGTCTAAAGCTTTTAATGGCACTAAAAGCTACCTTACGGTAAATGATCACATGAAATGGTTATAAACATGTTACCTGATGTCAGGGTTTTCCAATAGTTTTGAGATAGACTTTTGGCCTAAAGCATATTTTTTAAATCCATTCCTGGTGAAGTGGTAAAGCAGAGATTGGTAAGGCAAAGTAATAAATAA